TTTGACATCTATTTTACTCTATCACTGGTACAAGCTAGCCTTAGGAGACCAAGTAACATCACTGAACTCTTTTTATATAATCGATTTTATCAAAACGAAATCTACCAAATCTACGAAATCCCATCATCCTTATCTATTCTGTCCAATTGTACTGTAGCAAGTAATGGACTTACATCAAACTTTTAAAATGTAAGTAGGGCCGAGCCTTTCCTTGAAAGGAAAAAAGATTAGATCCGACCAGAGTCTCCAGCGGAGTATTAACCTCGAGATCAGTACAGCTGTAGAACCAAGTTCATCATTTTTTTTTTAGAACTTATTGATACAAGACATATACTGTTTTATTATAAATTTTCTCATTTTCTTAAATTTATCGCATTTAGGAATTAGTTTTCCTTTCATCGCGTTCCATACCGCAGCTATGAATTTCTCTCCTGATCAAAATGATGCTTGTAGGATGGTGAAAGATTTTGGTGTCTTTAGTGCTGATGTATAGTTAGTCACATTACTTCATTGGCGAGTCTTTGATTTTCAGATGGAGAGAACGCCAACCCAAGCCGACAAAAACGCTCTGCTCTAAACGTTTCACAACAGGATTCAAACCTAACATCAGCTGAATTACAGAGGCTTATCAAAAAAGAACTTAGTCTACTGCAAAACCAATTCTTCGCTAAGGATCAGACACTCTGCCGCCCAGGACCAAAAGGTAACAGGGGTCGTCGAGGCAAAGCAGGAACTCGGGGAAAACCGGGTCCTCCAGGGAAACCAGGCCCAAACGGACCTCCTGGCAAACATGGACCAATAGGAGTACAGGGGCCGAAAGGAATAAAAGGGGACATTGGAAAACCGGGGAGCCCTGGCTCCGTGGGACTTACAGGCCCGTCGGGTGTGAAAGGCGCTAAAGGTGAGCCGGGCCAGTCCCTCTCAGCCCCATCTCTGTTAGAGCGTCCCGTTGGAATGACAGTCAATGAAAGTCAGACAGCCATGTTAAAATGTACTGCGGATGGTAATCCAAAGCCAAAAGTCACGTGGTCTAAGCTGAACTCAACGCTCCCTTTTGGACGTCACAAAGTGGAATCCAGAGGCCAGCTGATTGTGAGGGACATTAGACGTGGTGACGAAGGAGTTTATTCATGCAGAGCTGAAAGTTTTTTGGGACAAGTGAACGCCTCGGCGAAGTTATCTGTTCAATGTAAGTCAGTCTATTTCTTTTGCAAATAGAGAACGATTTCCTAAATGCAGGAAGAATCTGCGGATTAATGATTTTGCACGAGCTATCTGATTAATTCTCACAACGTTCATAACCATACGTTGCTTATGCATATGGATAAGTATTTTTATTTTAACTGCAACTAACTATATATTGTTCTTTCTTCTTCAATCTTGTTGATTAAAGCTAACTGATTGACCTCCATGATAATTCAGGAGATCACTTTCATTGTCTTTACAACTCATAGTTCTTTCTCTTGAAATGTTTACAGTCGCTCCTGAGATCATTTTATCATCTAACGAAGTGTTAGCTGAGGAAAAACAAAATGTTAGTATCGCCTGCGGTGCTTCTGGTCAGCCTCAGCCTAGTATCACGTGGTCTAAAGCGTTTGGAAACTTGCCGATGAATCGAGCTGAAGTCATTAAAGGAGCACTAAAAATTTATAACGTGACAAAAAAAGACAGAGGAATATACATCTGTAGGGCGGAAAATATTCTTGGATCAGCAGCAGGCACATTTCACCTCATGGTATTTTCTCGTCTGCGGTTTAAAGCTCGACCCCCAAAAGAAATTGCTCCAAGGCTGGCTCAACTGTTTATCTGCCGTGTGTGGTCGAGAGTGACTTGAAAACTACAATCAGTTGGACGAAGCATGGCATTTCGTCCTTACCTGCAGGGTCCAATGTTCTACAGAATGGAACACTGGTAATAAACAGCATCAAGAAATCACACGAAGGATCTTACACCTGTAGAGCAGCTAATGCTCTGACAACAGTAGAAAGCAAAGTAAGAGTTATCAATCCACGGAATATAACTTCTTGTTCTGTGATTCGAAAATATGTCAGTATTACAAGTGGAAATTACGTCATTGATCCCGACGGTGGGGGTCCTCGTGCACCTTTTACAGTTTACTGTGATATGAGTGGCAAGAATGGAGTTGGCGTGACATTTATCAGTCACGATAGCGAAAGTAGAACACATGTGAAGGGATATGAGAGCCCGGGCAGTTACTCACGTGATATTCATTACACCGGAGCGAGTCTTTCTCAGCTGGCGAGTCTCACCAGAGTCTCATCACACTGCGAACAGTTTATCAGTTATGAGTGCCGTTATTCACAGTTCTTCAGAGGTAGTTTTGGATGGTGGGTGTCACGGGATTCGATCAAAATGAATTACTGGGGAGGAGCGTCACCCGGCAGTGGTACGTGCGCATGCGGGAAGACCAGCTCATGTCCATACCCTGCTAATATGTGTAATTGTGACAAGGAAGACGGCATACTGCGTGAGGATAGCGGTCTCCTTACTGACAAGACACATCTTCCGGTTAAACAGCTGAGGTTTGGTGATACAGGCGATGCTAACGAGGAAGGATATCATACGCTCGGAAAACTTAAGTGTTATGGCATACAGTAATATTACTCTCAAATGATCTCATATGGACAGGTATCACGCAGAAGACATGATTTGAACATTCATCAGCTCTTAACTAACAGTTTATCCAAGATGAAAAAGTGCAGTTACGTGAAGACTAGAGTAACTCTTTTCATAACTAATGAAACATAACATGACAGTAGTTGGCCTGCTGTTTATTCCATCCTAATGTCTGATGAAGTAAATTCTAATATGACTTCGTTGTTGACGTCTTAGTGGTATCAACATGCGTAGAAAACTTTTTTTGAATCCCAAACGCTTTACAAATCAACTGATCGCTTCCACGCTATAAATGTCAAATCAATGGCTCTACTTATGCGCCGATCATTTCGAAGCTTCAACATTCCCCCCTGGGCAACCCACGGGCATGTGGCTGTCGTCTATGTCCGGGGGTGGGGCATTGGAACCTTGCCTGGGTGGGTGGGGAATTTTAACCAGAAGTCTTAAGTCTTACCAGCGGTACACGGGTGCTGCATCTTTTAATATGAAGGTGTTAAAGGTAAAGAGTTCTCCTTCGCGAGCAGATGGCTCGGAAAAATAAAATTGGTCTACAAGGTCTTGGATAGTCAAACCAATTGTTGGTCAATGAGTATAGAGGGTCTATGCAGCTGATCTTATCTTTTATAGAAAAACCAATCATCAAATCCGGCGCTTGGACAGGGCATTTGAACACAGTTTTCGCCCACTGGGGCAGGAATTTGAGCGAACCAATCTTCTAAATTTCAAATGCTCGGAGTCTTTCCCAGAGGGGATATTGAAGCTTTGAACTGATCGATGCATTAGATACACGTTAAATTTCAACAACTCTAAAAGGCTTTCGTAGTTATTTCTCAGGCACCATACCATGACGAGATAACTCATTCGCAAGGATATAAACAATTTATTGACAACCGGATGTTAACGCAAAGATTGTTAGCTTGTTTTAATAAGAATAAGTGATACCGTAGTAAAACCGGGAGTTAAAACTTTTCTGTCGATTTTAAACGTTTGCTCCTTAGGATTATTTGGCAAATGACATGAACTGCGGTAAGCAACGTTTCCAATTTGGGGCGAGTTTTTTGATTTGGGGAAAGTTCTTATGTTATAAGGCAATACTGCAAAATCATAATTGACCGAACTGGTATATGAAGCACTTATGAATCCCTTTTTCGCTTTTTTGATCACAATCGTCAAATACAATATAGGTTTTTAAACATTTCTAAGTTTTACTCATGTTGGGAATTAATTGACTGCATTGGTTTGCCCGTGGTTTGAAAAGGCTATTCAAGTGGTCAGCGGTGGGTTTGAGACGTGTATCAGCGGAAGAGGAAGATCATCTTGCTAAGACAGCGCCGAGCAATTGTAACAAACAGGCCTGGTTTGGATAAAGAAATCTGAAGACGTCATCATCTTTCGACGCGTAAAATATTACAGCACTAAAGGAAGTCAATGTAAGCGACTTTGTTTCCTCAGTGGTTATGTTATACAAGTGTACAAATATCGGTGAGCTCAATTTCCTACGACAGTTTAACTCTACCTGAGCCTAAGAGAACCCTTTGCAAGAAACTGATCTAGTGAAGTAAAAACTTCCCTCTAGATCTGCTTGATTCCAACACATTTTTGTGAAGTTTGTAAAGATGAAAGAAACAGAGTAAACAGGCAAACGAAAAGAGAGAAGACAGACATTAGACCGCCTGTTCTTCGGCCCGTATAATGTTAATGATATAATGTAACAAATGATGTATTGATCAGGACAGAAAGTAATGCTCATAAACGGAAATTTAAAGCTAAGAGGAATCTCATCTGGAGAATTTTTTTATTCTATACGGATAGGGAGCTTTAAATCTTCCCGGTTCTAAGAGGATAGGTTTGACCTCTTTAAAAATAACCATATACGTCTCATTATACTCAAACACGAACTTTCTGTGATAAATGACATAGAGCCAGGATATTGTCGCTTTCAGGCATGGAAGAGAAAACGTTAAATCTCGGGCTCTCCAGTTCTTTGAAAATAGGGTTGACGTCGATAAGGATGTTCTTAAGAACTACCCGTTTTACTCAAACATGACCTTTCTGCAAACAATAAAATACCGTCTATCTGCGCATTGTAGCACCAGGAAATTGGTGTTATTACGCGTGAAACAGAGAAGTTTAAAGCCCTTAGACGATTGAGTTGACCTCAATTAAAGTTAAAAATGAACTTCCCGTTTCATACAAACGCGAATTTTCTCCTACCGATGAATGTATCCGCTTTCTATTTACGTATGTCTCTATAAGTCTTAAATATTGAAAACATATCAATTACCGTCGCATTCCACGTCTCCCGGCAGCTAAACTTCACTACAGCCAAGCAGAACTGCATTAAGGAGGCTTATCAAGTGAAGCGAAAAACATCCCACTGGTTATGTCTGATATCCAAACTAGTTTTGTGAACACTGTGAAGATGAAAGAAACAGAAAAAGAGCAGAAGCAGACGAACAGAAGACAAACATTGAACCGTTTGTGTTCCGGGTCAGGCCTCTTGTTGTCGGTTTTCTGTTGTGTCGCGCTAATTCATCAGGAGCTCAGAATACAAGAAAATCATCAAATGATTTTAAACTCAGCAAAAAGATGTGCAAAGATGGAGACAGAAGTCCTTCGAAAAGTACAGCAGAATATTGGAGGATGGCACAGTTTGAAACCTGAGAGCACAATGCGGCCGGCGACCAAAGGTAACTTGGTGTTAGTTGATACTGCAAACATAAATTAGTTAATTGTTAAAGAGGCTTCAACACGATCAACATGATGACGCCTACTCTCACAAGCTCATTTGCAAAATCAATCATAGGCTTGTGTAATTTAAGTTTACAAATAGGAGATAATAGACCACGCTTTAGTAGAATGCTTAGACCTTCGACATGATTGAAAACGCACGTTATCTCTATTTCACTCTTCATTGAATCATTGAATCATTGGAACAAGCAAGCCTCAGGAGACCAAAGTAAGATCACTGAACACTTTTCATATCATCGACTTTATCATTATCATCATAACCACGAAATCTACGAAATCTCATCATCTTTATCTATTGTTTTTTTAGAAACTAATAGAACCGTGGATATTATATCTTGATATTGTCAAAGATGCGTTTGAATGACTATGGTTTACCTTGTTTGAAATCTACACTTGGTTTTTGTTTTATTGAGATGATACTACGGCAGATTAATTAAAACCTCATCAGTGCACTGGCGATTACGTGTGTGCCGCTTTAAAAATAGCAAATCTAAACAAAGATATAAATTAATAAAAATTAATGAATAAATAAGTTAATGTGAGAAAATTTCAGTTTTATTTATTTCTTTACCAGAAAATGAAATAAGACTTTAAGTCTTATTTCAGTGCCCAGGAAAAGTAAACGTAGCACGATAAAAACCCTTGTTCTACGCTCCTTCCAATTTTAGAAAACACGAAAGGCGCACTTTTAGTGACAACATGACCAGTAAGGAACCCCCATCTCGCTAATTATGTTTCGTGAACTTGCCATTTCATACACTTTAACATAGGTCTTTAGAAGTGACAATTTCTTACAGGATACATTTGTTGTGCATAAACCTTTTGAGAAGTAAGCAGGGCCGAGCCTTTCCTTGAAAGGGAAAAAGATTGGATTCGACGAGAGTTTCCAGCGGAGTAAGAACCTCGAGTTCAATACAGCTGTAGACTCAAGTCCATCATTTTCTCTTAATAGAACTTATTGATACAAGACGTATGCTGTTTAATGATAAATTTCCTCATTTTCTTGAATTTATCACATTTAGGAATTAGTTTTCCTTCCATCGCGTTCTATACCGCAGCCATGGGTTTATCTCCTGATCAAAATGATGCTTGTAGGATGGTGAAAAGTTTTGGTATCTGTAATGCTGATGCAAAGTTAGTCATGTAACTTCATCGGCGAGTCTTTGATTTTCAGATGGAGAGAACGCCAACCCAAGCCGACAAAAACGCTCTGCTCTAAACGTTGTACAACAGGATTCAAACCTAACATCCGCTAAAGTACAACTGCTTATCAAAAAAGAACTTAGTCTACTGCAAAACCAATTCTTTGCTAAGGATCACACACTCTGCCGCCCAGGACCAAAAGGTAACAGGGGTCGTCGAGGCAAAGCGGGAACTCGGGGAAAACCGGGTCCCCCAGGGAAACCAGGCCCAAACGGACCTCCTGGCAAACATGGACCAATAGGGGCTCAGGGGCCGAAAGGAATAAAAGGGGACATCGGGAAACCGGGGAGCCCTGGCTCCGTGGGGCTTACAGGCCCGTCGGGTGTGAAAGGCGCTAAAGGTGAGCCGGGCCAGTCCCTCTCAGCCCCATCTCTGTTAGAGCGTCCCGTTGGAATGACAGTCAATGAAAGTCAGACAGCCATGTTAAAATGTACTGCGGATGGTAATCCAAAGCCAAAAGTCACGTGGTCTAAGCTGAACTCAACGCTCCCTTTTGGACGTCACGTAGTGGACTCCAGAGGCCAACTGATTGTGAGGGACATTAGACGTGGTGACGAAGGAGTTTATTTATGCAGAGCTGAAAGCTTTTTGGGACAAGTGAACGCCTCGGCAAAGTTATATGTTTTTTGTAAGTCATTTTTTTTCTTAAGCAAATACAGAACGGTTTCGTTAATGCAGGAAGTATTTGTGCATTGATGATTATGCATGAGCTATTTGATTGATTCTCACAACTTTCATAACCATACGTTGCCTACGCATATGGATAAGTATTTCTAGTTTTGCAGCAACTATTTATTGTTCTTCCTTCTTTAATCTTGTCAATTAAAGCCAACTGATTGATCTCTATGAAAATTCAGGAGATAACTTTCATTGTCTTTACAACTTATAGTTCTTTCTCTTAAAATGTTTACAGTCGCTCCTGAGATCATTCTATCATCTAACGAAGTGTTAGCTGTGGGAAAACAAGATGTTTCTATCGCCTGTAGTGCTTCTGGTCAGCCTCACCCCATTGTCACGTGGTCTAAGGCGTTTGGAACTTTGCCAATGGACAGAACCAAAGCGATTGATGGAACACTAACAATTTATAACGTGACAAAAAAAGACAGAGGAACATACATCTGTAGGGCGGTGAATATTCTGGGATCAGCAGCGGACATAGTTCAACTCGTGATATTTTCTCGTCCGCGGTTTAAAGCTCGACCCCCAAAAGAAATGACTCCAATGGCTGGCTCAACTGTTCATCTGCCGTGTGTGGTCGAGAGTGACTTGAAAACAACAATCAGTTGGACGAAGCATGGCAGGTCGTCCTTACCTGCAGGGTCCAATGTTCTACAGAATGGAACACTGGTAATGAACAGCATAAAGAAATCACACGAAGGATCTTACACTTGTAGAGCTGCTAATGCTTTGACAGCAATAGAAACCAAAGTCAAAATCAGCATTCCGATTAAAGCAACGTCTTGTTCTGTGATAAGGAAAAACCTCAACAATGCAAGCGGAAATTACGTCATTGACCCAGATGACGAGGGACCTCTTGCACCATTTACAGTTTATTGTGATATGAGTGACAAGGATGGGGTTGGCGTGACAGTCATCAGTCACGACACTGAAAGAAGAACACGCGTGAAAGGTACAAACAATTACGTACGGGACATTCATTACACCGGAGCAAGTCTGTCTCAGCTGGCAAGTCTCACTAAAGTCTCCTCAAACTGTGAACAGTTTATCCAGTATGAGTGTCATAATTCTTTCATGACAGGCCATGGCTGGTGGGTATCACGTGACTCCACTCAGATGAATTATTGGGGCGGAGCATCACCTGGCAGTGGTAAGTGCGCATGCGGAATGACCAACTCATGCGCAAACTCCCAGCGTCCTTGTAACTGTGACAAAAATGACAATGTGTGGCGTGAAGACAGTGGTATTCTCACGGATAAGAATCATCTACCGGTTAGACAAATGAGGTTTGGTGATACAACCGGTACCTCCGAGGAAGGATATCACACACTGGGAAAACTAAAGTGTTATGGAATCGCTTAAAAAGTCAATATGCTGACTTTCAACAGCATCAGATATATATAACTCAGGAGAGCTCCTCATTAAGACATTTGCCTCTAATACTATTTTACTTGAAGCTAGCTATAAGGACTGAAACGGAAGACTTAAGGGCGAGTTAACGAACAAAACAGCGGTAGAATTAACGCGAAATTCAACTCTTGCCAATTGCCCAGCCTCTTGCAGTTTGAATAATTGATAGAATTTCTCTCATTGTTGAATGATATGTAGAGATAAAGAGTAGATGCATTACGTCCTCAACTTGAGTGGAGAACATATTCTCATGAAAAATTGCAGAACTTAACAAAGCGATTAATGGGCTTGATGGTTTATAAATCCATACGTGGCCTTGCTTCAGAATTAGTAAATCGATCTGACATTTCCCCATAGGCTTTCTGGGATTCTTTAAGTAAAAATAGCTATTCTAATGCCTTGAACCAATTATCCTCGTGAAATGTGTCGCTATAGCAGTGTTGGAATAGCCTCCACAAAAATGTTATGCAAGCAGAATCTTTAGGTAAAATGTGTTCATAATTAAAAGAATGTCATCCGTAGAGAACAGATATATCATTAGCAAGACACTACAACAATATAATGTAAATCTATACCTGATTGTTACATACTGAATTGATTACAGCAACCCAAGCAATGGTTTATCATCCCAGGCTGAGTATTTTCAAAAGTGTAAGAACTTTCCTGTGTGTTTTTGTCAGACTGTAATGGTCAAGTGTTTATGGATTGGAATTAGAAGCCCCTCTTTGAATAAAAACATTATTTTTCTCTGAAATTAGGACGGTTACAATTAATTGGTAACAGGCCATGGTAGTGTCCTCCAATTTGGTCAGTAATCATACTCGTAATTGTCAAATCAAACTCCCGCGTTGCGATCGTTCGATTTTCCTAATCACTCGTATGATTACAGACCGAATAAGACTCCGCACATTCCTAATAACATTACTCATCGGACGCGAAAAGCAAGGGGAGAAACGAATCTGCTGCTACTCATTTAAATCAAAATAAAACCTTTTTAACTTGAGACCCAAAGAGAGTCACAGGGACCAGATTTCAGCTGTTTCACACGAGTTCTTAGTGTCCAGAAATTGTTTCCGAGAAGAACTTGTTCCCTAAGTTTCTTAGTAATTTACAGAGCTTCAATTAAACACTTTGGGGTTGGAAGAATTCTCGAAATTTATGAACCCTAAGTAGGCGGTGGTTTGCGTCAACTTTTCAGAAGAAGCTATTTTCACACGGAAATAGTGTTCTATTGATTGAAAACTAGTGTATGTAATCACGTGGGGTTTTCTGAAGTTTTAGATCTATTTCACAGGTATTTTAAGGAGACGCAGCAATTTCAGGGTTTTCGCGGAGTTGTGATGTTGTAAAAGATCTGGAGAAGAGGACGAGTTGGACAACACCCAGACGCATCTTATACACAAAACTTTATTATCATTATTTTTAAGTTCTTGGCATGGCTTGATATCAAAGTAACTTCATAACCGCTATAATATGAAAAACATGTCCTCAGCCACAAAATTTATACACTAAACAGACATTTGTAGAGAACGGCAAGGAAAGTGCATCGAATGTATGCGTAAACATTATTGTGAAATGAATGATATCTACAAGTTGAAGCACTACACTGGGTCCAAAAAATAAACACTCCTTTCTACAAATGAAACGGAAATTTAACTCAGTTTAATTTCACGGAGTGAGGCCCTTCAGGTAGAAGGTCCAAGTAACATTCCCAGCACCACCTGCGCTCCTCGGACACGTGACCATGAGTCTGCCCATGCGCGGAGCCTTGGAACCTCCTTGGTTTCCCTCGAAACCAACGATAATATTATGGGTCTTCTTAGCACGGACGCTCTCGCTCGCCTTCACATTAAAACACGGACTATCCAGACAGAAGGTAAATTGAGTAGTGTGTGAAAACACGTTCTTAAACGGAATTGAGGTTGTTGCACCCGCTTTGATCGAGTACGGACCCTGGGGTTTTGGAGGACTGCAGTGACCAAACAGTGGGAACACGTATTCTCCTCCTACTGGAGAGAAAACGGTCAGAGTAGCGCGAGTATCACCCAGACGGGATGGTTCATAGGTCACTTCCACACCGACCTCTGTGCCTCCACTTGACGCTGAGGCTGCCGTGATATTCTTTTCAACATGGAAATCAGTGTTGTCCACCTTAAGAGAGAGTAAACTCGATAAGTGAAAAACTACAGAAAATCATACAACTCTTCCCACAATTGATTCCTCTAAGTATCAAATTTAAGAGCTACACCGAAAAAGGATTTTGATCCCACATTGATTCTCAAAATGTGGAGACCTAATAATTCCTAACCAGGTGTCACCCCTACCCCCCTCCCCTTTCACTTGTCGCGCCATTGTCTCACTACAGACCTACACTTGATATCATTATTATCTGTGGCTCAAAACTCCATGACAAACTGTGTAACTCAATTCCAGTGCTTTTATTCTGGTCTTCGACTTAGCTCAAAACCATTAAAACAGCTAGCAACAAAGGTGGAAGAAATGTTACTACCTTGCAGCTGTACTCGACTTTAGACTTGGCAAAGTTTACAAATCGACAGGTCTGACTTTGACTGGTACCCAAGCCTGCACGGAAATGAACAGGAGCCTCTGTTCCGGCAGGTGTTGCGGTTAGGTTGAGGTCATACTGATACACGCCTAACTCTGAACTGCTGAAGGAGAGTCGGCCTGTTAACTCACCGGCCTTCAGCGGGAGGTACTCAAACATACACGAGCCCTGGAGTGAACAGACGGAAAGAAACTAAAGATAAACTCGATCACTGCTTAAGCTTGTTGTACAGGTTTTTAAATACGGACTACCTCTAATTTTGTCCACAACACCATGCATTTTTACACACCAGTTTGCAAATGAAGACTGGTATATTAGAACTAATGAGTTGAAGACGATTTTTTCCGGCCCTTATCCCTAAAATTGAAAGAAAAAATGAAAGTAACAAGGGTGCCCATTAAAGTTACGTAAATGATTTTAATTCTTCGTCAAACATGAAAGACTGTCCGGAGGTAAAAAAAAAAAAAAACTTTTATAATCGGGGAGACATGAAAAATAAAACTCAAGACAAAAACCCACAAGTACGTTCACGATAATAGTTTTGAAAAGTACAAAAGTCACTCTTCGAAAGGTGACTAGAGTTAATGCAGCACCATATCTGAAATTGAAGTACAACAAGCTGTTATAATCACAAGAAATCTAGGCCATAAAGTATCTTAAAACAAGGCATGCACTAACCTCAGATAAAGGAGGAACGGTGAAACTTGGCGGCAGCTGGATGTCAGCCACAGAGCACTGAGAATTGAATGTCACAGGGGTACTGAGGGGATTGTGTAACGTCACCACATGTGACGTGCTCTTACGTATGGGCGTGGACAAGTCAATGGTAGCCATTACACCAGGGGGCACTGCCTTGAAAGTCACATAATAAAACAGATATTCTCCGCCCTGTTCATTCCTGAATATTACCTGCAAGTTGAAGATCCGTAGATTAACAACAGAATCAGAGAAAAACAACGACGGAAAAATTCGAGTAACCGCAGACATTCTATTATTGGGATAAATATTTTACCGGCCAGTCTCTCGCTCTATTTATTTATAGTAAATAACGGTTATCATTATAGCAACTGAAAAACTCGTCGCCTTGATTATTAAAGTATTTCCTTACTTTTAAAAATTCTTTGTTCACCTCACTACAGTTAGATGCACTATTAAATTGCAAAGAAAAGGTAAAGTATGAAGAAAAACTGATACAACAGCTGGCAGCGTTAATTTGTTGCATCCATGTTTGTGAAAACTTTTCAATGAAAAAAATTGGAAGCAAATACCGTGACCTTTTACCTCATACGAATGCCGTACTTTCTACTAGATGCCCCAAAACAATTAAAAAAGTCCACGGGTTTGAAGCCATAAAATTTAGTAGTAAAAAGTGACTCTAAAATTTCTTACCTTTGCACTGAACGTTCCCTCTTTGTGAGCAAAGAAGTTCAATCTGTATTCTCGTTTGGAGAGACCCGGGACATCGATGTAGTCCAGTCCCTTTAGCGTAGTAGCGCTGTCTGGTCTGTCAGGTTTCAGCATCTCTATTATCACGCGGAATCTAACGTAACAATATATGCAATGGTGCTGAATTAAAATCCCACAGAACGTGAGGCACAGGTGCCGCAAAAAGCTACAACACAACTACAAATACTATTAATCCCAATAGTTTTCTCAGTACCAATTCTTTATGAAGAATGGATCAAAACAATTTCATGACAATAAAAAGAATTTCCCTTAAAAAAGGAAAATGGAATTGAAGGGAGTTTCAACGACGCCAAGGCTGTCATCATATTCAATACTTGTAGGTCAGATTTTGTGGGTTGGTTATAGTGTGAAATGGGCGTGAAAGCTTTGTCATGTTTGATTACCATACAGTGTAACGTACTGCTAGAGTTAAAATGGGTAGATAAAAATTGTAAATGATTGAAATTTCAAGTTGTGTTTCTTGTTATTGATGAAGAGCTTTTAAAAGTTTAGGGAGCTAATTAAACTCGTTACAACTGGAGTTGCGCTCAGTGAAAAATTCTATCAAAACAATTTCACTTCAACCGCTGATTTCTGTATCTAGCACACCTTTAGAGAATCACTAAACCTTTAAAATTACGAATTCTTTAGCTTTATCAAACGGTTCACGAAAGAGAAACCGTTTCACGAACCTCTGAGGTCTTCGCAGCCAGTTGGTGACAGTGAGCATTTCAGTGTAGGACGTTTTACAAGGTACCTCTCTCTGTATGTTGTTAACTGGCTTAGGACCCTCTGCATTACCAGTCACATTATATAGGAGACCATTGCCATCCGGGAGAGCGAAAAAAACAGAGCCCTGAAACAGAAATATGCAACCCTTAAATACTTGAATCACGTTACTCGATGAGATTTAAAAAAGATGCAACTTAAAGATAATCCAGCCAGGAGTTTTCTTCAGAAACACGAAAAAGTTCGGATTCTACGGAGCTTTTGATAAGCAAAGGTTCTGCCAGGAGCCCATGACTTGGGCTCCTGGTTCTGCCGTAAATCCAAGAGTTGTTTCTCACCCCTAGAGTGCGTCACATCACGACGCATTTTAGGCTTACAAAGATTAGGCATTTTAATGCCAAATCCTTGTTTTAAAAATCTTTGTTTTTTAAGGCCAAATCTTTGTTTTAAAAAATCAGTAAGGAAGATTGATTTTGATGGAATGGGTCAAATCCTCTAAATATCGACAAATTACAGTATTAGATAATGCATAACACTCGGTATCGTCCAAGAGTGAACAGGCTGAATGACTCGGGGAGTGATGTAGAAAAAACCATATTTTAACCTGCAATTAACAATTAAAAAGCTCTCTCTTCCTAAAATTCAGAAATTACAATCAATGCCACACAGCGCCGACAATGTAACGCAGAGCACTGCGATACGATGAAATAAAATGATAACGGAACTACTCATACCAAGTGTTTCTTTCCTTCCTGAGTCATAGTAAGTGGTCTGTAGGTTAACTCATAGTTTTTACTCTGTTGTGGCTCCACAGTAATGGTGTCAGGACCAGACCAGTATTCACCGTCAATCACAGGCCGCAGCATCCATAACTGGTTTGTCCGGTTATGTATGACAAGATTACGCGTGTCACGAGTGCGAACATGGGTCGCAAAGTGAAGCATCTAATAGGAAAGAGTGCAAGTTAACACAACGTTAACAATAGTAAGGGAAAGCTTTGGTCGTATGTTAGTTTCTTTATGTGTTTGAGAAAGTTGGATTATACGACACAAGGTAGTAGAAGCCCTTTTGGGCATGGTTTCATTAAGTCCCCTCCTCAGATTACGTGTGAATTCGCTGAAGACAAGGTTTAAAAGTCCTATAGTCCCAATCCATGTCTACCCATTTATCGTTGTAGGTGACAAAGGCAACACATTCTTCTTGTACATATTTTAAAGAACCTGAGTTTTGGTCAGGCCTGGCATCCCTAACCCACACTATCATCCAGCGCTCCACAAATTAAGCTAACCAGGTGTCCTTTAGGTACCTAGCAAAAGATTTTAAAACGCAAGCCTTGGGTTTTCTTCTTATTCCTCAGAGCGATAGTAAAAGTAGTTTCTCTTTCATAGTAAGCTGGGGTATTTTACCTCCTTTAGGGGTGTCTGTGGGATACAGCTTCCCGTCAAAACAAGCTTGAGCGCTTTACCACCTTCAATGGCACAACGCAAACTCTGTTGAGAAAAACACACACGACGGTCGGGTATCACAGAAGTGCAAAATTATTGGTTTCTAAAAAAATGTATTGAGCTGAGTCGGCGAATTGATGAAATAATTAGTTGATATCTAGTTTGTGAGTGAGCTACAAGATTTTGAAGGTAAATGGACTGCTGAGCAGACCTTGAAAGGCTTACATATCACATGATCACTGCTCATGGTTTTATCAGTTAGATCATAAGTGTTATCATGGTGATTTAACACTGTTCTACTCAAATAAACAAATAAATGCGTATTTTTCATGCTCATAATTATCTGAAAGTTCGCGAATGGATGTGCTTCATACCTCGTATCTTATATCATGATTCACCACAGTGGGATGAAACACGATCTCGAAGGACACTTCCATTCCGGGTGAAATGTAACCTTTAACTGGTGAGATAGAGAAATCAGGTTGAAACTTTTCTACATTCCAAGTAAAGGCTGCTCCGATGTCTCCTGTGTTGTGCATGATCAGCTTCCTCGTGCTGCGACTGCCGAGAACTACAGCGCCAAACGGCACCGAGTCGCTGTCCAACGTGATCTCTATTCCTTGACAAGAGCCTGTTACCACAAAGATGGGCTGGGACATGCCGGCACACTCCAACATCACCTGCAGCGTGAAGAATAAATGGATATTTACTTGAAAAATCCAATGTTCTTGAACGACGCATCGACCAATATCTTAATATCATTCTAAAGCACCAGTAGATATTCGCTGTTTTCGACGGAGATGTGTTGAATTATATTCTTATCTTATGAAGCGTTTCAGTGCAAGGACAAAGGAAAATTCAAGCGGTGTTTGACTTACGTATTTAAAGAGAGGAATAGATGAAACATATGATGCAGAAAGATCATTATTAATTCTGACGGATATAGTATGCTACATGAAGCAAGAAACGAAATGTGCTTTTGATCGACGCGGAATAAAGAAATAACCACAAGCCGCCGTTGGCGGAAAATAAACAGTCTACAGGCACATAACACAACGTAACAGAATAGCATCTTTGTCAAAAAGTCAAAAAAACTATTGAGCACTTAATTTACCTCTTCGGTAAACTGTGGTATGCGTGTTTTCGGTTTGAAAGTCAGGTCCACGCCACTCGTGCCGCCATTGGCCCTAAGAGTGATTTCCGTAGAGGGGCTAATAGTGAGAATGTTTGCTTGTTGAAGCGCCACTACAGCTGGTGTGATGGCTAGGGTGAATGTGATTGGTGCCGGGCTGCGGTTCACTAACTTTACACTCCGCTGATTTGTTTGGCCGACACGCAAGGCGCCAAAATTTACTTTTCTGTCTGAAGGATTAGCGACCTCTACCTGCGAGGAATAACAAATAAGAACTGTCACGGTTCCAGCACTCCAGCCAAAATTTCTCAATTTTGTTATTTACAATTTATTTTTTACTGTCTCCATCCTTCGCAAGTTTTGTTCTTCCCTAGCTTATCAACGCCTTTTTTGTCTTTTCCTACGTTAAAGAACCAATATTTTGTATTCTTATTCTTTCTCGAGTTTAAATTAGTTTGGCAAGAGACAAAATATCAATTCAAAAGTCGTTGTGTAGTTCCTCGAGAGCCTTTTCGTTGCTTCTTGTTTACAGTCTGGTATTACTCTTAAACTAGTTCGATTCAAAGTTCTAAGGCGTAGCAAATGTGTAGTTAGTGCCGGACAACAAGCTGTTCTGCGACCCTAGCAAGTAGTTAGAGCTTGTCTGCGGGCTTGGTAGACAAACGGTAGGAAACAAATTCCCTGATCAACGTAAAAAATAACAAATAAATTGGTGTATCAACTTTCTTGGCATATCCCTGATGCCGTGAGAAGATTTTTTACAGACCAAATTTGCAACAAACCTATTTCAGGTAACACGCTATATTCTTTACAGAGACAAAAAGGCAATGCTGAGCACTATATCGAGTAAAACAAATTACCTTCATGTCGGTTCCCTCGCCAAATATCTCGACATTCATGGTGGACAGACCGTTGATCTCAAACGGGATGACCTCATGATATCTCCTGGCTTCCCGGGGATAAAACACAATATCTACCTGCATGGCTTGGTTTGGTATCAGGACTCCAGGTAGACAGGCGACCTCAAGGTGGGCAGTATTCTCGTATTGACACTCAATACTGAAAAAATATAGTAGGGTGTTACAGACATGAATTACGTGGTTCGAGTTAAATCGTATTTTCCAAGAACAGTCAGATACCATGTTCGCAAACATTCTTTGGATGAACACTGTGTAAAATCTGCAGCGTTTGTTTATTATCAAGTGGGATGTTTCTACAGCTTCTTCGAATTAGAAAGAGTGAACTGAAGGGAATCAGAATCCCTCTCATATTCTTGAATAAAATGGGGCTTCCAGACAGTTTACCCACTGTTGTCAATCACTTTCACGGAAATAGTGAAGTTAAAACCTGGTTAAAGGTAGACAGAAAAAGCAACAAACTCTAATTCAAGATCATTTGCGCAACTATTCCTTAAGTTAATCTGCTAAGTTGATTCTTGTGAAGTCACACTGGACTCAAAGGCAAATGTGAAATGTAACAATAGTTGTGAAACAGATCAACACATTACCTGATATCTTTTGTATCTTCGTTCTTAATGATCAACGTAGTCCGTTTCCGAGGCATACCAGCACGGTACAGGAAACACGGACCAAAGTCATGCCTCACAAAAGAGAAGTTGAGTCCAGGCTGTATACCCGTCCCTGTTAGATTTATGGTGAACGTTGGGCCATTGGTGATCTACAGACAAGCACACAAAGAAAAGTTATCTGCATGTAAGAATGCAGTTAAGAGAAGCTGTATATAGTTCAGAGATGAAACTTTAACTCCCACAGATGACACACAAATTTCCATGAAGCACTATAAATTCAATTCAACACAAAGTCAAATCAGAACAATTTTCACATTTTTGTTGTAAAGTGATTCGATATCACTTATCCAGAAAGGTTGCCTGATGCATTTGGCAAAGCCATAGCTTAGTTCAAAGGTAAACCCGAAACAGCAATGTCTCCAGCAAGGAGCAAACCTACATTCACAACATGCCTTTCTACAAACTGCCAAAAGTGAATCACCAATACCTTTAACAATAGATCGCATCCTGTCAGTGAAAGTCTCCCAGGTGGACAGAAAGCTAACTGACATCTCTTACGAGTATTACATGGCACCGTTCCACTTTCAGGAGTGACTGATACAAGCTTCTCCCCATCGAGAACCCTGAGGCCCTTAAGCTTAGTCCGGTTATGGATCTCCCACGAAAAGTCAAAATTAAATTTCCCTGAGTTGATGACAAACAACTGTCGGGTGGCTTTTTCGTTGATTTCAACCTTAAACGAGAGTAAAAAAGAACAAATTCATTTTATTATTAGCTACCGACTTCTTTAAGGAGCCAGCTGATGGTTTGTGCAACCTACAAAGGTAAATCGTTACTAGCAATCTGTTCAAACCATCTTCAGCCACCCTCTTTTCTTTTTTTGCGGTTTCTTTTTTAACCGAATCAATACTTATACCCTCGAGTCTCCTTTAAATTGATGGTAGTCATATATTAATATAGCGAGAGAGTAGCGCCACTAAAGATCCGTTAAAAGGATGGTGTAAGATTCATATTGTACTGATAAGTGCAATGAAGTTAATTTCATTGCTATAACCAGCTCTTATATTCTAACAAGGTTTGAAATGTTTTGATCTGATGATATAACAGTAAAAAAGAGAGCGAACGAAAAGGAGAAAGACAACAATAGAGTGCATCGACCAGTGTAATCACCTTCAAACGATCAACGAAGCACTTGGCGTAGTTATTTCACCCCGAAATTTCCCACTTGTATCCTCAACTCAAATAATCAGCTCTTTCTATTGATATGAATAATAAGTCGAAGGCTATTCCGGCTTCAAAAGCAAACAGATATTTAACGTTTCGTTTTAAAATATATTTTGCCAGTTATGTTTTTCTTTACAAAACTAACCATTCCTAAGTTGATTCTGTTTGTTCCTTTAGATGTAAGCTCCACTTTGTTTCCCTGTGAATCTTCGCAAACAAGCTGCGCATTCATGGCATACCCCTCTGCCTTCACATTCAAGGTTAGAGGAGATGTTTTCTTTTTCACATGACACAGAACATTGAAGTTTACTTCCTTCTGTTCAGTTGCTGTAAAGGAGATTTCGATTGGTAGCCTGAAAAAATATGCAACAGCAGTGAATGTTTGAGGTGTAAACACAACTGTTTGTATATTACACATTGTCAATAGCCAATCATAAGACATTTTGATCCTTTGACCCCCCATAGTACTTAATTTCTTCTTACAATATCACCCCTGGATAACTTAAATTTACGAGAATGCAGGAAATGATCATAAACTTAAGAAGCTTCAGATTGATAAACAAATTTTCCTTGTCAGCTTCACAAGAAATGTAGAGAGACCAGTGAAGCGGAGTATACATATCAATGTTAAGGTACAAAGTGTTAAACCGCAAACCAGTATGAGAAGAACGGATTCAAGCCAAGTCAAAGCGCACACACTTTTTTTCGGGCATTACTTCTTCAAACTCTTACACTGTCCTTTGCATGCGAGGATAACTGCGTCACTTAGTCACCGGTTAGGGCAAATATGATTTACTCCAAGCACTATTTGTAATCTAATTCATTAAGATGAGAAGACATTTCATACCTGGCCTTAGGTAGGACTGTTCCAGACATGGGTTCCACAGACAGACTAGACGCATATCCTTCTGTGTGACAAGACGATTCGCTGAATGAAAAAGTGAATGGGATGTTCTCCTCGTTCACTAACTGTACAGTTTCTTTTGCCGGGTGACCTGAAACAGCAAAGCATGATACAAAAATTTACTTTAACGTAAATAGACTCCAGCTTGTTGCAACGACACAACAATGTAATACGAGTCGAAAATTTTTCTTTTTCTCGTTCCTTACCCAATAAAGTTTTTGTACTTTCCGTGGTTCAATTTCATCTCGTCATATAATTTACACTATTCTTTCACAGAGATTCCAAGTTCAGGTCTCCATAAACTCAAAATTGTTCGGAGATGGTCACGATATTTCACTAATAGTACAGTTGTAAGCGATGATATCATAGATGTGATCAATTACAGCCACGAGCTGAGTCACAAGTAGTTCATGTTGTAAAACTTCGTGCAAATTTTTCTAGCTCGTCAACTGCAATCTGGTTTAATCTTCTTCGCCCATCGCCATTATTGTATCCTCTGAGTTTATTATGGCCTCCTTCATGTTTTCCAACCTTACTGTGCTAATATCTTCTAATCTCTTTCTCTCTGAACATATTTAAACACTTCGCAAAATGACAAAAAAATCACAATCATGAGAAACGCCATACTCACCAAGCAGCATTTCCCTGAAGTTTATGTGAGACCTGTCAAATGACAGCGCGGGCTCAAATGTATGCCCCACCATAACAAATGGAATGGAGAAGCTGTACTCAGGCACAAAGAACCGCCAAAATGATTCAACCAGGTCCAGCGAGTCTGATACGTACTCAAACACCATCTCGTACTTCTTCCCACTCAGTATGGTCCCCTCGGGAGTCAGGCACCGGAAATTGACCGTTTCTGGGGGCGCGCCATCCAGTGTGTCCTCACTGGTCCACACAAAACTGTAGCTTGTGTTGGATGGGTTTATGACGCTAAAACGTCTATGGGAACATATCAATTATTAGTAGACACACACCAACTGATCCTGACTGTGTTTTACACGCATTTCGCAGATAGTTTTGACCAAGTTTCCTCTTTCGGCTTCCGAACATAATAACATGGGATTTGACCAATTTTTAGGCCGTAAAATTTGGATTCAAATAACTGGAATTGGGATTTTGACACGTACTTGAATCAATATAATTGAGAATTGGGCAAAGACTAAATTTGACTCTGAGGACAGATTTAAATTTAAGCATTAAAGAATTGAATTTTTAACCCCTCCAAGGTTTGAAAACAAGTCCAGAAAAGGTCTCATGTTTGGAAGTTCTATTCTTAAATCTAAATTTTTTATCATCAGGCTTTGAAGTGCGATAACATATTGAAGGAAATATTAGTTAGTTTGTTATATTTTTTTACTTTGTCGCAGGTTAATGAAAATTTCAATGGTAACTTACTTTATGTTTTTAACTTTGACTCCGCACGACTTGAACTCGATAACTTTCGTGGTGGGATCTAAGGTAGATCCGGGGGGAGCCCCACCAGGACCTCTTAACTCGGGGTTTCTTCTCCCCCCGGAAACATAATCTGACTCCTCCAATTCAAAGTGACAATAAGGAAGAAGGCTCCTTCCACGAACGGGAATGGAGAAGCCGCCTGTGTCTGGCGGGAGATTGTTGGCACTGCAAAGATGAAAATATTAAAGAGAAACTTGTTATTACATTGAGTTACTCTGACGTCATACGTGAGTTAAGTTTTTCGCTGATTCTAATGTCCCGTCCCCCCTTTACATCAAACAAAAATTTGGCATGCGTGCCAACAAACAAGTTCTTAAAATAAATAGCATTGCGGAGAGGAACAAATATTCACAGATCATGTTACCATTTAAACGAATTTGCATGTTTTCGTTGATGCGAGTTTGTATGTTACTTTTTCTTTTTTCAAAAACGTTGGGATGTTTTTTTTTCCTTAAGAGAGTTTTCTTGCTTGTTTGTTTATTTTTTGATGAGTCTGTGTGCTACATCATCGCACCACAGTATTACCTGAAGGTCACCAGAGCATCATACTCGGACACATCTAACGGTGAGAACTTCACAACAAAGCTACCCTTCTTCCCTGCAGGGATGCTTCCACTTTCTGGCTCAATCACAAAAGGGAACACATCGCTTCCTCCTTCGCTCACTACACTGCCTGCCTCGTAGGCAAGAGCCAGGGCGCTTGACGGCCGCCCACCCATGGAGGACCCAGGTCTTTGAGTGGTTGGAGGTACACGTCTAGGAGGGTGCACTGATGAGCCCCCTGTTGAAGTGGAGGGGCGAACGGTTCGCTGACCGGTGGATTGTCCAGCGGAGCTTTCGGGTCTCTCGGGTCCTACCTCGGGCGGCTCGACTAGGCTGACAGTCTTTGGTTTTTCCACTGGCTGAAAATGCCACTTGTAATCGAGCTCCACATCACCTTTGTTTGAGACTGTAAAACTGGAGAAGATATTTTTTCTTTACCTTTACAGCAGGTTTTTTTACAAGTGGAAAAGCTTGTTCTTAGTTAGGTATCAAAGAAATGAGTTACTAACTTCACATCTAGAACACTTCACCTTGAACGGTACGAAAACACACCCAATAGAATCTAAAGATTGTGTCTGAGAAACATTACAAGGAAGGTGTGTTTCACGGAGATGATCTACAAATAACTCACAGCTCACCTGTACACACGAGACTGAAACATCAGTGTATCTTTGAAGTGTATGTTCTCGACTTTGCAGCGGTATTTAGCAAAGTCACACACGGCAGTAAGCAACAGTTCCACGTCTTTGGTGCTGTTTTCTAGGGCTGTATATGGAGGCTCAGCTTCAACTTCAATGACTTTCTTCTTAGAAGGCCGGGGGGACTTCCTCACGCCAGTGGAAGGGTCTTCACCAGGTACCACGTCTATCCACTTTACAGTGCGCATGCGATCGTCCCAGTCCACCGCCTAAAGAAAAGGAAATTAAGTAAGCAACTCAAACGCACTCTGTTACATTGATGAACATCCAAACAACAAATTGTCGGGGAAAAATAAAATATTAAGTCAACTCCACATCCCTTTGCTTTTTTTCGGCATGGTTTAGACTGGTAATAAGTTAAAAATAAAAATAAAAATAAAATTAAACTCGAAGATCATGAAGATAATCAAGTCATCAAATCTATTGAGTGTCGCTGCCAGAAAAACTGAGGCTTAAAGCTGCCACTTACAAAATGGTTTGATCATCATAAAACATCTTAAAACTAGCATTGTCGAAGAGCAGCACCATCATCTTTCGCTCTCTTTTATTCTTAATTTTGTTCTGTCGAAGACAAAGCCACGAATCTTTCCACAAAATTAAATGAGATCACCGAAATTTGTGACGAATTCTACCTTCTACAAAGAGCCTAAAATGACATTTAGATAATTTACACGTTTTACCATACAATCCATTTTTTCTATTTTAAGACGTACTTTATCCTGCGCCTCTCCTAGCTTGATCTTAGTGACTTTACAAGGAATGTTTGTCGCTGAATATGTCTTTGGCTCGTTAGAACAGAAGGTTACTGTGACATCCTTTGCACAGTTTGGCTGTAAGTGTCCTGTGCACGGAGAAAATGTCACCTCAGGCGGCGGGGACCACGTGAAGCGCACTGGGTCCGAGGAAGAATGGTTTGTCAGTGTGAATGACAGCTGTTTGGACACACCCACGGCACAATCCCCAAATTTAACGTGGTTTTCTCGTGATGCTACGAATAATACAAATGAAAGAAGGAAACGTAACTAAAAGGATAATAGTACCTTTTGTAGGCCGTATCTATGCAACACGTGTCATAAAAAGTTCAGTTACGTCAACAACAAAGATAATACTAGTGATGACCAGCGTTTGATGAATGTTTAAGGTCTGCGACATGAATTTAAGGTTAATCACACGTTTTAAGAGCACTGTTTCTTCTGAAACCACAAAGTAAGAAGCGAATCAAGTTTTACAACTAAAAACGAAAAGCTATCAGCTCATTTCCCAATAATACCTGGAGTGTCGTCGTCGATCTCCGTCTCAGCTGCCAGTTCCTCAGTCTGAACAAAGGACCGTATATTATCTATGGTCACCTCATCTTCATAACCTTCTCCAATTAGTTGAACTGTACTTTCTTCATAAGGATTATCCATTACTGACAGCCTAATCTCGCCCAGCGAACGCCCCACCAGGGAGGGGTTGAACTCGATCGCAAAATCTGCCGTCTTACCCATGGGGACCACCACAGACAAGGTGTGAACTCGCGACTTCGGATCTACGTCGTCTTCACCGTCGTCAAGTGGCTCCATACCTTTGGTACCTTCCACACATGAAATATTGTACACACCTTCGGGGTCTTTCAAATCGATATTCGCTCGGGCCATCAATGTGCCTTCGTTCTTTAGCGAGAGCGAGAGCACTTGAGTACGTCCCAGTAAAAGGCGTCGGAACAAAAGGACTGGAGCACCTTTCTTGTTTCGAGCAGTGGGTCGAACCACGGTGATTCTAGGAAGGTTTCCTTCACCCTGGATGTCGAACGTTAGGTTGCGGTACTTTGACATAGCGCTAGGCATCCCATCTACGGCTGCTTCAAGAGTAGCGTTGTAGGTTTGCATGGACGGAGGACTGAAGGTCACAGTCGCGTACACATAGCTGTGAGCTGGGATCGAGGCACGCTGGGGTTCAATCTCATAGACGTCGTGCCAACGAGCAGATGGTTTCATGGACTGCGGTTTCACGGAGAGAACCAAGTCGCATGGCACCTGAAGTGTTGAGAAAATAAAGATCACACCGCTCGTCATTAAAAGTTAAGGAACTTAATTCTCCTAAAAAAGGATGTTCAAAAACGACCTTAAAGCTATCGCTTGAAGCGAGAATTAACTTGGACTCATGTTATGGCTTGAGTAGGGGAGGGTTTCAGGCAAATGAGATGTGCATGCCAAGATTTCAAAACTATTAAACAAAAAAAGTTTTGAAATGTTGCAAGAAATAACAATAATCGAAGCATAGTAGCATTAAAGACCTTCTCAAAAACAAAAATATTAACGACGACCAAAGGTAAACAACACTCAAACTCGGAAAGACATACGTTACCAACTAAGATTGATTTCACTTTTTGTATCTGATTGGTAAGGAAAGTGGTCTCACTTTCCTAGAGTAATCAAAAAGCACAATGAGGTAAAACCACTGCAAACCACGATCACTTTCCACGTACCTTGTTCTGATTACCAATTCTAAACCTCGCTTTGGCTTTTCGTCCAACAATAGTGTTGTAAAATATAAACTTGTTCTCGTCCTCTCCATACACTCCAGAGCCACTCGCGAGGTCGTGCGTCAGGTACTGGAATAAATTCAATTGTTTGACGATTAAGTGTTCTTCGAATATAGAGCCAACTGTGTCGGGGGCGATTGTGGTGATCCCGGGAATGCATGCTTCTCCAATCAGTTTATAAGGTATTCCCTGTGGTTGGTCGGACGGCGGGCGGTCTGAGATGTCAATGGCAATGTCCTGAAATAAAAAAAAGACAAACCGTTGGGGGAAATAAACTTTGTGAGAATATGAAATCGATTCTACAAGAAGCTGTAAAGGCAAATTCCTGTCCCCGTGCAAAACATTTTGCTCAACTAGCAGCCGTTGGCTTGACGTTCAAGTGAGTGCAGAAAGTTATCGACAAACTGACGCACAATCAAGTGCTTACGTCACAATTGACTTCGTTTAAAATCCGTCGCGCTCGCGCAAAACAAATGACGTAATGGAGACATCTCAAGGCACTAAGCGCGCGTGGGGAAAAATCTTACTAACCTCTTCTGAGAAGCCTGGGTTTTCAGCGATCATATCCACCGTTACTTGCACAGAACTACCGGCCTGCACGCTCCCGACAGCTGGGTAGACTGTAAACATTCCAAGCTGAAGGCGAATGTTTGGTGCCCCTGTGGTCAACTCGGCTCTGTGGAAAAAAAAAGAGAAAACAGCATTTATTTCAACACTGCACGGACAGGGATTGTAAACTGAAAAGTGTAATGCAGAAAACAGTAGAAGGTCACAGATGCTCAACTGGTAGAATGAATACATACAGTTTATCAAACGACTTCCTTATGCAATTTGGTTCCGAGTGCTCATTCATATCAAATAACAATGAAATTACTTGGCTTCTTTTGAATAATTTACAGTATATCTCAACATCCTGCAATCGATTTAATATTTTTGTGCAGGTTGCGGTTGAACGACGTGTTGTCAGCCAATGGGCATGCTGAAATTCTTGCTTGTGTACTGTCATATAAGTAATCTTACATACCCTCGTACTGAATCTGCTCTCTTTGGTTTAGACGGTTTGTCTTGTTGAGATCTTCCCGAACTCGACCCATCACGTGATTTGGCCCTTTTCGCGGGTGGCCCCAGTTTCTGGCGTCCTTGTGCCACCGTGTTGATCATCTTTAGGACTGAGTACCGGAATTCAAACTCTCCCTTGTTCTCGATAGTGAACACCCGGGTTTTCTTAGTGTTGATTAGCATGGCTCCAAAGTTAATGTCACTGACCGGCGATACGGCGTACTTGCTGTAGACAGAGCGCACGCTAAGTTTTATGGGAATGCTGGCGATCACCTCGCCACCTTCGCCAAGGTGAGGCTCTACGATCTGAAAGAACCAATCAAGATATGGGTAGAAAAGTCACGTGAAGTATATCAATCTGACAGATAAAAGGGAGGCGATTGGAATTGAATGGTGAGTTTTTGAAATGTTTTAAAATTTTCTTTAAGAAAAAAATAAGCGAAATCATACAAGGTTTTGTTATAACTTCGAATCAAGTGAATACCGAAACGCTGTGTGATCTCGCTAAATTTTATTATTACAAGCGAGATGTTTATCGAAAAGAAGCTAACGAAAATATTGAGTTTCAAATCATATAAGTGAACAAAACAAAAACAAACGAAAAAAGAAAATTGCTTTTAGTAAAGACACAACCGCCCAAAGCTCCGTTTCCCCCATTTCTAGGCTAAACTAATAACGCAAAACTAAAATATAATGCCATTCCTCTCAAGAATTCTTTTTAGCTTTAGGTTTTGTTTTGATTGTTTGACTTTTTAAAAGAACGATAACTGTGCTTGGTATTATAACTATTGGGGAGGCAGGAGTAATTCATTAAAGACGGGGGCATAAGAAGGTCCAAGCCATGAAATATCTACAATATCGTTCAACGATAAGCGAAAACATTGTTTACCTGGCATTTGAGTACAGGCTGGTCTTTAATAGTAATCTCGCTCTTGGATCTGAAGATGACCTGTACTTGAGTGGGTCGATCGGTAGGTAGTAGGGGACCCTTGTTGGGTATCACTGTAAACAGCTGTGCTACGTCCGCTGGCGAACCTTCTGTTGGCTCATACGCGAAATTGAAGTTGATTTCAAACTTGCCTTTGTTCTTTAGAGAACAAGTCTGCTTTGTTTCATCCAAAACTTTGAGAACGCCAAAGTCAAGACCGCCGTCTGCACCTGAAAAGACAACGTAAAGCAAAATTTTTTTGAGAACGAATATGAAATGAAGGTCACAAGGCGAAGACATTCCAGTAAATACAATTTCTTTAATGTTTTCTTTTCCCGACCGTTACGCTTAACCCTTTAACCCCTAAGAGTGAATAGCATCTAGTTTCTCTTGACAATATCCCCCCTGAGTAACACATTAAGGTTACGAGAATAAAGGAAATGATCACCAAAAGAAAAAATTATTGATTGTTGAATAAATTCTCCTTGTCAGCTCCTTGGGAAATGTATGGAGAACAGTATGAAGAATATAAATACTGATGTTTGGGTGTAAAGGGTTAAGACAGTCCTCGGTTGAAAATTTTGACACTTCTTAAAATGAAATATTCACAGGTATTCCTTTGGGTTTCGTTTGGTGACAGTCTATCGTCATTATTACTTTACTGCCCATATGAAAACACAGGTAAACGTTTCCCCATACATGTCCTTGTCAACCTACGTACCTTTAGGGAAACTCATATCTAGAGCAACATCATAAGACTCTGCATGAACTTGAATGTTTTCTGCCTGTACCAGGCCCATGATCTGGTCTACATCAGAAACCTTTGAAATACAAAACATTTTAGTTCATAAAAATGCACCTAAAATCACAGTAACTACAGCTACAGCGAAGAACTGGCCTACCGACTGCAAGCAGGGACTGGCTTTGATGGAAGCTGGTACTGAGCGTGATTGACAGGTGATTCTTGTGGAGAGTAAGTATGTGGAGAGAGTTACTGTTGTTTTTCGTGAGCACTAGAATGCGTAAGTAATAGAATAAACGGTGATAAACTAGTTTTTTTCTGTTATGGAGATATTTTTAACGGGAGCATTTCCAAAAGCTTAACGTCCCATCCAGGTGGAGGGGCATACTCCTAGTCACCTCGAGCCATAGAGTCCGGGATAAGCTCTAGCTCGACTGGCCATTTGACTCGAGAGCAGACCTCTACTTTTACCTCATTCAAGTCAAGTGTATCTTCGTTTATCAACATCAAATTAAATCATCACACTTCTTCGGATTTATCTAAAATATTATCGAATTGAAGACTTACAGTTACGCGTGCCAAAGGCTCACTTCCTGAAAGTTTTCAATTTGTAATTAGAATGTTACGTACCTCCAGCCTCACAATCTTTTTGACGTTGGTTGGCCGAACAGCTCTGAAGTGCATCTGAAGAGCAAACTCTGATTTAGCATCGATCACGCCATGTTCAGTAGTCAACGAAAAGTCATCACCCAGATTGTCCATCCCATTCACTCGCCAAGCCACAGGTAGCAGAGTGCTGTTACGAAGGAAGATCGTTTTTGTGTCTTTCCTGAAAATAGAACAACGAAAAAAGAGTTATTAAGCATGTTTTCATCGCTGTATGCGGAGGTCCTAAAGAGCGCGCGGAGGATAGGTGAGTGAGTAATTCAGTTTGTTTTAGTCTGACTAATTCTCATATTCATCTTTGAGCAAGGAGAGGAGCACTCAGACAATGGGGTCAAAACCCTCAAACACAACAAAGCAGGGCACAAATTCTAAACGCTAGTTCCAAAAACTACAAAATAAAATTTGGGAATTCGTGCCTCCCTTTCAACCACGTTTTGCTAAAATAATCGCAAAAAGCATTTCAACAACTGCATGAGTATTATGTGAAGTAATTCTGTAATTCTTAACAACTCAGTTAATAAGGGCAACCCAACAATGGTCACAGCACAGACTCACAAACCGAGGACTATTTCGCCTTTGAAATTGCACCGACTCGTTCAGCAACCAATACTTTAAATCGATTTGACTTTGCTAAAATATGTTGCTCCATAAAGTAAAAGAAAAGGTGGGTAAACATGTACTACACTGTGAAGCGCCATCATTTTTTACACAGACCTGTGTAGTAGAACTCTATCAAACTGCAGCTGTCTCCGATCCAACTCCAGCTCAGGCCGGACACCATGACAGGAAATCTTAAACACAACCGGCTCAGGATTCTCTCGAATACAGCACACCACAGCATCTTCGAAGAAGCCTGGTGTCTTAGGATATGCCCACAGAGTGAGGTCCTGCAACAGCAACAGAAGTTCTCACTATTTACAGATATCGAACACTGACTTGTAGCAGTAAGTGATCACGCACTGTTGAGTGAACTCTCTTCGCACAGACATTACCAAGGTTTGAAACTTGGGTTAGCACCACATTAACCTTGAATTTGGTACAATTATTGGCTAAAAGGACCGGTTTTTTGTTTATCATTGTGCCGCCCACTATTGCCTATCGTGACAGGTCTTTAAAATGCCTGCGTCTGTAAGATGCACAATAAGAAACTTTTGTAATTCCTCAAAAGCTCTTCACTGAGAACATTTATGTGGAGAACTTTGTGTGATTGCATGACTTGCTACGTTACAGCTTTTAAGAATTTGTGACTTTTATCTCCGTTTCGTAACTAAGTTAATAATTATCTTGGATTTCTCGACTTTCGAATCAATTGAATAAAGTCTTTGTTCGGACGGGGGTTTTCTCGGGCATCGCTGTGACAAGGTTAGGAGGTTTTTACGCCACAGTAAATCTCTTGTTGATTCAACTTGCGAATTTTCAGTGTCTCTTGGAGACAGGACCTAATATTCCCCGCATTTATGAGTGTACTTCCTTTTAAGTGAGCCTTAGAAGAATTCAAGGACAAAAATGGCAAAGCCTAGTTTCCTTCCTCTGCAAAAATCAGGATCTATATCCAAGGAGTCTTGACCTAATCCCTTTTTCCTTTTCTATAGGAAATTATTTCATGCCCTTATAAATGGATGGGTTACCCTACCTGACTCTCACCCGGCTTCAACTTCATGTTGGGTGGATCAATAATGAAGGTAACCGCTGTGCTATCCTGCTGAAAACAGAAGTTGACATCTGCTTCCAGTGGAGAGGTGTTGCAGATCACGATCGTTTCCATATTCTCTCGATACTTGCCTTCCTTGTACCGGTCTCGAGTCTTTCCTGTCAAAAAAGGCAATACATGAAGCTTATTTGCAGATAAATGGCTTTAAAAGCAAGAAGCCACCATTAATGGAATTTAACGTCAATTCTTCAAGTAGAATCTCGGCTGTAGAGTGATTCCATTTAAATGGGCAACGTCAAGGTTAGAACATTAGCACGTATAAAGAGACATTCCAGAATTCTAGAAGACAAGACGCTTCAAGATGTGAATAAAGTACCAAAAGGAATTTTTTGACTCAATTTATTTTTACCACAACCTATGAAAAAGGCAAAAGCACTCAGACTTACCACAAAGCAACGGGCCAAACTCAAAAGTCTCACTGCTTAGAACGTATTTCTTATGCACGATCTCTTCCGGTTTGCGGTACTTCCGGCGGTGAGGGAACACCACACGCGGCTCGCGACTGATGGCGGGAAAAGCGCAGACGCCGCGGCAAAACAGCTGATAACGACGGCGCGTCCCCATGATCTCAAAGTTCAATGTCTGGTCAAACTGACCCAGCTCCTCGGACCGAAAACGAATGCGCAACCTCACTGTATCATTGGCAGGAATGACCCAGCGGTGGCTGACGAGTTGAGGGGTGCTGGGCACCGCTGCAGTTTCACTGTAAGAGGAAGAAACAGAAAGTCGGGTTGGAAATTCATTACTTAAGTATTAAAGCAAATTGGTACCAGCATAGTCAACAAGCTACGCTTTAAAAAAATAGTTTGCTACAAAGCTAACCTCTTGTCTTCTTCTGCAGGGGTGATACTGGGGGGAGGTGAGGGAGCCCCGTGTGCTGCTTTTCCCTTCCGGGCGGAACTTCCTCTCTCCTTTCTGGACTTTGTACCTCCCTCTCTATCATCCTTGTCTTTACGGCCCTTTCTTCCATGTTCCTAACGTTAAAGGAGCGAACAGCATTGTGAACAAATCAGTGTTAGATGATGGAAATAAAAGCTAATGAACACTGATACGTAAATTTGTAATCTACCGAGGCAGGAAGCAAGATGGCGGGTTATGAGCCATTTTTTTTGCGTTTCTATGAACCGGAACCTTTTCTAAATGAATGTGAAACGGCAATCCTGTATTTTTAAGTTAGACGTTTTCGCAAAGTTTTATCACACAACTGAAAAACTCACCGGGAACAACTTGCCAAAGGAAAACAAATGCAATTTTGCTTCATCTTAGTCATTTTTTCAAAGAGAGTTAAACAGACAATTCGTACTCGAATCCACTTTATCTGCCTTGCGATCTAATTTATGGATCATGGGCTATAAGTAATAATAACAACAAAAAAACACCAATACTTAATTTAAGCACACCCCTTCGAGGAGCGCTAAGCTCGTTTGAACGTGTACGTGAAAAGATCAATAAATATTAAATAACAGTAAACATAATTACAATAATAATAACAGTAATCATAACAATCAAAGTGAAATGATAATAATAGTAACAACAACAACAACAACAACAATAATAATAATAATAATAATGATAATAATAATAATAATAATAATAATAACGCACTAACCGGTGGTTTCTCAGGTGTTTTCTCCACTTCTGGTTCAGCTTCTTTCGTCTTATCCTCCTGAGGGGCATTAGGATCATCTGGCCCCGACGCCACGAACACATAATGAGAAGGGGGATCTAATCCCAGGGGTGGACGTCTCCGTACGGGATACGGCACTACAGCAAAAGTGGCCGGGGGTGGGATGGGAGGACCATGGGGTCCTAGACCCAGACCGTCCATTACCTAAAATGGGTACAGTCACATGATCACTGAGGAGGAAACAAAAACCAATAGAAGTACCTATTTACTCTAAATGTTTCCTTTTTCTATTTTTTTTTCTTTCCGACTAGGATACGATTGCGTCGACTTCTCGTTTCCCTATTGTGCACTCCCGTCGAAGACAAAAATGAAGAAGAATGGGCCATTATTGCAGGTTAAATGTTTGGTTGCGTGACTCAATACGAAATTTTTTCGTATTTAGTTGAAGAATTGGCTTTCTGATAACTTCACTAAACTTGAAAAACCAGTTCAACCAAACGCGCGGTGAACGCAAAGGTAGTGTTGCTGTGACCCATAGAAACGCGAGAAATAGACATTTTGAATATAGCACAACGTACGATCTATTGTGAACAGAGGAGCAAAGGTGACAGAGCGTGAATAAAGCGACAGCAAAACTTTTGCAAGTTCCACTGTGTGCATAAGTGTGCGAACAAACACCAAGTAATCTTAACTAATCCTTATTGGGATACCTCTTCAACCGTTGGCAAAATTCCTTTCGCTAGTGTCTGTTCAGCCTGTGACTCTGTTGGGTTTCCTGTGTCCACAATAAGCTGTGGTACACCCACCCCGTCCTTTTTACCGCCATCTTCGTCATCATCATGATCACCGCTGACCGCTGACATCGGAGAGTCAGAAATCTGACGGCAAAGCAATATATAGAAGTCAAGATTAAGACAGATCTGTTTTAGATGAAAAGGCCTTGCGCGAAAATATGCTGGGAACAGCAGCATTGAGTTGGTAAAATGAAACTCTTAATAGTTTTCTTACTTGACGAAAAAAAAAGAAAATCAGCTGGCTTACCGTTGGATCCATCAAGATTACAACATGTGTCAGACGATTACAAGTAAACCATCTTCCCTCTAAACGACTTTCTTTAGCAAGCTCATGGTATTCCAACATTCATACACAAACAGAGCAGCACGAAATTTGACAAAACGTACATTTTCCATGCGATTTAAGAAAAGATAGTTAGTTAGTTGGTTCGCAGTTTTACCAGAAACCCAACCGCGTAATCATCACTCGGCAGTTCTTTCCTCAACAGTTTTATCCAAAATGTACCGTGAAATTCCAAATGATTTTTTTTACGTTGTATTGAGTCTGAGAGAGTTTTCCCTTCTATTTACCCTTTGACTCCCATGAGTGACCAAGAAAGAATTTCTCCTTACGATATCAATATAACGTCAGGCAGACAAGTGATGAGAATAAAGAAAAACATCAATCAGGGGATTATCAGTTGATCTTATACCAAATTCTCCAAACCAGCACCGTAAGAATTTTATCGCAGATAGTAGGAAGAATTACCAATGAGATCTTGGGAGTGAAATGTTAAGGACTAAGATTCAGATCACCTAGCTTGTATATATCACACACCTCCTTAGCTTTTTCTTTTTCTCTCTCCTTCTCTCGTTCTCTAAGTTCTTTCTCTTTCTTGTCTCGACCTCGCCTGGTCGATCCAGGCGCCGGAAGAAAGTCCTCAAAGTTCTCAGACTTGGGAGTGTCTGCACGCGCCACAGTACCCGTAGATCGATCCCAGTTTTGCAGCAAGCCATCAATGTCTCGGAAACTGGTCTCGAATGCATTAAATCTACGACACCGTCAAAAAAAAGTTTAGTGTGCTGGTAGTTTGTTCTTTTTTCAATGACACCCTATCACACTTAAAGAGAGAGAATCATTGTTTGACATTCCAACAATATCGGCTGCAAACCCCTCTACAATCGTAATAAAGATCTCTGTTTGTGGAGGGCCAAGGTAAAAATCTCCAATCAACATGAACTGAAAAATTAAATTTTTTCCCAAAAAAACGAATCATGAAGAATAAATGTCCTGACCCAAAATATTCAATAAACTCCACACCGGTAAACGATCTCAACTCGCGACTACGAAGTATGTGCTGCGATTCTTTTTAAAAATCAGAGGGTATACCTCGTAAGATGTTCTACACCTAACTTTAAGAGCTTTTAATGTTTATCCGTCTTACATTTTAAAATACTTTATTCAGGAAACAGATAATAAGAACTGGCCCACTTTTCAGGTTACGTGCGTGATCTTGATGTGACCTCAAATTCTCAATTCTCAATTCTAAATTTAACTTAAAAGGAAAAGATCAGCGAAAGGCGAGAATCTTTAGTCAAATCGTGGAAGTTAAAAGGTCAAGTCAAAATCATCTTCAAGTCAGCCTTACTTTTCAGTGAAGAGAATTAAGTATGATGCAATTTGGAACGCGGTTGTGGGGACTAAATGGTAGAATCGTTAAATTGCCGTTGAACGCTCTCTACAAAAACAGTTAGAGTAAGTCTTATTAGTACCTAACGCCACCTACTTTTTAGTAAGCTCCTTCTCCCTCTCCTCTTCCTCAGTCGGTGGTTTAGATTCCTCAACTTGCGGGATCAACGGAGGGTTCATGATGGCCGATGACTGGCGATGTTTCTGTACTTTGGCGATACTTAGTCGCTTCTTGTCGTCGGTAACATCACTGCTGTCGGAACGCTCGGAAATCACCGACGGGGCGCCCGTGCGCGTGTCGAAGGGCTGTGCTTGTGTAGACAGACCAGTGGTGCGATTAGGCGTGAGCTTATCACTGCTTTTCTCAGGTTTCTTTTCCTTTCCATCATGACCTTTCTTAGCTCCAGCACCTCCTGCTTGTTGAGCTCCTCGGCGTTTGCCTTTTTGATTACCACTGCAAGAAAGATGCAGCAAAAACAAAATATTAGAATAATAGAGAGCTTTCCTATTGAGGGTCGTAAAACCACAATTACTAAACTGATCACAAATGCTTGTTTTGACAAAAGCCACACTACACGTCAGGCAAAACATTTAACAATATAAGCATTAGTGTTAGCTTTATTTGACGCTTAAATCTCTCTACTTATTTACAAAGAAATGAGTAGCAACTAATAGGGAGAATTACTCATCAGATCTCAGGATTTTAGATATATGAAAATTCACATATTTGCACTGCGGTGGAAAGATGAAATTAGAAGATCCTCGCAGCTAAGAACACTACTGAAACTAGTAGTTGTAAGTAGGACCTGAAAAAAATTTCAGGCCCGTACGGGATTTGAACCCATGACCTCTGCGATACCGGTGCAGCGCTCTACCAATTGAGCTAACAAGCCAACTGGGAGCTGGTCAATGAATTGGGTACAAATAAACATCCGAGTGAATGAAGATTTTAGATATATGAAAATTCACATATTTGCACTGCGGTGGAAAGATGAAATTAGAAGATCCTCGCGATGACCTCCCATGACCTCTGCGATGCCGGTGCAGCGCTCTACCAATTGAGCTAACAAGCCAACTGGGAGCTGGTCAATGAATTTACAAATAAACATCCGAGTGAATGAAGATTTTAGATATATGAAAATTTTATTTGCACTGCGGTGGAAAGATGAAATTAGAAGATCCTCGCAGCTAAGAACACTACTGAAACTAGTAGTTGTAAGTAGGACCTGAAAAAAAATTTCAGGCCCGTTGCGAGGATCTTCTAATTTCATCTTTCCACCGCAGTGCAAATATGTGAATTTTCATATATCTAAAATCTTCATTCACTCGGATGTTTATTTGTACCCAATTCATTGACCAGCTCCCAGTTGGCTTGTTAGCTCAATTGGTAGAACGGGTATCGCAGAATCAGTTCAAATCCGTACGGGCCTGAAATTTTTTTCAGGTCCTACTTACAACTACTAGTTTCAGTAGTGTTCTTAGCTGCGAGGATCTTCTAATTTCATCAGATCTCAGGAGGTACTGGGCCAAGCTATCAGATTTGTCTTCCATGTTAAAGAAAACAGTTTAGGAATCACTAACCGCTCCTCCTCGAGTCTTTTTTCCTCCATCAAAGCTTGCAGTTCTCTTTCTTTCTTCTCCCTCTCCTGTCTTTCTAGCTCTCGTTTTCTTCTCTCTTTCTTTTGCTCCAAGTGTTTCCTATCAACCTCAGCTTTCTCTTCTTCCGTTAGAGCATCATATTCATCTTCAGACATCTCCTCCAATCGCCGTTTCTCTTCTTCCTCCTTTTGTTTTTCAAGCTTGGCTGAAGAAAGCAAAATCAAATGTGAAACTTAAACCTCATTTACACTGGTGACTTTCCCTTAACGATCTTCTATTCCCCTTGTATATGATACCTAAGCTATCCGTCGGATAAATACAGTTTCATCCTTACTATAAAAAGTTGAACAAACATAGTTTCCTCAAAAGTGCATGTATAGCAACCAGTAGATCCACTGTCGCAGCATTTGACGTGCATATTGTTCGAAAAACTTGCCAAAGAGTAAAACACCGCTACGCGACTATGAAAATAGAAAGATGTAACAACAAACAGACGGAGGCCCAATGAGGATAAATAATATTTAATAATATTTAACTGATTTGGCTTGAAAGCAATGTCTAAAGTGCACGTTGATGACTTCAAACGAAGCTGCAGTCTAAACACACCATAGCCTTACTTTGCCAAGCCATACTTCTCAACGAAACTAATTTCATTTTGTTGTTTATTATAGATTCACTTACCTTGCTCTTCTTTCTTCTTTTCTTCCACAGCCTTTAGCTTGGCCTGATCCAACATCAGTGTCACAAAGAAGATGTATTTGCGGTTATTGAAAGCACGGAGAATAGCATTTGCTGTACCCATCATGTTTGGACTGAACAGCGACTCCAAGCCATCCACTACGATTCCTTTCTGACAGTCACTCAACTAAAAACAATGAATGTCTTTTTTAAAAAGCTTTATTCGCCAACGAGCTGCCTTTGAAATAGTTGGTAAAGGGCTCAGCAGAACATTCTAATATTCTGAAAGATTGCATCTGACGGAGATGGTAACGTGTCTTAAGGTCTAAATTTCGTACACATAAAGAAGTTGTTAACCTTGATAATAATAATAATGATCGCCTTCTTGTTCACTTTCCCTCTTTATCTAACTGGGAATCTTCATTGTTATGCACTAAGATCAATTGGATGTCATGTGAGTAAGAGAGCGAGCTTGAGTGTTGTGCGATTATTTGTAATTTCGAGACATGGATAAATAGATAAATAGATAAACTTGCAACAGTTAAAAAGTTGTTCTCGAACTCGCACACTAACCTCCTGACGCCATTTTTCCAACTGTCTAATTAGATATCAAAACAGTGTTTATCCTCTCAAACCAACCTGAAATCGCTCCGCCAGCAGTTCGACAAGAAGATCCTCAGGAAGCAAGCAGCTGTAAAGTCCGTCTTCACCAGCGACGCTAGCACTGACACTCAGCTTCCGGCCTAAAGGTGCAGCCTGGGGTGGAGTCCCTGGAGGCGATTGCTGAAGCTGAGGAATATTCTTCCCAACACCTCCTCCACGGGGGCCACCAGCTATGGTGGAAGTCTTACGATCCTTCCCAAGAAACGATTGGGCTCCGGTGACAGAGCCAGCAGTGGAAACCGAGGGACCAGTGGCCGCACCCAGGGCAGCTACTGCCTCTACACTCAGTGCCACCGTGGGTTGGTTCAGCTGTAATTCAGCAGTCTGTTCCGCTTCCTTAGCCGCTCGAGCAGCTGATGCACACAACTCTTTGGCTCTTTGAGCTGCAAGAGCGGGCAAAATATCATAATCAAGAGAGATAAGTAGAGGAGTGAGTCATCCCGCGCGAACTTAAGCCGGTTTCTCAAGGAACAAGCCACTAGAGGCATTAAAACTCCCCTTGGTGTAAGTGCATAACAGGTACCCTGGCCCAGGATTTCATCACGTTCCCCCGTTTTATTTTAGTACTCATATCTTGAAAAGAGAGAAGCACTTTGTGAGTTAACTGCCTGGCACAAGGACAAGATAGATTTCCATATGTTGAAGGTGTTTCGTTTGCGATCGTCTGCGATATTTGGAAAATAAGAATGTCCATCGATATATCAATGTTTATATTCAAAACATTTTAAAAAAAGAATCCTGTTAGAAACCTGTGTAACAGCAGTGTAAGTAGTCCTTACTTGTCCGCGAACCTTTCGTCGATTTTAAGACTCATTTTGTTGCCATTTTCATCACTTTATCCCGGATAAGCAAAATCCTGCACAAGCCCATCATAACTCACCTGCAGAGGTGTTTCCATTTGATATAGCCTCTATAACCACTGCATCTACTGTCAGTAACGCTGCTCCATAAGTCTTAGCCAGTGACACCGCCGTGGCTGTCTTTCCAGAGAGAGGTGCTCCGTGCACCACTAAAGCAATTCCTCGTCTGTTACGGGCTGCCCTGCCCTCTGCTGTCAAGTCGATGCCAAGGTAGCGAGCAATGGAAGCGGACACGGGTGTGATTTCCAGTTCGCCAACACCGAGGCTACTGCTGTCTATAAAGACGGAGACAAAGAGCATACTAAGCGAGGAGAAGTCTTCTACTAACACACCTTAAGATTCATATTTCAGTAATCCTATTGCTCACTCCCTTACCATCTTTAGCTCCCTCGCCCACATCACTACCAGACCTGCCACCTTCCCGTTCACCGGAAGCTGAAGCCAGCTGTGTAGCAATGATAGGAGGCACACCTTCCACTCCTTCCTCTACGGCCCTCTCCGCCTGAGCGGCTGCCGCAGATGCCGCTGCCTCTGCTTTCTCCTTTTCTTCCGCCTCTTTCTTTCTTTGCTGTTCATTGTAAGCATCTGTGATTTCTTGAGGAAGCTTGTCCCCAGGTTGACGCGGGGGAAGCAGAATGGTGTTGTATTCATCGTAGCCTTTCATCGTGCGAAGCATCTGCAAATACACAAAAACTAATCGTTAGTAAATTTTCAAGCAATTTATTCATTAGTACATTTTTAAGTTCTTAAGGGTATTTTACTTTACATTACAGAGTGAAGTTCCAAACGATTTAGTCAATTAAATTGAAATCGATGAATAGTCCACCTTAATATTGTTTGAAGTTGTAGCCTGACTTTAATCCCAACTTCGTCAGAAAGCAACAAGTATGGATAATACTTGCGACGTCGTTGAAATGAAGCCTTATCATTGGTGAAAAAAGTTAAAATTATCAGCTCGTAAAGTTTCTTGTCCCAGTCCAATCTTCTTGAGATTTTTTTCTTAGCGATGTGGTAGAAGTTAAGGTAACTCACGATGCAGGGCGTGAAATTAACTTTTTTTTCTGATAGCCACTTGGCTCCTAAATTCTTCAAAGTGGTAGCCAATTCAAAAAAGTTGGTCGCCATTTTCAAAGACAAACAAAATCTTTCTTTACGCTGTCAGCGTTCTAGATAGACCCTCCAAAATTACGTTAGGGAAAAGATTCTTTAACGTGCTGCAAAGTGGACACTAGGATGGATGATATACAACGTTCAGGCTCATCTAAATCCAAGATGGCGTCTAGTTATCGATCGAGATGCATGTGCTACGTTTTGGAAACAAACTTAACGAGGAAGATTGCCGCGGATTTATCTTTGCAAGTCTTTTTAATTCACTATATCTCTTGGTAAGGTTATGTTGAAACGTTCTAGTCGCCAATTTGGCGACTAACTTTCAGGATTTGGTCGCCAAAGTGAAAAATTTAGTCGCATTGGCGCCTGTATTAGGCGCAATTTCACGCCCTGCGATGGCGTAAGTTTGAAATAAATTTAATATTGCCGTCAAAGCCATAGCGTAAACACTAATCGTACTTTCACCGCAGATGTGTTTAACTTCGGAAAAACGATCATTTTTATCGTTCTCATTCAAAATCACGGTGATATTCTTGTTTATACCTTCTCCTCCTCTAAGTACTGCTTGTCAAACTCCAAAGAGTAAATTTCAACAGGAAACGATGAAGGATTTCGCACGATTACTTCCTTCTCGTCCCCAGATGAATGAGGAAGGACTGGGCCGAACTCGATCAGAGTGGAACTGAAGTCTAACTTGGGCTCATTTCCCTGACCGGTCACGCTGATCATGTGACGGCTAGAACTTTGGGCGATCCGGATAACAAGACGATTGCTGTAAGAAATCTGTTGCAGAAAGAGCAAGCGAAAGTAAGACCATTCAAGAACAAATTAATACATGCGTAAGACAAGTAACAGAATAAAGCAATGCAAGAATAAATCCCTAGAAAACAGTTTCAACAGCAGCCTCTAACCTCTTCAGTGGGCATGAATTTGACTTGGACATTAATCCGCTGACCAGGCATTAGGGAACCGATGGGCGGCATCACTTCAAAGTGTTTTGGTTTAGGCTTTTCTGTGCGAAGCTTTTTGCGTAGATGAAGTGGAATCATCTTGTCGGACTGTGTAGCAAAACATGAAATATGGCGTTATCTACAAATCAAATTTTGGCAGCCAGACTTATCTACTATATATATACCTTTTTCTTTTTTTCTTCCGGAGGTTCAGACGACCAGTCACACCTACGGAAAAGAAATTTTATCGCACAGATTAAGAACAACATCTCATACAAATTCAAATGGAAATTTTTCCTCTAAAAACGATTATTTTTCCTGTAATATTTGAATAAACAGAACAGAATAGAAAGTGAGCTATAACGTAGAGAGGCTTCAGGATACCGGCAGATGGCAAAGGACAAAAATTAATAAGAAATTTTTTTCCGTTTTCCGTTTCTCTCATTTATAACGGCAACTACTGCGTCTTTGCTCTTTTTAGAACTAAGAAGAGATACCATGTAACGCCTTGCATCGTCTTTAATAAATAAAATTAAGCATTGTTTAAGCAATGGCGCAGTCAAAATCTCTGATAATACTTCAGTGGACAGGTACGAGAACGGTCTTTATTTTCCAGATATTCTGTTATGAAGCAAAATCTCCCTATTTTTTTGGAATTTTTCACTTTTTCTGTTCTCTTATTGAACATCTGACTAGAAGAGACGATTTGAACTACACATTTAAATACACAACAACATCTTGTGGTGTCGATACTCGCCTGACTTGTTGGCTATTGTGTAGCTGTATCGTCATGACCTTACTGTTCCCACACTCCACCACGCCAAAATCTAGCGAATCTGTAGATACTGTCATGTCCGGCATTGTCACCACAGCTTTAATCCTCAACCCAAACGTAGGACCATTGAGCACGTTAAAGGGCACGTGCAGATCAACTGGTCCCATGGGAAGTCCAGCCGCTCTAGGGTCAAAGGTCACCATGAATTCCATACTTTCGTTATCTGGTTCACCGGGAAGGTTACGCACTCGGTCCAATTCCACTCCAAATCCGCTGCCCGACAGAACTGACTTGTCAGGTGCAAAAGACACCGGGAAGTGTCCGTTGTTGGTGACACGGACTACATGTGATCGAACTGTGCCATAAACAACATATCCGAAATCCAGGAAATAACTGATCAGCTGAGCTCTGAAAAATAACACAGTACATTGTCATATCAACTCTTTATTACACGACTAAGGCAGTCCGTCTCCAGAAAACTAAAATGAACCTAAAAGACCTTTTAATGGTATTGATCCCGCAGGTGTTGGCGTGAGGGGAATCTTTTTCAAATTAATCGTTGCGAACTTCAAGAATGGATCGCTGGCAAGAGAATAAACGAATCCAGAGGAGTACAATTGCTTCTAAGTTCATGGTTTGTCCATTCACTATCACGACAAACACCAAACTAGTTTTAAACTTCTAAGTATTTACTGAAATAGCGACTACTTTTACGCATGAAAGTAATCGCATAAGAACACGCAATTTATTTGATGTGGACAGGGGTTGTGGAAATGAAAGGGTATCATTTTCTATATGCTTTGCGTGATGCAACTCATGACAAAACATACTTGGGTCGTTGTTTCTTTGTTGCAGTTCTGTGGGAACCAGAGGTATGCACAAAAGAGACGTTTCTTGCTGATTCCTGTTGCTCTACAGCGAATTGTTTCACTAATAGTCGTTCGACCTCCATCTGTACTCCGATGTCGCCGACAGACTGAGAAAGAATGATCACAAAAATGATACCTACAGTTCAGCTATAATGTCTAACAATTGGCGGACAAAAAGCTTTCTCTAGAAGATAAGTATTCCACACTAATCGAGGAAAGTTTTCAATCAGGGTCTGTCAGGATTAGTTAACGAGACGAATTTTATCATCTCTTCTTATAGAAAGGGAGCTAAGAGCTCAGTACAATTCTTAAGGGAGATTTCAACTCGGCTATCAAGATAAAAAAGTACGATATTTCAATTTTTATCCCTGTGACTCAGCTGAAGGGTTCGTGAATGGAATATTTCGAGATCCGAGGGCCGAGATCACGGTAACCGTTAGTCCGAGCCGGACTAGCCGGACTAGCCTTCCTCCTCATATCAACACATCGCAACACATGCATATTCTCCATAATGTTGTCTATGAATTTTCTATTGTACTGACAGGAAGAATATGTTCAACCATCAGGAGCTTCCTGATAATTTCCTTTATTTTCATGACCTTTAGGTGTGATTCAGCAGTGACGATGAGGAGAACTAAGGTGCCAGTCACCCTCATGGAGTTTAATGGTCAAGGCGGGGTTAATTAAAAAAAGTAATCAAAGATTTAATAGGAAAATGTTGAAGAAAGGTAGAGACTGATGGAGGTCTTTTTTCCATAGGGTACTGTATACTCAGGTAACAAAGTCCCTTTTTGCTCAAGAAAAAAACACATAAAGATACATTTTTTTCTTACTGTACTTACATTTGCGAGAGCTCCGAACGGTACGTCATCTACACTCTTTTCTGATAGGTTTGACTTTTCTCGTTCCAGGTTCTCGCGTGCTTGCTGGGTCAGCTCCTCGTATCTGGCGTCTTCTTTGTCATGAGGAAGGTCAAACACGACACGGGGAAACACACCCACCCCTGACAGGGTGATTTTGTTAGGTTCAAAGTGAGCGACTCTAACCTGTTCAACAAAACAAATGAAAAGTAGAAGGGATTACGTTCAACGAAAGGGAATGTTAGCTTCGTCACTAACATCAGTGTGCATATTCTCCATACTGTTCTATACATTTCCTAAGAGGTTGACAAGGAGAATTTGTTTAATAATCATGTGCTTCTTCCGTTGGCGATCATTTCCTTCTTCTCGTGACCTCAATGGTTGATTCAGGGGGGATATTACGAGGAGAAATTAGATACCAGTCACTTTTAGGGATGAAAGGGTTAACAGATTAGGAAATATAGTCGTAACCATGTACATTATCACGCTATTGTTCAACAATTTACTCTAAACCCGGCTTGAAACTAGGATCAAGTTATGTATTCAAGAATAACCAAACACATTTTAGGCGGACTTCACATCAAGTGAACACCCTAAATTAAGTGGAAAGTAGCCCTTGTCCCAATATTTTTTCAATACTTAACGAAAAAAAAAACCGCCCGCAAATAACTATGTTAAGCAGTAGCAGATAACAGAATTAAGCTCACTAATTCGCGACTTATCATAACCAATTTAAGAAGAGACAAACGAGAGTCCCGCGGTTGTCCGCGTCATAAAAGTTTTCATTTTATGGACCCTCCAACATATAAGCTACTAGTGTCACTGACATTCGCTACAATATCTGTCCCACTGGGTTCATCAAGTAAAAGACACGCGAAAAATCTGAAGCCCAACATAGTACTTTTACTGTTTTAAAAGAATACGTGAATACCTCAAGAGTAAAATTTTTTTACCTGAAATGTCTTCTCAAACTTCTCTGGCACACCAGGTAGATATTTGATGGTAAGTGTTTGGTTACTGAGGGCCTTAATGTGCCCTTGGATTGGGGAAACATTTGGGGCGCCTGGAAGGAGCTTATTTCCACTGTCCACGTTGAGGACCACAAAATCGAGGCCTACTTTACCAGTATTGTGGAGAACGATCTCTGCAACCGCTGCTTGGTCAAACAGCTACAAAAACAAAGTAGTTTAGATAACTGCATAAAATGAAAAAATAATAAGAGATGCAAGAAAAAAAAATGTTGTTGCGTTGTGTGAGAGAAGGAGAGTCTGTTCGCACTGATGCGTGTTTCAGATTTGCCTCACTCAAATTCCTGTAAATCAAACTTTCCTCGACTGACGATAATATATGAATTTGTTTTTACACTGTCAGAGTCCTTAACTTGACATTCCAATTCTTAAAACACAGCTTTCACGAATGGGATTATTCAAAATGTATTTGCTGTACCTGTTTTCCATAGTCGACAATCTGCCGATCGAAGAAATACTGCACTAGGGACGCTTGACCCAGAAGTGCAATGTCGTATTCAGGTCCTCCGTACACAGTACAGCGGGCAACAGCCTGAGAACTAATGTTGGCATGACCGTAAAAGGTGAACTGTATTTTCTGCGTCTCATGCGGATGAAGGGTGCTATACAGTGGTAAGATGTCAAAAATCTGACAGAGGAATAAAACAAGAAACAATGTAATCTAAAACACCTTTCAATTTTTAACTAAGGGTTTTGCCCGCAAGAATATCCCTCTGTGTTCACTTTATTCGATCAGAAAAGTGGCAGATATTAGAAAACCAACCTCTTCAATTCCAATATCAAGCAGTTCAGTCTGTCTCCACGGCACTGCCAGCTGATTGGCTGGGCTTGCATCCTGTGGCCTTTGTTCTGAAGCAGTAGAAGGTCTGCTCATTACTGGTGATCCTGTGAAGTCTACAAGCCGAGGTGACTCGGGGGTATGATCACCTGTTACTTCGATCATCACGTTGTCAACATCTTCCGGTTTTTCTTCACTGTCCTCTTGGCTGTCATCATCAACCTCGACTACAATTCCTAAAAAGCAGGCATTTAGAAGCTGAAATTATATTTCTTACTCTATGTTTTAAAATATGGCTCATGAAGCTTTCTCCTCCGTTATCCCTTTACTAAACAAGAGTTGCAGGAGGATCCTCTCGTCCGCTCTTTTCAGCTCGCTTTCTCTCCATGCCCTCGCATCCCAGCGCTCCGCTCACGCTTTTCCCGCGAGAATAAGAGGAGAACGAAAGGCCTGCAACGCATGCTAACATAAAGTGCGCCAGGAAATCTTTACGAGTTGCATAGCACTTGTGTCATAATCTAAATTCTGATCGAGGTGTTGGGGAATTTTCATCGAGCCTGACATACCTTCATCTTCCTCTTTGTTTTCAAACTGAATAGCTGAATCAACAAAGCTCCACTGATACTTGACATCCATTGGACTGTGATTAGTGACTTTCACTACTTGGGTCACTTCTGTGTCATTCAATATACAGCCAAAGTCAACCTACGAGGTAAATCAGTTTCAACAGTCTCCATTGGCTCAGTATATATGGTGGGTAGTTGAAGAAGTACGCACAGATTTGGAGCGTAAGTGCCACCCAAAAATAAAAAAGTGCCTCTGTTATCAAAAAAAGGTTAGTTAACATACCTTTTCCATCTCAAATGTAAGATTAGGGAAGAACACTTCTCCTTTCAGATTCACAAAGTCCTGGAAGAAGTAGCACAGTATTAGTACTGAATAATCAAATAATAAGCAACAAATAGAATCAGACCTTTGTTATTCACCACAATGAATAACCACAATCTTTTTTACGAAATACACAAAGCCACACGCAAACGTTGTAAGCTTCTGAAAAAAGCTCATAGCTAAATTTCGGGGGTTTCGATAAATTTTTCCATAAGCGGCTGCCAATAGTGTAATGGGCAGCTGTGCCGTAAGGCAAAAACCAAAAGACGAGAGCCTGCCCCTCGCAGGCTCAAGGTTTTTGCAGGTGGCAGAAGACCGCTGGTCTCCGGCTCTAACTGAAACTCCTGAAATTTGTTGATACTTTGTTGATTATCGAGAGATAAATAAACCACAACAGCAAAAATCCAATACTGCCTTGTTGAGGATACGCCCTTCGAAGGAGCATTGGGTGTGCTTTTTAATACTTCGTTATAGCATTGAGTTCTGTTGTTAAGGTAAGTTTGTTAGAGTGAAAGGGAAACTTAAATCAAGTTAAATGATGAGCTGATCGTGTTGTTGGATCGCACGGATGAAGGTGAAACTTCAGTTAATACGACCGTCAAAAGTCCTTTTCAAGACTACTGTCACCCTCATGATCAAACTGAAAGATCAATGGCTAGTCTTAAACCACCTTAGATGTGAGAGTGAAGCCTTGCGTAATTCACTATTTGTCACTTGTAAAGCATTCCGTCATAAAAATAAAGGTGTTACAGGAGTGAAGACCCAATCATTGGGCAAAAAGCTCTTCACCTTTTGTGGATGTTCTTTGAATGACACCTCTAATTGACTCTCAGCGGTTCTGGTCACAAAGTCATCCTTGTAAGAAGGATCGAACTGAATCAGCACGGGTATATTCTCACCAACGCCCAGTGACACTTCCTGAAAATGGAAAACAATAACTTCGAAATAATTACCCAAACGTTTGTAAATGGCATTAACCTGCATGTCTTCCGATGCTACACAAAAGCCAAAGCTAAATACAACAGAGCTCAAATCTTTGAGCCTCAAATGTGTCACGATTTAGCACATGTAATCCCTTTGCCACTCACGTACAACTCCTTATTCATGCCTTGCGAATACATCCTGATTGTTCCTCATTGAAAGCAACCTTGAAAACTCTCCGATAAACTCCGTTACCGTCACACGAAACGCAGGGGAGGTTAGGGCAAGTTTTTTAAAGTTTGAGTTGGTACCGTGCTGCACACTACTTTATCATTCAAAATGTATTTTACAAAAGTCAATACTGAACTGTGTTTTGCGCGATAGCACCACTAAATTATTCTAGGTAAGGAATCAAACCTGTCTAGTTTGCCCTTGTAAAATGCTCTCTTATAAATGCACGTTGTCTCACCGATTGAGATGATTTAACATTAACAGGTGCCCAACGTGGATCCTCCACAAGCAACTGAAAGGGATAGGAAGCTTGTAACACGACTGTGAGCGGGAGGGATGACACGTTGTGCATCATGACTTGCTTGGTCTCTACTTCCAAAGTGCTCTCAGGGTGCTGCAGGTAAAAAAAGAAAAAAGAAAGAAAGAAAAAAGAAACAAATCATGAAATAGTACTTATATGTTAAAATGTACTCCATATAACAAAAATTACCTTCATCAACATTTAGCAGAGAGAGCTGAGAGCGAATTCACTCCGTTAAAAACAAGAAGTTCGCCAAATGAAATTCTGCTATTTTTGTTTGGTAAGAGTAACTTTCCAAGGCATAATAGTTCCTTTAACGGCTCTATGTGGAGGCGACCTCGTTGTTGAGTGAGTTTGCAACGTTCAGTTTCTCCTCAGGTCTAGGTTTGCGATTCACCCGCGCGGGCAAAACAAAACATGGGCGACAATTGTTACAGAAAACAAAAACATCGGGAACACAAAAGCAAACAATCCTTCCCATGGAATGGTAACAATTCTGTTTTAAGTTCAACTGGCTTACCTTCATGACACAGAAGTTTATCTCTCTTTGAGAAAAAGACAGCAGTGGGCTGATAAACTCTGCACTAATATCCACCCTCATGATACGTTCCTTACCAGTACTAGTGCCAATGATAGCATGACAGAACATGCGCTCCTTTACAATTTGTGGACTAAAGAAATACAAAAATAAAGAGCTTGTTGCCATAACGTTTCCATTATCATGTACAAACCCATTTTCAGGATGAGCACAGAGATCTAGCTACATAATCTATGACCAAAACAATACTTGTCTCTGTAAAAATGAACTACCGACAAATAAATGTGATGAATGAGAGAAGAAGCAAATTTTTCATAACGTCCAAAATGGCAAGTAGCATCTGCCTCCTAAAAAACATGTTACTATAAAAATTCCATAGCAAGATCGGTTAGTAAATGCTCTTCTTACTTCTCGCAATATCCTTCCAGTTTTACTTTTTGGCTCTCTCCAGGATGTAGTACCAATCTGTCGGGTGTTAACTGAAACACCGGCTTAGGCGGATCAACAGGTGGTGGTTGGCCCTGTTAAACCAACATGAACCGTTGTATTAGCAATTTAATGAGTATAACCATATGCTACAATAACTCCAGTGGCACATAATTCATTAATTTCCTGGCACAAGTGGCTTGTCTTCATACATTAACTTCCGGTTTTCTGTAATGTGCGATGAAACCAGAAGCTATCTACTTATGATTACTTCTACAACAATGAATTTTTGGTCGTTGGTTCTCCCACTCGCTACGGGTTTTTACACTTTCTCTGACACAATCTAAGTAATTAGAACTTGATTTCTAGTGATATCAGGGTGAATGTGTCACTGTAAAGGAATTTGTATTCAATATTCTCCATTTAGCTCGCAGCTTAAAACCTTTCTAGCTTATTACCTGGTATCTCATGTCTTCCGGATTGTACTCAGGCTTCTTCTTAGTCCTGTACGGGAGGAAACCTTCAGTGGTCCAATAAATCTGTTGAGGCCTCCTTCCGCTGTTTGTCAGTTGGAACCATCTCTTGACAGGCTGGCAACTAAACTGTGGACCAAGTTTAACGGCTGGAGCTAGGGGAGGATCACTGACGATGGTTGTGCCAGAGCCGTAGGCCATGAGGCTGACTGTTTGGTTCTGACTGTCACTAATGTTGATTGACAATTTGTCCTGAAACCTGACAAAAATATTCGTGGGAATGGATGATCCATTAGTGGAAAGACAACAGCCAGTGATAGCTTCAAAGCAACTCTTGTTATAGCGACTAAACTGTAGTAAAGTAATCAGAGATTGCTTCAGTTTTGCTTCACTGTAAACCACTTCACGCATCTAATGGGCATAAGTGCTTTGAATAATTTACGTTTCTTCATTTTTGAGTTCTTATTAATAACCCATTGTTATTTTGTGTTATGCTCTGATAGGCAGTTATGATTACTTTGGTTTTGATTTTGGTTTTGCAACACGCATGGAAAAGACGACAACACAGATAAGTCACAAGTATGAAGAATTTGAGGTCCTAACCAAAGGAGTACATTTCTAAGAGTAATTTTACTTATCCCGGATTGTACTAGTTTTACTTTTCTTTACTTTGTGATTGGTCCAGAAAACTCCCGCTGCTCTCTCAACCAATCAAATGAAAAAATCAAAACAATCGCGACTCTGTCATTCGCGTTTTCCCGCGCTTTAAGCGGTTTGCTTGTTTACACTTTGAGTTCTCATTGGCTTTATCGGGTACTCTCCTTCCTTATGATTGGCTCTATCGGGTACTCTCCTTTCTTATGATTGGCTCTATTGGGTACTCTCCTTTCTTATGATTGGCTCTATTGGGTACTCTCCTTTCTTATGATTGGCTCTATCGGGTACTCTCCTTTCTTATGATTGGCTCTATCGGGTACTCTCCTTTCTTATGATTGGCTCTATCGGGTACTCTCCTTTCTTATGATTGGCTCTATTGGGTACTCTCCTTTCTTATGATTGGCTCTATTGGGTACTCTCCTTTCTTATGATTGGCTCTATTGGGTACTCTCCTTTCTTATGATTGGCTCTATCGGGTACTCTCCATCCTTACGATTGGCTGTTGTAATTATTTTGATTTTTTTTCACGACAATCAGTCGAAATGCACTCTAACATAACAAGGTAGAATTCTTACTTGACTGTATCATCAACATTTGCGGTGACTTTAAGTTGCAGAGTATTTTCAGGTGGAATAACACCCTGGGCTGGCTCAACAGAAAACAGCGAATTGGGACGAACCTAAAAATCAAGGAAATGAAAAGAAAATGTTAACTTCAACTGCTTCAAAGACATTTGAGGATGAACATGTTCAATACTTACCATACTGCAAGAAAACTGTGCTGGAATCAGGGACTCATTGGAAAGCTGCACAATCTTGGAGATGTCTGTTAAAACTGGGATGGTCCCATAATCAACATGAGCTGGAACAACATGTATGACTGGTCCCTCACCCACACACTGGATCTGAACTCCCTGGAACATAAGTAGAATTGCAAAATAATTAGATCATTTGATTCTATCAACTAAGTTGATGATGTAACTTGGCCACCGTAAGTAGTTTCTAAAGCTGACGTTTCGAGCGTCAGCCCTTCGTCAGAGCTCTGACATTGTCAACTCAGTTTTTTAACCCAAACTATCTTATAACACCCCACCGACGCAGTACCACAGTTTTCTTTAAAATTTACCCCCTTTAAACAAAATGTTTATTTAATTTGTATCATCCAATTCAAAGCTTGAGTGTGCTTTATATTCCTTTTGTGCACGCTGACGACCTGTATATACACATTAAAGCCCACCTACTTGAATGTCTCTTAATGAACCATTTAGACTATATTTTCTTTGAAAGTACTATTATAATAAAGCAATTACTTCATGTGACAGTCGTGCGTTCATCGAGATACGAAGCACTTGGAAAGTTTATAAAGCACTAGAGATGCTTCCACCAATGCTCTAGCCTTTCTTAGCTACCATTGTAGGTTACACATGTCTAATAAATTACATCCACCAGTAATCTTTATAATGTCATCCTTACCAGTGGAGCCTCACTGCTCCCAAATATCATGAAGTAAGCCACAGTGGTAACTTCCTCCAGGCACTCTGCTGTAATGTGAAGAGGAACTTCTTTCACAGAATGAGGCTGGATAATTCCCTGAAACCATAAAACACAAACACAAACAATAATTGTGGAAACACTAGTAGACCTATCCACCAAGCCCATTTTTTGAACAAGGAATTCATTGATACTTTAATTGGTTAACTTACAACCAGCAGCCAACAGTTACACTAGAAACGATCAAGAGAAGATAAATCTACATTGTAACATCTCTTGTTCTTTTCTATCTGGTGTGTAAGTTCATTCCAGCTTTATTGCATCAGAGGTTGCAAGTATTATCACATCGCACGTAAAATTTTTAGATTGGCTAGTATCTGTGTTTTGAAGAAACTAATGATTGCTGCTTGTGATTGAAATTTCTGTTGGAAACCATTTTTTGCCGTTTCTTAAACTCTAACCTTTGGTTCAGGACTTGTATACAGGATTGGTGTCACATCTTCCACAACCTGTTATTATAACGAAGAAAATCAATCCAACATGTCAAAAATCTCAACAGAAACAACAACACCAGAAAACTTCTATGTTGAATGTACCCATGAGAAAATTTACATGTATAAAAGTAAATACCTGTGACAACAATTCATATTTGGCAGGCAGATCGGACTCGTTCACCAGATTTACAAGAAGCTCATAAGGGTGATGGAGAAAACAACGACCATAATCCAAGAGTGGTGTAGAGACAGTAATGGGTGGGACCACGCATCTGTCAACACAAAGAGCAGTCATCAACATTTCCTTACTAAAAAGTGTGACAGGATTTAAGAAATCTTCATCTGTGATCAGAGTTTAAGTCTAAGAACTTCATTCCACATGCATGAAGGTTTCCCAAAGAGGAATGATTTCACCTCAGTGCTTTAATTTGATTAAAAGATGAAATTTTATGTTTAATAGAACAAACTTGTGTTTTATGAAATGTTTTGGTCTGTCATCATGGTGGAACACAGAGACAACCATGTGGTATCTGTAGTCTTTCCTTTTGAAAACTTAGTAGGCCAGTGTTCAAAGAGAGAAATACCTGATGAAAAATAGTGTACCTAACCTTTAAAGGGAAAAAATATTACATTAGGAAATATAAAATGGTCATACTTGGCTATTATTGGAAGTGACAGAATCTCCTCTCCAACTCCATCCACATCAACTACCAAAGCAATTTCATACTTTTTGACAGAGGTTGACACAAAGTCCACCTGTGAAATTAGGATGAAAATTGGTTTCCAAATATTGCATCCAAATGATGGACAGGCTGTCAAGGGTTCAAACCTCATAATGGACTGCTGTTTCTCTACCCTGTTCATGTACCAAAACTTATTCTATGTATCCAAGAATCTCTTTTTCCTTGTAAGTTATAAACTGTGTTACAAATTCATGCCACTGACAAAATTCATTTAGTATTATCAACTGAGCTGATAGGGTAAATTGGCCACTGTAAAGAGTTTCAAAGCTGATGTTTGGAGTGTTAGCCCTTCTTTGGAGCGAATGGAGGAATTGTGGGTTGTGTGCGTGTTTATATGCAGGCAGTGTAGCTACAATTCTGGTAGGAATATGGTGAAAAGAATAAATAAGTTGAATGAAAAGCGCTTGTTGATACTGTGGGGATTAAGAGTGCCAATTTGAAAGATAAATTTTTGTTCTAGAGTTTTGCAGCTTTCCAAACTGCCTAGATGTAGGGAAAGGCCACAAACTACCATATGCTGCTCAGAGTATAATCAGAGACACTTTAATTTCCTTTATCATAGGGAGATTAAAGTGAGAAAATTAAATCATGCAGGCAAACAAAGAAGCCTTTCATTCTTTCCTTCCTAACCCTGCTTTTTACTTATGGCCAAAAAACAGAGTGCCTGGAACAAACAGCCCCATCCAGACAACAACATCAAAGAGGACATTAAAGAAAATGCCTCGACAATATTATAATATTCTAATCACCTTAATATCAAGCTCTCCCTGAGGAGAAATAGTGCCACAACACGGTGTAATATCAAATTCCTTTGGAGATGGCATTATGGTGCTACCAGTGTCACTAATGTTGCTATCAATCAAACTATCCCGGCTTCGTGTTTCCTCATTTATCCAACCATCAGCGGGAACACGTACTTTGAATGTCATGGGTATGAGTGAAGTGTTGACCAGTGTACACTCACGAGTGTTCACAAAACCTACAAGAAAAGGATGACAAGAACATCAAAAAAAAATTTTAATTAGCTCCTGATCATGTTTCTTGATCATTTAAGTGTGAGACAAAAAAGAAACCATATCAACAACAAACAACAAGAGTAAAAAACTAATGTTAATTCCTCTCAACTTACCATATGAAACTACTCCAAATTTCAGCTTTGGTATATTAAAATGGAAAGTGGGGCCAATCACTGATCCCCTAACAAGAGACCAAACACAAAATATCCAGTCAATGACTTTGTGAGACACTTAGACCAAGGAACAGACACAAAAATATCCCAGTGACTTACAAGATCTTTAACTCGAGTTTCTCAGGCGACCCTTCCACAGCAAATTCAAACACTTCGTTGACATCACCAAGTATGGGTGAGCAGAAGTGAATCTAAGTAAATTAAGAAACATGTTTTTTTTTATATTGGCTAGAATCAAATAACTTTTTATACAGAGAAATTAAAGGGGGGGGGGGGAGAAGCAAATTGTCAAGACAACTGTCTCTTGACCCAAACTTCTTGGTCATAAGTGGTTGTCAGGTGCAGGAATTAGTTTGTTGTGTTCATAGATGAGACATGTAACTCTAGCATGCAGTGCCTTCATCCCTCTGGTAAATAAAAGAATGAACAGTTATATGACTCACAATGCTTTTAAATCAATAGAAAGACTTTGACAGCTAAAGACTTTATATTCAGTCTTAAGGTGATTCCTCAGTATTGCACTGCACATCATGTACTGTGCATAAAAATCACATTATTAGGTGAATAAGAGTGTGTGCATTCCAGGAATACAGTATAGTTTTTTAATAAATGGACCAGGTAAAGAGGTACAATAGTCTTTGGCTAATGTGAACAACCATAGTGACCAATATCTTTTATTGCATAATTTTGTTGTACAAATGATTCCCTTTAAATTGGAGAAATTAAAAAAAATTCAGAGGAAAAAAAGATATGGCTAAAAGCGTGCACAAAGCCTGTTACATAATAATGCAAATTATGATCTTAAAAACAACAACTCTCACAAATTATATAATTATCAAATTGCTCCATACGCCTGAGAATTTCTACCTATCAAATTTTTTTAATGTGTCTTTATACACCCTTTCTTCCAGCTTCCTCAAAATGTACTGTGATCTGATCAAATGACATGCATGTTTAGTGCCAGAGCAGGTATAGGTGGGGTAAGTTTGCCTCATCATATCTCTTAAACAAGCTGGGTAACCTATCTTTCAAATTGTATTTTTCGAAACAGACATTGGTAGGGAACATTTCAGGAAAGTTTTAAAAAAAATTGTTCGATAACTCTTTTTCTGAGGAATCACCTTTAACTGAGTGTATTCTTTGTCAAGGAGTTATACAAGACGACTCTTACCTGAATGGCCTGGTATCCTCCAGGAATGACAATTCCTTGGGCAGGAAGGAATGAAAACTGTGGACCAAATTGGGTGTTGGAAGGAAGGAGTTTAAATACAGCATCAATATCTCCCATGTTACACAAAATAACCTGCAATGGATAAGAAAAACATTAAATTATATTCTTCACAATTTCCACGTCTTATATACACAAATTAATCCTATCACTCCCAAGATCTCATTAGCAATCTCCTCACTGTATGCCATACAATTCTTATAATGTTATTTCAGAGAATTTGTTATTAGATCAACCAATAATCCCTCAATTGATAATATTCTTTATTTTCATAATACTTGTTTGGTTAATATCATATTGATATCATAAGGAGAAATTCTGTCTTGGTCACTCATGCGAGTTTAAAATACTTTCAAAAAGTGTATCTCTTTACCTCATAAGAATGCTGAGAATTAATGAATACACTGCCAATGTCTAGTGTATCCAAAGAGAAGTGCACTTGAGGGCCTATTCCATCACCTCTAATTCTTAAAGGCAACCTTGATTCTCTGCCTGTTACATCACAGTATATAGTTCTGGCATAGCTACAAAAAAAAAAACCACACTGTCAATTTAAGGCTCTCAGTACAAATACTAAGTATAGTACTGACAACAACTGAGATAAAACTTGATACAAAATACTAGCTCTTGTCAGTCAATGTCAATTGATGATCCTCTACACTTAGAGGTCAACTCAATATGCTAACTACTAATTAAAAAAAGTAATCACCATATTCATAACTGCTTTACCCAGTGACAAAAAATTATTTTAACCATGGACCCCAAAGATTTGGATATTCAAGTTTCAAGGGAGTAGTATACAGCTTACAGAAAGCACCCACAATGAGTTAGCCGCTCATTTTTATAAAAAGCATGTACATAAACCCATGACCTTTGAATATTTGCAAGATGTTCATATAAATAAAACAAGATGTCTTATTTGTAGTTCCAAGCATTATTTTCACACTCTTACTTGCAAGCCTCTTGAGGTTTGAAGATAATGCTGATTTCTGCCTGAGAATTGGGCCAGATCTCTCCTTCCTATAAAACAAATTATCAAAGACACTGATTTGTACAAAACAACACAAAACACCCTAAAGCAAAAACTAAATTGTTTAACTTAGCAATGTTGAGAGCATGATGGTGTATATGATCAACAATTGAGTAATTTTCTGTGCTTTTATGGTAGCACTTTATCCGACATATGCAGCTGGTCTTACATAATGAATGGCTATAGCATTCCTTACCACTGGGTCAATAGTGACAATTGAGTCTCCATAAAGTAGTTTGTCATCAGCAATTGCCTGTCACATTTTAAAAGGAAAAATAACAGAATAAGAAACTTGAAAAGAAACTAAAGCCTTCAAGCATAACTTAAGTCTTGCCCATAAAAGTGATCAATAGTTATTAGTTGTTTCTGTGACCTGTTCCATATTACCTGCATCTTGTTTTTGAATTTTCTTGTCAAGATAGACATTTGATCTCGAAGAGTAGGATCACTGAGGCATTCTTCAAAGAACTCATCCTTTTCCACATTTTCCTCACTCTCAAGGTCCATGTAAAACCTACAAAACAAACATTGAGAGCAGTTCACCCAGACCCTTTAACTCCCACGAGTGACCAAGACAGAATTTCTTCTTACAAGCCGACAAGTGATGAGAATAAAGAAAATGATCAATTGGGAGATTATTGGTTAACTCAATACCAAATTCACAAAATCATAAGAATTGAATGGCAGACAGTAAGGAGAATTGCTGATGAGATCTTGGGAATGAAAGTATTAACAGTCCAGCCAAATATTTCTAACAGTTAATTACTATGTTTTTTAATAGAAATAAGTGCAATTTGACTTAACTATATTTACTGACAAAGAGGAAGTTTGCTTAGTAGCTGGCTCTCAGAAGGTTGAAAATGTTTTGGCATTTTAGTGTTTATCAGCTATGACGCATTCCTGTTTAGAGCTGTGTTTCTGTCAGGATCGACTTACACAGTTCCTAGTGGTATTTTCATGCACCAAGTATATTCATTTGGTGCCTTCTTTTTCCAAAGAGTTTCTCTTAGCTCAGTATGTGTAGGGCTATGTGTAAAGGGTGCTATGGCTGTAGCTGGGTTTGTTGGGCAGGTATAATGGTTTCAGGTTTCAACCTCCATTTGTAACTTACAATTATGTCACATTGCTTAAACAAGTTTTTTTTTTTGGAGGGGGGTGTTGGGTAGGGGAAAAATCACACCATTCATAATCATCTTTTATAGTCTTCTATCTAAAAGTACATGTAGATGCTTAGGGTTGGGATGAGCATAAAAAGATCAAGGTCCCTTCAATACTGCACAGAAAGTAAATCTTACAGAGAGAAATTCAAAGCCTACCTATCCTTATGCTGCATTTCTTCCCTTAATGTTGCAAAGTTTGTCCACTTGAACTGGACAATAATATCACTTCTGTTGGAGAGAGTGACTGTCCTAGAGAATGAGAAGATGGTATTAGGTCAGTACCAGTAGATATTTCAATTGTGCATCACTGATCATGAAGCTACTTGATCAATTTGGCATAAAAGACAAAAAAAAAGGTTTTATTTTTTCAAATCTACAGGAAGCCTGGAGAGAACAAGAGTGGAGGAGTAGAGAAGCAACAGACAGATAACTTTAACCCTTTGACCTCTAATAGTGACCAAGATTTATTTTCTCCTCACAATACCACTCCTGAATCAAACATTAGGGTCACAAGAATAAAGGAAATGATCACCAACTAAAGAAACCCTTGATTGTTCAACAAAGTCTCCTTGGAGGAAATGTAATGGGAAATGTATAGAGAAAAGTATGGAGAATATGATTACTGATCTTAGAGTCTAAAGTTTACAGAATGATTACATAGAATAAGCCACTAACCATTTTTTCAAATGGAAGTAGCAAAGAATAGAAACTGAATGAATAGAAATACATTATTATATACTAGTCAGTCATCTCAAGTATAACGTAACCCACCTTTGTGAGGCACATGATATGAAAGCGTTTTCCATTTTGACTGTACTTTTATCCAGTCGGATATTGTAATCAATTGCAGCTCCATACAAACTTATATAGATTTCTTCTCCTGTATCAAATTTTAACAAAAGAAATTCATGTCAGACTCTAATTGTATGTTGCAGTAAACTTGACAATTATCTTTAAGACAATAGAAATTTTAAATATTTTTACAAATTGAATTTACCTGTTTCATATTGAAGAATCATATGACTACCATGGTCTCCTGTCTGCAAGGCCTTGAAATCTACATGAATCTGCATGCTGTCCCCTATAGCCAGCCGACCACTGTCAGGTGTAACAAAGAATGGCTCCTGTACTAACAGCTGAAACTTTGCATCGCTGTTGCCAATGTTTCGTACAAGGAGAGTCCTTGTGGTGGCATACTGAGAAGATACAACAATAACATAATGAGTGGTACCAAGAAATTTAGACATTCTTGCAAACTTTCTTTGTAATGAGTTTCAGAGTATCACCAATACAGCACACATTTGCATCCACAAAGTTGGTAATAATGAACATGCCACTAAAACTGTTATATTTCAATTTTGGATTTTCAAGTGGTAGACAAGCCATCTTAGCAACTTGTGGATTTCATTATTCAATGGGAAACAGCATCATATACATTCATGCAACACCCAAATGTACAGTTGCATGTTGTCCGTGTGATAAATGGTAAATTAAGAAACAACAACCAAAATGCTTTAACCATATACCTTTACAGGACAAGTTCCAAAGCTGATCTCATCTGGAAAGTCAAGGATGGCTCTTGCCCCAATTGCTTTTACTGGCACCAAGAATTTCTCCCTTTCAGTGATGCAAATAAGCTCATGGGTATAGTCCTGTTGAAAGATTAAGGCCAAACCTAGAGTTGAGTATAATGTCTTTCAATTCACAAAGCTATCAAATGAACACACTACTCCACTTAATACCTTTTTCTCATCGGGGGTGAATTGAATGATAAATACAGTATCCATTCCAGGAGCTACTTTGTGTCCCACATCATGAGGGCTGATGATCTTGAAGTAAGGAGAATCTGTTTGGGTCACTTTAACAAGACGAGCAACCTACAAAGTTAAAAAAAATACACCACAATATTTGTCACTGTCCCTGATATCATATCCTGTTCAGTTCAACCAACACTTACTTAAACAGACATTACATTAACCAGCAGACATAAAATCCAATCCCAACCAATTTAAACTCTGTGTAAACTTGATCTTCCCCAAGGTTGAGTCACCACACTCAACAAAAAAGTTAGCCCTGCACAGCTCCAAATCAGCCCAAACCTACTTCATCCAATGTCCTTATTGCAGATTTTCATGGAGTATTCCTACTTTTCCTTAAGAGGAAGCTATACAGGTTATCAGTTCTTTCTCTCTGTCTCTGAGTATTAATTAAAATGAAGAGTGACATGACCTCAGGTGGATTGATTATTCTGTTGGTTATATCTCTGCAGTGGTATTTGCAGAGCAACAACACCCCTAAAGAATTGAAGACCATCAAAACCCATCTTTTTTCTTAAAACTTTACTTTTACAACTACTTTTCATGTGTTTGTAGCTGTGGTGATCTATTTTCTGTCAAAATGTTTCCTCTTCTGTTACATCTTACATCATGAGTCTATTTAGGAAGAGGTTTGACCAAGCATTACTCTCTGATTTTCTTGGGAATCTTCTTCACCTTATCATTGTTCCTCAACTGCAATGGAACCTGATATGTCTCAAATGGGTTGAAATTTTGGAACACAATATCTGAAGGAAACGGCTGAAACAGAGGCTCTTCAATATCCATAGTGGTGAACTACGGAGAAAAAAAAAACAGTTTTTGAAGAAAGCTTGATGAATTCTGTGCCCTGTCATTACAACTGTAGACAAAAGCAAATAATCAATTACTTCAAGTCCTTCCATACTAGCAAAAATATATATAGGAGACCACAAAATTTTTGTAAAAATGCACAAGAATTGTTGACCACATTTTATCTTACAGGGGTAAAATTATTAAAAAGAAAAAAAACAAGATCATACTTGGTGTTTTCATCTTCATTATTCTAATATTTGATGAACTCAGTCATCTTATTTAAATTGTGGTAAACGATTTGATTTTAAGAGTGATGGTTAATTTTGTGTTCATCCAGGTTGGGGTAGTCCTGAAAGGGACTGTTGTTGGTGGTAGAGACTGACAATTCAACAACATGATAGAGTTTAACATCAGAGACAATGCAAGTCCAGTATTGATCACAATAAACCATTAATTAATCAATTAATCAGTTATTATTTTTGTTTTCTGTGAAGGAAACCAACTTTGATGGATGATAACTTCGTACAGTATTACACAAGCCTCCTGTCAAAAGCAAAGTCAAAGAGTAGGCAACCATCTACCTTCTGAAGAGTCTGTTCTGACATGTCTAGTAACTCAATAATTTGAGGCACCCTCATCTCATATGTGAGCTTAAATCTTTCATCTGTGGTGAGCTGCATCTCAGCCATGTAAGCAGAAGGAGCTTGCTGAGTATATGAAAAAAAATGATAATTGTGATCAGTATTGCTATCCCCAAAGAAGGAATTTTTGAGACTGTATACTGTAGATCTAGTCTGGTGTATATTTTTTGCGTCTCTTTAGCGTTGTACCTTCTTGATCTAGAAAAAAATGAGGAAAATACTTGATTCTTAGCAAAAGGAAATCAATTTTACCATAATCTTTCATAATATGAGCATTACAAATTTCGAAACTGAGTAAAGTCTACTCAGCTGACTTTTGCAGACAGTTGAACATGTTTGCTGTTCGCTTGCCTTGCAAACGGATTCATCCGGCTAGTTAACGCTACAGAGATGCATAGATCCTAAAATTGAAATCACACTTATTGCAATTTTCAAAACTCTATTAACAACGTACTAAAAGCTTGCTGATGGATTGCGATCAACTCTCAGCACAGAGATACACTTGTCTGGTTGTTTTACACATAGTGTAGTACGGTTCGGAAAAATTACTCGGCCAAAGCAATAATAAACCAGATAAATTTTTCTTCTGAAGTTTTACCTTATCATCTTCAGGGCTTCCCTTCACAAGTTTGGGATTTCTCGGATGAACGACTCGGCTTTTAAAGTTAGAAGTCACAGCTTTACTGCCGTAGTTCTCTCTTACGGTAGATTGTACCTCGCCGCGCAACCCTCCACGAAGTTTTCCCTGAGGCATGGCGATAGATTTTCCGTTCAGCGAATTACTTTTTTCTTCTTTAGTATGGTATTACATTTGTAGATTCCGCATACTTTTTCGGTTTTGGCAAATCGTAATCGCTCAAAACTTACAAAAACACAGACCAGCCATTTTCTGAAGTTTGAGCGGGAGTTGTTGCCATGGATCTGGGGACTGCTCAAACGCATATGATTTTGTGTCCTGTTGCTGGCAATAGAGTCTGCTGGCTCAGGCTTTTGACTACGACAGCGCTTGTAATCTTTTTCTTTCTCTTTCCTTTTCTTGTTTTTGGTTTTGTTTTGTTTTTGTCTATTTCCTCTAAAAATTTAATTATTTGACACCTTAGTAAGTGAACTCAACCGTGCCAAAATGTCTCTTGATAGTTTTGGTCTTTATTTACATTTGATCCCGGCATTTTTGTCTTAAAAGACAATCTATCTGCTCGGAACACTGAGTATGGAACAACACAGTTTATAAAGTTGGCTACTTTATGATTACTTCATTTTGATATCTCGGCTTGCTGGAGTCATTCTTGACGACTTAAGCGGGTTAAACTTTCTATTTACTTTGAGTAACTTGGCTTTATCGACTGAGTTGATAACGTAAATTGGCCACCGTAAAAAGTTTCAAAGCTGACGTCGACGAGGGGCTAACGCCCGTAACTCTTTACAGTGGCCAATTTACGTTCTCAACTCAGTTGATAACACCAAATTACCCTGGTATACCCTCCCACCGACGCAGCACCACAGTTTCTTTAGAACTTGCCCCCTTTATTAATTAAACTTTCAGTGGTTCTGTCTCAACCAAAAAAGGTGAGAAACGAACTCGGCAAAAAATTCTTGAAGTTCAACTTATTTAAACCTACCACAGGAATACAGTGACAGGTACATTTTCGGACGATACTTCCGGAAAAGGATGACAAAGAGATAACTAGTAGTGCTCTTCTGGCTTCGAAACCGGTAACAGCAAATACAACTTTTTAAACTGTTTAGATATGAGCGCTCTAGGGATAAACAGAGTGGCATAAGAACAGCAACAGGTTTTGATGAGCAAACTGCACCTTTTCCATCGCGAAAAATGCTGCTAGACAGCAGAACGTAAGGGTATCCACACAATAAGGAGAGGACGAGCAAAATTTGTCATACCTTTATTGCAACGTGCAAGACTTAATAAATAGTTGACACACTGTCGAATAATTCAAAACATTTACAAACGGACGTGCTGAATTCATCACAAAACGTTAGAAATTACCTAGCCATGAGTAAAAATATCCGTACAAATTCGAGAATTCATCGTGTCAAAATACTTTTTGTTCTTTGTATAGAAAAAAGCTTTCAAATGTACAAAGCAACGCTTTATAAAAAATTCACAAAATTGCAAAATTCGCATAGGGATCAACAATTTCTCTAAAATCAAGTACATCTACATTTGCTTAATACCTTATAGAAAATGTTTCCAAATGTACAAAGTTATTCATCATTTCTATTTCAACAGCTCAAAATACGTTAAAGATGGAATTACCCTTGAATTAGTTTCTGTTCAACTGCACACATTAGATTTACAGTGTACTTTTTCTCAGGTCAATTTCAGTCTCAGTAAAGGAGAGAAAAATTCATTAAGTTCAAAGAACTGTAAAAAGTGACGGCACAAAATGCTTTTTCGAATAAACGAAAAACAAAGCAGTTAACCCCGATTCAACAAATAAGTACTCTTTGTCACTGCCGCCGCTTTGACTCGTAACGCAACTTGCAAGGTTGTGTTGCGTAACACTCATAACGAGACTGCCCGGGAGACGAGTGTTGGAGTTATCAAACATTCATATTTAAAATGCACTATTTATGAAAATATTCACACCAGGAAAGACTTTTAGTTGCACCGGTAACATTGTTGAAGAAATCTGTGCTATGAGTTACTTAAGTCCTATGTAACGAATAATTCAAGACCTCTGCGATCTTTTGTAGACGGCAAGCTAAAGAACTACATTGCAAAAATTTCTTCTCGTGATAACAGGCCGGTAAATCGAGAGACACTTTTTCGTAAGAAAATGTTTTGGGTCCGATCATCAACTTTTCACGGTTCGTTTCGTGGCTTGGCCAAGCTCCACTGTTCTGACACGCTGGGCAAAATTCAAACTGCAGACTGTTTCACCCACATTCTTTTCCACAGGCGAAACCTGAACCACCATCAAAGTTTTGGAATCTCCTCCTGCAAACCAAATGATTTAAGCGATAAGTGTTGGCTGATCAACAGTAGAACACAGCCTTTAATCTTCTCCGTGGTCGCTTTCGTCAAACAACATGCGCTCTTAGGAGCACGAAAGCATTGGCAAACTCGTTTCCAGATTCTCTCTTCCACCCGCCTCAACAGCCCGTTTCTCGAAAGAGCCGGCAACTTCGTGGGCCCGAAGCCATATTTTAAAATAAAAATTAAAAGGATAGAGAAGCAGGTTCTGGCTCCTTAACTAGTCCAATTGGTTTCTTAAGCTGACATTTTAAATCAACTTGACACCCGAAATAAGTTCTGCGTTCATTAAATCTCAAGTTTCCCTTATTCCACTTCTTTGTTTCCTTAGATTTCTATGAAAGTTTCAATTTTTTTCAGCATATTTTGTTGTTACTTATGTTTCCTTACAAACAATACGCAAAAATTGGCGCGCGACCGACCAAAATTGATCTCCTCGCGCATGCTCGACGTTTGAATGCTGTGTTCCCTAAGACGAGGTTGAGCGTGTCGCGTGACCACGAGAAAAAAAAAACATCAGTCGTGAAGCAGTAAAACAAGGTCTCAAGACAAATCTCCGAAATATCAGACGAATACGAGCTTGTCGCCCGATAGCGGGTTAAAGGTGACTTACCCAGAGATTCTTGAAGAAGATACGTCAGCTTTGAATTCCTGTAGGGTACATGAGAACTCCTGTTCTTGAGCGAGTGGATCACGTCACCCAAAGAGGACAAAGACTTGTTTATACTCTGAGCCTCTTTCATCCGGGCCCCTTCAGATCCACTCTTCGACACTCTCTCACTTCCTGCTAAGTCCACCAAGTTAAGCTTTCCTGAGACAATGTAAAATTAAAAAAAAAGAGAGAAACTGGACGGTCAACTTTTTCTCATTTTCTGTACAACAAAAACGAAAAACATGATACATCCTCTGAGATGCCTTTTCCTCTAAAACACCCTCTTGTCTCATAGATACAATTCTTCAGAATAGGGAAACTCAAGTAATTTCCCCTTAATCCTCGAAACCCCGTAATGGAAAATACACTGTCCGGATCAAAACGTGGATTTCCTTGAGACAACAACTGAAGTTCGTTAAGAGTACAGAATGTGCCAACGTTTTGTCTCAAACGCTGAGAGTTATTTTCCCATCTTGAAGGAATAATCGCCAGTCTTTCGTACACGCCCCTACTTAACATCAAAACCAAGAAATAGTCAACAGAATTTAGGATTGTATTTTTAATCAGTTAATACTGCTTGAATCTGACATATTTGACTTCCACTGAGTCCCTACATCCCCAAGAAAGTTAGATAAGAAACACCTGCTTACAATACCAGTCTTTTTTTCAAGCATTAAGGTGGAAGGTAATGAGACGAAAGACAAATATCAACTAAGGGATACTGTTTAATTGAACACTTAACTGTCTGAGATAAACATTCACAAAATCCATTATGGCGGACACTGCAAAGAATTGATATTTAAATCCTGGACGTGAAAAGGTTAAGCGCCGGTATACGGCTTTTCCTACCGATTGTCTTATGTCCTGTGGTTTTGTTGAAACCGGTCACCGTCACACAGAGGAGAGCATGTGAACGAGAGGAATGCTCGTTCATATCTGTGATTGCGGTAGACCTGTTGGTCTTCCCAATGGCAAAAACCTGTCAAGCAACATTCAAATGAATCAAACAATCAATAACTCAGTTAACTAATCAATCAATCACTCAAAAATCTGTCAATCAAACAATCGAACGGTCAGTCAATTAATCACTCAGTAAATGATGCATACCTCATTCAGTTCATCAACGTTGTTCACTTGAATTTCGGTGAGTCCAGGTACAAAAAGACCATCTTTTCCTTGTTTCACTTCAAGTTTAGCGGACGGATCATCACCCAGCAGATCACGGATCATTTCATTATAGATCTCGATCACAGATACGTTGATGGTGTAGTTCCAGTCCACTCCGCGGTCACGTGTCTCTTCGAACAAAAGCTTGAGCGCACGCTGGTTGATACCAGGATTGGATGAGGGGCCCTGGGAAAAGACAAGAACATGGGTTATTTCGCAATTTTCTTCTTGGTTTTGGGGAGGATAAACGAAGAATAAGCACATTTTACCATCTAATGTAATTCACCGGAGAGAGGAAAATTTTTTTCTTCAATAGTTGATCACACAGGGGCTCTCCCCTCACTACACTTTATCTAAGTTGTTTAAAGTTTCGTTGTATCCTTAAAAACCGTGAGTGCTGAGAGAGAGGCTGTGGGGGGAGGGGGAGGAAAGGAGGTGTCGCATGGTCCATTACTTCCGGAGGTTATCCTTGTTTCCATAGCATTATGTGAATAAGAGTATACCTAGTCCTCCGGGCATCGGACGATCCCAGAAAAAAAAAGAAGTAAAAAAAGAGAAGGCTGCGAGAAGCCTATTTATCACCCCTTTTGAGTGTCACTAGATACCCAAACCAGCTGTAGCTTGGTAACTAGCATCCGCTCGGGTTATTTGAGTGAGGCCAAAATACGACGATGGTTTAACTACCTTTTCCACTAATAAACATTATTGCACAACAATTAAGGCTGATTACCTCCATTGTAAAGGTTTTCCCGCTTCCTGTTTGCCCGTAGGCGAAGATACAAACATTATAACCGTCTATACAAGAAACTATGAGTGCCTTAACCTCTTCAAACACCTAAAAAGAGAAAGGCGGATTGTAGGTTAATTAAGTGTCTATTGGCTAAATATATCTCCTTAATTAGTAAGAGTAGTTTACCGAGATTGCACAAATTTTACTTTAATTTGATAAAATATTTGGATGGTATTAATGACCAAACAGGAATCGCACATAGTTAAGTACAGCGAGGATTTGACATGGAGTGTAAATGACGAACATAAAGGTTTCCGAGTAATATTTTCTAATAATATAATAATAATAATAATAATAATAATAATAAATGTCTCTATTGCTCATTAGATCAAAGCTACTTTATGCGGATTTTTTGCTCCAAGGTTTGGGTGCTTAACTGCTGCCTTGATGATGGAAAATCCATCACTGCCTTCTTTGACATCAGTAATCGTTCGCTGGTGTTAGATTTCTATTTGAAAATTAAAGCTTGAACGTATGTTGTCACGTCCAACTCATCAAATATGACATCTACCGGCATAAAAAAAAAATTACCTGCTGTTGAGTGGATGCTGATGTGAACACCTTGTCCATCTCAAACAGTTTTGTTGATCCCTTGGAGAAAACACCAAGAACGCCGTCGTCATCTTCGTCAAAAGAAACAACATTGGCAGCCATTTTTCCTCCTCCGTCTTCCTTGATCACAGGCCTTACCCTGCAATATACTCTGATGTTGCCTTTCAAGTCCACGAGTTCGTTATGGAGCTTTTTCCTCAAAGCCATTTCCTTTTTGTACTTTGTAACCAATTCTTTATTTTTGTCATCGATTCCTTCGATACGCTGCACAATCTGTATGGAAAACAAACATGGAATTTCCATTCAAAACTGAAATTGCTCCCAGGACGCGAAATCCTCGCGGCAGAAATTCATCCCTATGTAAACAAGGTACCCCTCACTTGGTGTCTTGAAACATACGAGCTACAGAAAATGAAACTGACCTGTTTAATCACCCCGCGTATAGCCGGTTTTATTCCAGTCCCGAGTTTTAAACAGCTTATCCTAAGATCTTGATGTTCTCTCTTGATATTGTCCAAAGTGTTCTTCACCACAATCAGTTGCTGCGTAACGCTTTTCAGCTTTGAGCGCATAACGCTGGTCTCCCTTCCACATTTGGCCCGCTCCTCTGCAACAAGTCTTCTTTTCTCTCCTTCAAAGTCCTTCGTTTGTTGTTCAAATTCTTGTCCAAGCTGATCGATATCCGCTTTATATTTGCTGATCTGTTTGAGAGGCAGAGGAAAAAGAAAAACGAAAAGCAGACGCAGTTACAAGGTGTTAAATTCATTTAATCAACGTTTAAAGGAATCAAGAGGAGGTAAGAAAGGATTTGGTGTGTGTGGGGGGGGGGGGGAGAGGGGTGGACTCCTTAAGGAGAGCCACGGAAAAACGAAAAGAGAGGAGAAAGAAGAAGAATAGAAGTGAGAAGAGAAAGAAAAGGAAAAGCCGGTTGAGCAAAAGATAGTATAGAGAAAAGAGTGTAGGAAAAGATCAGTTTGGAAGGAAAATCGATGTATCATGTAAAGACTATGATGCAGATTTTTCACAAGCCCAAGCCTTAAGACTTCCCTGACTCATGAAAACACTGATTGACTTTTTTTTCTTGCCATTCCTGACATGAAGCAACCATGTGGTGTGCTTTTAGTAGAAAGTAAATTATCTAAAGGAGTTGGTACTCTTAAGCAAAATGCAATTTAAGATATCGTAAAAGGTAACCCCAAAAACGTCGCAACTTGGAGCCACACTTCCTACATGCATGTCACCAGAGGGGCGCCACTACACCATCTAAGCTAGCGATCCAGACGTAAGGAGTGAATAAAATTTTGTCGTAGCTCGAATTTTCTTTGTTAGGTTGGGGGAAGCTCTTCCTACGCTCGATCTATTGAGAGAAAGCAAAAACGTACCTCGGATTCTAGCGCCTTTATTTTGCTATCTTTTTGTTTCACCACAGACTCGAGGGAGCTCATTTCCTTCACGGCTTCCTGCAAAGTTCGACAATCGGCCAAAGCTTTTTGCTCATTTCTCGAACTCTCTGTTATGCTGGTTTTTAAAGACTTTATATCAGCTTGCAGGGCGGATACCTACAATTAGAGCAAACACGAACAATGAACGCATGATGATGTCAGGTTTCCCTTCTCTGATATAATGGACATGAACATAAACTCACCTTAGCGTTGTAGTCCGATCTTGTCTTAGCAAGAATTTCTTCCAGATCTTTGTTTTGAGCGATCATCTGGTCAAGCTTTTTTTTGGTCTCCTCCGAAACAACAGAGATGGTCCGCGTCTGCAAAAATATGAAACACTTTCAATAAATAATAATAGTAACAATAATAATAATTAATAATAATGTTTTTTGACATTAATAATATAATCTTAACCCTTTACACCCTATCATCAGTATTCATATTCACCACACTGTTCTCTGTACATTTACTAAGGTGCTGAAAGGGAGAATTTGTCTAACAATCAAGAGTTTCTTTAGTTGGTGATCATTTCCTTTATTCTCATGACATTAATGTGTGATTCAGTGGTGATATTGTAAGGAGAAATTAGATGCGAGTCATTCTTAGGGGTTAAAGGGTTAATTGTCAATTAAAACTTAGGGAAGGAAGTCTGATCAAATGCTGAAGATAACCTTGTGATGGAGAGTCATCCCATCTGGGAAGGGAGTACTAATAATCCTAGTTGCCTCATACTATGGAAAGCAGGATAAGCACACAATGGATGGACCACTTAGCTCCAGTACAGTAAACTACATCTACAGTCAACTATTTTTTCCTTCTGCCACTACCAGACTGGTCACATTTGATAGGGGCATCACCATGTTCTAAACAATGATTAGATAGAAATTCTACTTCTTTCTTTTGACTAACCTTTGGTGGTGTAGCAGCCAGATTACTATACTTCGCTTCAGTGTCTCGAAGCTTCTTTCTAAGATTTAGTGCTTCTTCTTCAAGTTTATTTTTTGTAGTTGCATGTAGTTTGTGAGCACTCTGTAAATCATGTTCCAATGTCTGAATCTTTTTTTTCAAAGTAGTGACTTCCTCTTGGAGAGAAAACACTTGTTTGTTGTTTTCTCTTGGTTTATCCTGTAAGATAAAACACATTTCTATATATCAACAGATACATCTCTATTAAGGGACCATCAACATTCCAGACCAGGCTACTGCAGGGGAATCCCAGCCCCCTGCTATTCACCATATTCCCAACAAAGAAGCCCAGCCCCATGCTATGTTGCACTAATATTGCAATGTACAAGATGGCATGAGCCAAGAAAAAATGTCTGGCATAAGATTGGGTTTTTAAGACCAAGGAAAAAATATGATCAGATTGCTCTATGATTAATTTTATCTTTGTGGAACCAAATGATGAAACAAAGATGATCCCTTATACATAAATTGTTTAAATAACAACCAAAAGAACTTACACTTTCTGCTTCTGAACTTTGCAACTTGAGATTTTCAGCGTGAGCTTTGCGAAGCTTTGTCTCCAACTCTGAAATATTTTCTTTCAAACGACTCATGTTCTCCTTGTGTTCATGCTTAACTGTCTCAAGTTCTGACTGCGTTGACAGCCATGTTTCATGAATCCTACTTTTCTCTGCATGGAGATCATTTATGGAGTCAACAAGTTTCCTGAGACTTGAAGCTTTTGTGTTAGCAGCATTCAATGATTGTGTGGGACTTGAACCTTTGATGTGACTTTCAAGCTCAGCAATTTTGGTTTCTTGTTCTTCAATAAGTTCCTCTAAATTGTGGATAAGCTCTGCTTTCATAGCTAACTGAGATTCATGTGTTTTCTTCAGAATTTTTATTTGTGATTTTTTGTTGTTTTCTGCCTTCTGGAGCTTCGACTTATAGTTGGCAGTTTTGTCTGTCATAGCCTGGTAAACAGCAAAGAGTAAAAAATTCAGATGAATCATTAAATACATCATTTAATATGTCTTTATTTATCTACACTTATTTATTTATTTAATTTAGTAAGTTATTAGTACATCCAAGGAATGGAAGCTTGTTCAAAAGTTGAACGTGTATTCTTAAAGTATATATTATTTACTATACATTTAATGTATGGTCCCGAAGGAAACAGTTAGTTTCATTTTCCCTCAAGTCCTGGTATTTCCTTTGACTTCATCTCAAGAAACATCAGGACTCAAGGGAAAACAAAACTAACTAGTTTCCGGTGGGACTATATAATAAATGCTTTGTTATATATTTAGACTTTCCCTTAAACAATCATATGGCAACTAACAAACATGCTGTTGAAAATCAGCGCAAGCAACAGCTGCACAATTGTATCCCGGTCAGGATCAACCAATCACAATGCTCGTTTTGTTGAGTGAAAGTTTAGGTACATAGCAATGTAATTTATATCACTGTCAAAAACAATGAAAGAATTCACTAAACAAACTTCTCCCAGCTGAGAAAGTCTGAAAATGGACAGAAATTACATGATTTTACTGACTAGAAAAGATCTACTAACAGTTGAAGGAATTAAAACAAAATTCCTTGACTGAGATGAAAAGAGTAACAGTACTGTGTTATTGTAAAGGTTGTGTGGGGTGATATGGTTTAACACAGCTGAAACCACATGCACACCTGGAGAATGGTGACTAAATAAAAGTAGAATCTTAAAATTAGAAAAATAATGAGACTGAAATAAATGTTACAAGCAGTCCTATTATGCTGAATTTTGAAGTCAAACGAGCCCTGAAAAGTTTCCATACAGATTTTTTATTTCTGTTTATGTTGCTTCTTTTTTTGTCCCACCAGACCAAGTTGGTAAAGAAAGACTACTTTTAGATTAAGGGTGTAATGCTCTGATATAATACACAGTATGACATAAGTCTGTGAACAAATTAAAAAAAACTACTACAAGCACTAAGCAAACATGTCTAATGCAGTCTCAAAACAAATACAGGGCAGGCAAGTTTTGACAGGGAATGAACAAATACACAAAGCCAGCTTTGAGCTGAACTGAGCCAGCCTGTTTAAATATTGCAAATAAATAAAATTTAGACAAACCTTTAGATTCATAAGAAGTTCCTCACGCTGCTTGTCTTTCTGTCTTAACTCTGCAAGCAGAGCTTGATACTCCACATCTGATGAACCTGAAATTGTATCAGAACTTTTATAGCTTTCTTTTCTTTCCATGTTTTTTGCTTTCCTGAAAGATACCATTTATGGATAGAGGAAATAGATATCATCTCTAAAATTTTTTTTTAGCTAAGTGGACTTTTTATAGTCGTTAAAGGCAGAATTTTGAGGCTTAAACAATGACAAACCCGATTATCAACTTTGATCATGATTCTGCCAGTTTAAAAAAAAATGAAAATTTCAAGCTACTTTCTTGTAAATAAACATATTTCAGATACTAATCATGTTCCTAATTAACCAATTGAATTGTTACTTAGACTTGGGACATGTTGTTAATGTGATTACACATTTTTTAAATGTCTTGCAGCGAGTTATAACCATATTGGAAAAATCTCCAAAATTAGTCAATCCATTCTCACCGGGAACAATTGTATACCAAAGATGATCTAAGAAGCTATCTACAAAAAGCGCTAAGAATAATCACAACGGAAAAGCAAACAAAAAAACAAACACAGAATGGTAAATAAGCCTGTTAAAATAGAGTCGTTTCAAACTGTCGGTGTATTTGAAAAATCTAAGCTTACTGAAAAACCTATTAAAAATCTTTCAATTCTATCACCTCGTGATATTTTGCAGCTTGTCAAAGAAAATCCTACTTTGAAACTCTCACGAAAACATAATCAACTCTTTTTTCCTTATTCCTAAATCATTTTCTAACAGAAGTGTGGCTAAATCGTCCTAAAATTCATCAAACAATATTTTACAATCAAAGTTCCAATCTTTCCAATGGAGAAGACATACAAATTAATTAACAATATTGCAAGTTTGTTCAATGAGGAGAGAGACAATAAGTGCTTCGGATGACATTGCAGATAATCTTACAAATCCAGGATAGACGGAGCATGAAACTATTTTAATTTTGCTGGTTGTTGACATGAGCGCAACAGGTGGTTAGCTAATTAAATGGCAGGCCAGAGTTAATAGCATGCAAACTAAAGACAAAATATGTTCACAACCATTCGAAAGACGCTGTGTACGGTTTGCAGAATGAAATGTAGTTAAAGATAAAATTGTCTCTAGGTAAAACTATAATTCACCTTTGCTGGACAGCTGATCAGCTTCAGGTTCCAATTCTTCATCGTCGCTTGATGACTGTCCGGCTTCCGGACTAGAATCGTCTGTTACATGTACGAACAAAGACAGAGAAAGGATAAGTTTCAAGAAAGTCAAGCGAAGACAAGCGATGTTCAAAATGTAACTTTTTCAAATAAAAGCATATCATGTCTTATAGGCACAGTTTAGGATTTACAGGCTATAGTAAAGCCATGGCAAGATCGTTTAAGCTTACCATCGAATCCTAACTCCTCTTTCCACAAATCTTTTCGCGACGGAGATGGTTTATGGCTCGAGTCAGGCTTGAATACCATCGGAGTCTTGAATGATGGTGAAGTTTGTCTCTGAAGTAAAACACAGGATGACATGTAAAAGTGAAACAAACATGAATTCTTGCTGGCATGGTCGCATACGATACTTCTTTTATATAACGTGAATCCTGTGCTGAGCTCACCTTCATTCGATCGCGAGTGAACGACATTTTCAGATTACTACAGTTCTTTCCGGTTGATTTCGTTACTCCTACCACAATCCCCTAAATTTCTGGATGAATCTTCACCCGCCCGGTATTTCACGTAAATGCTTATGTTTTGGCTAGGCAGTGGCTTCAGCTAGCTTGACGTTAGCTCCATTCCTTCTACTTTGGGACCAGGTGGAAGACATAATAAATAGTTTACTCAATCAACGAAGGCATGAAACCGTTTAATGTGAAACCCGGCTTCCTTCACGATGACGTCACCAAGCAACAGTAGACAATCTGACCCAATCCTCTTTTAGAATACCACTTCGCCGGGCAAGTTCAAACACATGTGAAGTTTTGAAATTTGGCGGCGGTTGGAACAAACCAGTATAGTATAATATCAGAATAATTCTAGTTTAAGCTCCTAAATACAGGTCGTTTTTATCATTTTTTATGTAATAATTATGATTAAAAAAATGTATATACATTCATGCACACTCTTTGGCCGGAACGTTCACACATAGCTAGATGAGTGAAATAAAATCAATGATAAAAAAGAAGGAATAGAAAAAGGGAACCCGGCTTGGTTCGTTTTTATTACAGAAAACACAGAAATCACTTTTTTTTCGTCCATAGGGTTAAATTTAGCTGCCTCTTTCACATTCAAATATTCCCCTCTAATAATATCATTGTTGGCACATTCAAAGTGCTCTCGGCCTCTTAGGACTCTCAAGAGCTACCAGTGCAATATGAAATCGTTATCACGGAACTGGTAGATGTGGGCTTACTATTTTCCTTTAAGAAAAGGAGGTTGTAACAGATATTTCACAATCTGAAGACCGCTTAATAGCAGACATACAGGGTGATACATGATCTCTCTGACCCTGATAGTCACGTCTAAGTTCTTTGGTCGCCCTTCCCTAAGACTCTAGATTTCTTAATGCCCAAAGTTTTTTTTTTTTTTTACACAATTTGTTCCCGAAATCTTTGTCTGCCCCCATATCCACCGTTGCGTGCCTTTTCTAAAATAATTGTAACTGTTTCGTCGGACTACTGGGCCCAAGGCCCTCTGCAATTCCCGGTTGAAGTTAAGGACATTTTCTGTTGCGTACTTGAAGTAAAGCTGTGTTGAAGATGGCGGCCTTATTTGCACGCTACGGGAACTGGAGAATAAGCCGGGCAGCAACATGCTTGAGAACTTTGAGGGTCTCGGGGCAATCAACTAACAAGGTAAAAAATATATATTTTTAATTACGGTAGAGATACTTCATACGCAGGATAAGCATGGCTAAGTGAATGAAATATGTCGTATTCTTTTTTACATCTCGCAGATGCTCGATCGCTATATCAGAGATGTTGCCTCACGCACTTATTCAACGACTGGGTTATACCGAAGGGTGAACTTTGGAAGACCAAGAAACTTTAAAATGTACAGTGGTGTTAGGCACGAACTGTCGCCTTGGATCAAAGGAGCGAGATGTTTTTCGTTATTCGGATCACAAAGTTCCTCCCCAAGTCCAGGTAAGGTGTATTGACTGTAAATGACGTGACGTGAAATAAAGTGCTGTGCAGTCTACTCTCGATAACTCGAGTCTCTGAGGAAAATGATGAAATTTCGAGTGATCGAGAATTGAAAGTAATCGACCTGAAATACAGGGAAAAACACTGACTTCCAGTCCATGGATTACCCCTGTGACTACCTTGGGGTGGACTACCCTCATGACTACCCTAGAGTGGACTACCTTAGAGTGGACTACCCCCATGAGTACCCTGGAGTGGATTACCCCTATACTGCCCTAGAGTGGACTATCCCCATAAGTACCCGGGAGTGGATTACCCCTGTGACTAACCTAGAGTGGACTTAACCCCCATGATTAGTCTGAAGTGGACTACCCCCACCAAAAACAATTTCAGATGAGTAACTGCATGCATCCATTTTATTTTCATCTGCACTGCCTTGAGCAGACATTTTGAGTAATTCTACATGCTTTATTTATGAACTTGTTTTCTTTGACAGATAACACAGAACTCTTGCAAGAAGAGAATGTCACAAATCCATTTGTACAAGAGAATGAGTCAGGATCAGTATTAGAGTCCATGGCCACAGGAAGCGAAATGTTTAATGATTTGGCAGATACCCTCACCTCTGTTGGCGAGCCGAGCTTGGCAAGTTTAGGATTAGGTGGCTGGGGTCCAACCGGCATCATTCAACAAGGCCTGGAGTTTATCCATGTTACTGGGGGTCTCTCATGGTGTGCCTCCATAGCTGTGACAACAGTGTGCATACGTCTCCTGCTTCTTCCTCTGATTGTCAAGTCACAGGCCAACACAGCTCGACTGAACAATGCACGGCCAGAGTTACAGGAGGTAGAGCTTAAAATGAGAGAGCTGTCAAACTCTACTGATTCAGCAGCACAAGCACAAGCTTCTGCAATGCTGGGAAAAATTTACCGTGAGAACAACTGTCACCCTGTTAAGGTAATTGCAGAGAAAACTGTTGTCAAGATCTTGATTAATCCTGTGGTCAATTCATTGATCTGGGTTGAATAATTGCTTCTCCATCTTTAATTACCGTTGCTAAAATACTGACATCGGCCCATTAATTTAATTATTTGGTGAACATGGATTTTGTGTCATCATTAAACTTATTTAACAGTTAGTAATTTCTTTGTTTCTTTTCAGAGTTTATTGGCCATTGTTGCCCAGTTTCCTGTTTTCATCTCATTCTTTTTTGCAATCAGAGGAATGGCTAATTTACCGGTAGAATCATTCAAGACAGGAGGATATCTTTGGTTTCAAGACCTAACATTATGTGATCCATATTATGTATTACCTATCATGTGCAGTTTTTCCATGCTGGCATCATTAGAAGTAAGAGAAATGTTCTTCAGAAGGAAAAGTTTATATACCTTGCTGGTTATCAGCAGTAAATTAAACCTGGCACCATATTTATATTATATGCAGGTTGAGTGAGTGGTTTGTTTTTTCCACAAGAATTAATTTTCCAAATTTCAATTTGACCTGGAAAACAGTGAACTTGAAGAGCCACCTAGTGGAAAGTCAGCTACTAAATTCCCATAGTTAATATTATTATTATTCATTATTATTATTAGTGTTATCATTATTGTTATTTTTATTGTTATGTTTCATCATTATCTTAATCTATTGTCTGTTATAATTGTAATTATAATTGTTATTTTTACTTTTATTAATTGGGGATGAGCACAATGATTTAAATGTCAGTGAGCCTCAAAGACCTTACCTGCCTATGAATGAAGGAAAGCATCATAATTTAAATGTTCATATTCTGTGCGTGATTTTTCTTGTAGTTAGGTGGCGAGGTTGGAGTCAGGACTCCCCATATGGAGACAATGAAGACAGTCTTTCGCATAATGGCTGTTGCACTGATCCCTTTCACAGCACATTTTCCAGCAGTATGTTTAATATCACCTTGTCTTTTGTTTCTTATGTGTCAATCAAGTCTAAGCTTCAACATCACCCCCTGGCAACCCTGCAAGCATTTGAACTTTTGAAGATTGGTTATTTCAAGTTTCTGCTCCCCCCCTCTCCCAGGCCAAGATCGCATTCAAATGCCCCACCCAATATCAAACAATCCTTGGTGTGTTCAACAAATGTTGTGGAATTAAGCAAAGTCATGGGTTAGTTTTTGTTGCTGCTCTATAAAAAGATGTGTATTCAGGGTTTTCATTGTATTACACTGAAAAGACTTGACACTTCCAGGTAGGGTTCAAATTCCCCACCTCCTGGGTATGGGGGATGGTCAAATGCTCATGGGTTGCCCAGGGAGATGTTGAATAAGTAAGACAGTTTTGTGAAGTTATTTTGTTACACTTTCTGAAAAAACTTGTATGTGCAGAAAAAGTGAAGATCTAAAATGAATAGCAAGACAGAAACAGTGGGAGGGGTACCAAGGGTTTTTATTTATTTATTCATTTATTTATTTTGAACTCTTTCTGCTGTCCATGGCTTTCTAGCATTATTATGCTAGGAGATGGGGTAAGGTTTCGCTTGTGCATAGTTCTCTAGATCAAAAGTTCCAGTTAGGAGCCCTGACCAATTCACTGCATTGTATTCTTGGGCAAGACACAAGAATTATGAAGGGGTATCTGCAACTGTCAAGAAACCTTGGGGAAACTTTTGGAAGTGATATTTGATGGACCAGAATCTTGTTGAGGATGAGTGGCAATACTCCCAGCTACTTTAGTTTACAGTAAGAGAGATAAGAGTGGAGATTTATGCCAAGTATGTCACTCAAATAATTGGCCAGGGTTCAAATCCATGCCTCCTTAACTTGACTATGACATCTCTGTAACTCCTCAGAGAAAACTAAACTAAATGCAAGGGAGAAAAAGCCAATTGTGAGGATTTTGCAATTGCTTGAGTAACTTTTTTGTTACAAAAAGAACATTACTCTTGGTGCATTCAGAATATGATTATGATATATTTTTTTAACATTTTTCAATAGGTTCTTTTATTGTTTCTCAACAGGCCATTTTTTGTTACTGGGTAACATCCAACTTGTTTACAATTGTTCAAGTGGGATTTTTAAAGAGCCCTTCAGTAAGGAGAGCTTTAGGAATCCCTGAAATGATAAAACATGAAAATCTACAAGATGCTGGAAGCTTTTTTGAGAACTTGAAGGCTGGTGAGCTCTGACGAACTATCTAAGTTAATGAATTAAGCATTTCTTATCCATCAACTTCCTTCTTTCCCTTAACCTTTTCATTTTGTTACAACTGTGCACCTTTTCCCTTCACTTTCTTCCATCATTTCTTGCCTCCTTCAATCTTTCCGTCATCTCTCCCCTCACTTTCCTCCTTTCCATACAATACTTGTTCAATGATCTCCCACATGTCTACCTACCTATCAAACAAGCTGCCTATCTGCATTTCAGCTTATTAGCCTATACTAATTTCAGTACATAGGATTAGTTGTAAGACCTACCTGTGTTTTTACTTATGCACTACCCCCAGCTACCAAAATGATTGTACCTGTAGTATTTGCCAAACATTAAAATTTTTAACTGTCAACTGACAGCTAGCCAACCTGTGACCTATCAGGTGACCCTGTGCTTGGAAACTACCCATCCTTTTGTACCTTCCAACCTTTTCTCTGATCTTCTTGTTTATTTAACTTACTAGAGACTCTGTGACTTTGAATGCTCTGACATACAAATTCTAAACTCTCTAACCAGGGTTTCAAAATTCACAAGAAGAAGGAAAACTGAGGCATGCAGAGAAAATGAAGAGACAGAGATTGAAGGCCTTGGGAGAAGCCCCCTTGGAAGCAACATATGAGTTCAATCCCAGGATTGAACAGAACCAGGAGATTCTCAGTTTGTCTGACAGTGAAAAAAAGAGTGACAAACGTGGAAGGAACAGAAGAAGAATGTTGGAGAGACTGGAGAAACCAGCTCCTCAAACTGACCTTAGGATTAAATTCAACCAGGAGTACTTCAGTGCCAAAGCTCATCAACAAGCAAAAGAAAAAGAGTGAAAATGCAAGGGGGAACAGTCTCTTTGAGGCTCTCAGTCAGGGAAGTTGAGACATGTGCCTGACTTTTCTTTTTTCACAACTGACTGGGAGTCTGGCTCAAATTTCAAGCAATACAGCCATGTGACCAACATACTGAGTTACCAAGGCCTGAATATGTTTTTGATTAACAGCTGAAGGTGATGCACAGCAGAGTATACTCTGATGTCTTTGGCCTTTATTGACTTGTACATTTACCAACTATTTGTTTTAAAGAGAAGCTTACATAACATGTAGTCCATAGTGTGATTTAAATGCTCCCAAGAACTGGATTTCTTAAAGGTTTTTGATGTGAAAGGTTTTCAAAGGTTGCAGCATAAGAACAAAGAGGTCAGAGGTCACAACTCAAGTTGTCCAAACCCAGCTTTGAACAACACTGCCTTGTACAATATTGTGCAATAGTGTAACTGTTAACTGGTTATGATATCAAGTTTTTTTCTTCACCATTGTAAACTTGTGCAAACAAAAAAAAATGCTAGAATTCACATATGTTTGAGATGCAAATGTTGCTATCAGTTTAAACAAAAATTGAAGGATTTTCTAAATGGCAGGTGCCTAGACTGACAATTTAGTTTTATCAGTTGAGTTGATAATGTAATTTGACCACTATAAAGAGATTTTAGAGCCGCGTTAGCCCTTCGTATTTCGCTCTGACGAAGGGATAATAATAGAGAAGTCAGCGTCAGAAACCCTTTACTGCAGCCAATTAAGTTCCCCTCCAATGCAGCGCCACAATTTCTCACCTCCAGCCCAAGTCTAGCCATAGCAATAGTTATGGTTGTCGCAAAAGTGCTTCAGAATTAACGAGAAGGCTGAGAACGACGATAGGACCTCTACTATGATCCTTCTACATCCAATCTTACTGTTTCTACTCCGATATGAGGTCATCAAAGATCGTCTGCTGAACTGGAAACTGACTTTCGCATTTGAAACACTTTGTCACGGTAACCGCAACTGAAATTGAAAAGTTTCACCTTCTTCATCTTTGTACCCCAGCCAAAATGTCACTAATAAACAGTTACCTCAATCTCGACCGATGTTAGCATTTATTGCCTTGAAAAACGAAAAATAAAGCTTTCATAAAACCAACGTTTGTATAAAAATAACATGCAATTTAGGTAGCTACTTTTGAAATTCAGGCTGCCACTTTCTGGATTTCTGGCAATTTTTAAGCAACTTTTCAGCAGCTAGTGAGCAACCTAGCGCCGCACAGCGGATGACGTTGTTACTATGGTAATATGATGAGGCGCGTATCATGCTTCTAATTTCAAGATGGCGAATTCTGCGTGGAACTTGAAATAAGCAAGGTTGAAATCTTAAAAGAATGGGTTACATAAATTTGTATTTTTTATAAATCGTAAGAAATGAAAACCTCGTCTCGATACGATCAAGAAAGCGGAGGCTGGAATGCAAAGTTTGGAGAACAAACAAGAAAACAGAGGCATCCATGTAAGTTGAAGATCTGAAATCCAGATTAGGCATAACTTCTTTATCGACACTGTTTAGTGTTTGTTATAACTTAACTTTATCGTATTTATCTAGATATATGAGTGAATCATTGAAAAATCGTGGTAAGCCTGGTCATAGATAACAGTTCATCATTTCGATGATGTTTATTACAAAGAGATTTTGGCATGTTTACAAATTTAATAACACGATTGCAGATCAACTCTATATGTACACAAGATTACTAGTAAGTCTTATGCATGGATAGAGTTGATCTGAAAGCTTGACTGTTGTTCAAGAGGCTTCTGATGTCGACGAGCGGGACATTTAACTACCGTCTGGTGCTGTGTGCAAATTAATACAACCATTCTGTGTCGATTTAAGTGTTTAGGGGAAATGTTTTAAATAAAAACATGGAATAAATGTTTGTGGTAATTTAATTGATCAAGATTTAACCATATGAATGTAAAAAATTTATTTTTCTGTCAGTGATTATAATTTATCATCTCATCAAATGTTTATTTTAATTTACTTACTTAGTGCCAAAGCTTATTGGCCTTCCTGCTATTAACTACAATGGTCTGAGGTGGTTGTGTGATATTGAAGGCCTTGGAGAGAGGTATGTCCAATTGAGTGATAAAATCAACCTTTTTCTATGCTCTTCTTCCAAATAACCCTTCATAGCTGGTAGATTTGTGTTTGTCATGGAACTTTCAGGAGTATTAAGCCTTAAAATTTACATGTAGGAGGGAGGCAGGAAAATGGGAAAACCATTCTTCCACCCTAAATTATTGCCTTAATTACTTAATTACTGCCTTAATTACTAAATTAATTAACAACTGCATGTTTTTACAGCTCCTCCACACCAAACCAGCAACTATATTGGCTACTTTTTCTTTGTGTGTTGCTGATGTTAAGAAATCATCTCACCAGGATGGTGGATGGCAGGGGGTCATTGGCACTCCAGAAACCTCCCATAACCCAGCCTTGTTTAATCCTTAACCCCTGTGAGTGACTGACTGCTAGTTCTCCTCACAGTGTCACCTTAAAATCAAATGTAAACATCACGAGAATAAAGAAAATCATCACTGACTTAGGAAGCTAGTGATCGTCAAACAAATTCTCTTTGTCAGTGCTATTAGAAATTTAAAGAGAACAGTGTGGAGAATATAAACACCAATGATAAGGTGCAAAGAGCTAATGTTTAATTTTAAATTCATGAAGACTCTGATTCAAAGTTTCTCAAGTGTCTTGGCTGTTTGCATTTCAATTTCAGGGACAGGCCATCCACATCAGAAGCTCATGAGTTATTTTTAGCCAACTATCCAAAGATGTTCAACAATCCCAAACAGCAAGCTTTAAACTTATCTTTAAATTCTACACAGCCAAGGTAACAAATTAATTTCCATTTACTTACAAAGAAAACACCTTGAAAAATTCCTGTCTCATTTTCTCTGAAGACAAGAAAATGTCTGAACAAGCCTGTCTCTATTTTTTTAAATTTGTGGGGACCTTTTCTTAAATTCAACGCTCTTAGCCTCATCTAACTATTATGGTAAAGAGGGTAAGTTTCTATACATAACCCACAATTCCTCCAGTTGCTCTGACAAAGGCCCAACACTTGAAACATCAGCTTTTAAACTCTTTATGGTTGCCAATTTACATTGTCAACTCAGTTTATAATACTAAATTACCCTGTTTAACTCTCCTACCAATGTAGCACAACAGTTTCTTTAGAGACTTACTTCCTTTATTAACTTTCTAGAGAAACTGTGATCAGGGGAAGTATTTTAAGATGATTTGTTTTTTTCAACTAAGTTGATAAATGAATGTAAATAGCCCACTGTAAAGAGTTTCTGAAGCTAAGGTAACTGTTATGTTAATTTGTTGTTATTTGGTGAAGATTTTGTTTTTCTTATATACAAATGCATATTCACTTTTCTCCATTATTTGATTATGACCAACAGAAAGCTCAATTTTGGTGATGGCCAGTTACTTAAAGCTTCAGAAACCAAAATACCACATGGTAAGTTTTCTTAACTTGTTGTTTGTTTGCATGTTTTTTCCCTTGCTTGAAATTTAAATTCATTCAAGCTACTGGTATTTAAACTTATGGAAACGTGATTCATTCCTTTCTTTTATAGACAAAGGGTTATTTCCTCACTGGTGTAAAGGATTTGATGTTCCAGTAAGCCACAACATATCGGAACACCTTTCCAAGCTTCATAAACATTCAGTCATCACCATGTCTGCAGCTGCCTTACTTGACATGAGAATAAAGTCCATTAAAAGAGTGCTACGGAAACAGTAAGTTCCTTGGGCAAAGATAATGCTGATGCTATAACTATATCCATTTCCTGGAATGGAAAATTTTTACTTGAAAAGTAAAAAAATGTATGTATCTTTTGAAATGTAGTGGAAAGAGTGGTAAATGATATTTTAGATCATGAGAAGTTACAAAATTAAATGAAAACCAACCTCAATTATTAAGGATACATTCTTTGAGGTTAGCGAACATATGAATCAAACATAGTAACAGTGAATGTACTCCAGATAACAACCTAAAGCACAAGGGTGATGGTTGAGGGGGGGGGGAGGGTCAGCTTTAATGTGTCTGAGCCCTAAACCTTTTTTGCTCATGTAGTGCTTGCAGATTTTTCTGCATTTGTGATTTCTACCTTGCAAAACTAGCAATACAGAAGATATTCAAGTTTATCAGGTACAAAGAAACTTAATGATTTTTTATTGCATCATTTGCCTTTACAGACCCTTTGAAAGAAAATCAAAGGAGAATGAGGTGCTATTAAAACACTTGCAGTACTTTCCAGAAATAGCTGAGCAGGTATCAAGACATGTGCTTAAGGAACTGTGTTCTGTGGCACAGCTTGACAAATGTCCAGAGGAAGATTACACAGGTTAGGAACACATCCCTGTTGATGCAAAGACTTTGGATGTTTAGGATTATTGACTTTAATGATATTCCTGCCCGTGCTGCATTTTGAAAGTGCATTCATTTTTTGACTTGACAATATTGTTGTTCATATGAGGTGGAATTTTTTGCTGAGACTTCTATTAAAGCACTTAGTCTATCACAGGTTACTCACATCTCACAACATGTAAATTTTTTCTCACAGTATTTGGGAACACAGGACTGCATCTCATCTTGCGTGGCAGTGTTATGGTGCAGTCATCACAAGCATTCTCACCTGAACTTTCAAGAGAAGCAACTGAGGTCTCCTCTCCATCACCCTCCTGTATCCTTGAAGAAGATGAGCTACAAATTTCAGAAAAGGTAGAAAAACATTGACGACAGTAAACTGAAAGAGACTTCCATTCATTTAACAAGCACTTTGAATTAAAACAAATTATCTCACAATTCTATGAAATTTAATCCCCAAAAAAAATTTGATCAAATTTTCCAAGTTCATCATTTGCAGTCCATTTAAATATCCAAGAATGACTGTCGTCCAATTTCTCCTTACAGTATCAGCCTTGAATCAAATGTGAAGGTTATGATAACAAATCCCCTGATTATCAAACAAATTCTCCTCATCAGTACTATAGCAAATATAAAGAGAAAAGTATGGAGATAATATGAAAGCCGATGTTAAGGTGTAAAGGATTACTCTTCTCTATCTTTAGCTTGCCTCTTGCCCTTCAAAATTTACTTGGAAGTCATGAGACAGTGTGGCTTTTTTGAAGAACTAGTGTCTAGAAATTATCTTCAATTTGAATACTTATGTGCGTCTTAAAGAAATTATTCAACTCTTTCAACTTGTTGACTGAAGTGTTTTCATGAAGATGTTTTGGTTAAATTACAGCTCACTGTGGGCCAGTGTTTTGGAGTCCTAAGCAAAGTTGAAGAAAAGGAGGCAAACTCAAAGTAAGTTTGTTGATTTTCCTCTTAGCTTCTTAGATTTCTTTTCTTAGCTTCAAGCAATGAAATTAGTTTTGAGGAAAATGTTCCAGTGATAAAAGTGTTTCCTACATGGGACAGAAGGAAATGATAGTCAAATTAATTTTTTGATCAATCAACTGACATACTTTTCCTGCTCTCATTGGTCATTGTAAGGTTGAATTACTATGTGGTTAAGATTTTGGGAACAAGGTTTTAAAGTTTTAGATCCCATTCCCCTTCATGTTTAGATTTAGGTACTGGTATGTTAACATGACAAAATTTTTACTTTTCTCTAGTCATCTCTTTTAAATATCAACAAAGGAAGCATGCAAAAGTTATGTGCACCAGGGGTGCACATGTTGGAAGGTGGGAAGGTAGACAAAGTAAGACTATGTCTATTCTTCCTTCCCATCATCCCTCTGGGGTAGTAGTGTAAGTCTCTTAAGACCCACAGCTGCATCTTAAAAGTAACTGAAAATTGAGACAAGTTTGGGAAAAAGACCCCTTTTTCTTAAAAAGGAAATTAATTGCTATTTCCAAAGTGAATTTTCATAATCTGATTTAAAGCATGTTTCTTTTAGACTTCTCTCTGTTGTCTCCTTGGAGCCATGTGAGTTCTTGAAGATTTCAACCAGTGACTATGCTAGAGTTATACAGGTCAGTGCTGAAACGAAGGAATTCAATTAGATCAATAATTTTAAATGAAATTGAAGTTTTAATTTGTTCCCTTTTTTTCCTCTTCAGATAATTCAAGCCCGAGAGGAAGAGCAGAAGTTGTCTCTAGCAAAGGTGTGTAAGCTGTTCAATAGCTGGCCTCTGTTGTCACTCAAAAAAATTGCAGGGCTCATCAAATGGAGAAAGTTCCCACCAGGTCAAGGTAATATTTGCTATCAGGAGAATAGTCTTGGAAAAGCATGTTTTGTAGCAAAATTTTGTATGATTTTTCACTAGTTCACAGAGCAGAATGCGTATGCTCCATTGAGGTACTTGTAATGCTGTCTAAAATAAAGTCATTACTTACAAATACTACCTCTCAAGCCACACCCATCCCACACGAAGTGAGCTTTGAAATGTAAACTCCAGAATTCAATTGTTCATGTAGCCTGCGAGTAGACTCTGATTACCGGTAGCGCTGCTTCACGAGAATCTTGCGGTCCTCGGGATTTGAGCCTGGGAGCTGATTGTGCAGCGATGCCAATGAGAGCTTGCACGAAGGAAGTGTGAAGGCTACTGTCCGTGGGAAGATTGATACCCATCTCAACTCATAGCGCTTCCCTCATTAAGAAACACACTGGTACCTTCAAGTAAACCAGAGCAGAATTTATTGCGTACAAACTAACCGAAGTCTTACTTAGTATCATACGTGGGATGTCACATGTCGTAATCACTGGGCTATTGTTAGATTTCCCAGTTTGACATGTAAGATCAATTACTGACACTTCTCTATAATGTTTCACAGTTCTGGTGAGCGAAGGTGAAAGATGTGAAGTGATAGGGTTCATTAAGAGTGGGGAGTGCCTTCTGAGACGTTACATCAATGTAGCACATACATTTCCAAACGGTAGAAAGGTTAGTGCTTGTCTCTTTATAAACTTTGAATTGAACCCAGAAAGTCACAGAAAACTCTTCAATTACTCCTTACGCTTTATTCAGGAAGTGGTTGATGTCCTAACAATTCCAACCTGATAACTGGTAGTACAGAGTTCTTCATTTTTCTAAAATGAGAAAAGCGCAGTGACACTGGAGCATCTTACTTTTCATTTACCTGGAAATAGTTTGCAAGTAGCTTCATATTGTATTAGTACCTTTATGAGAATAAGTAGACACCTCCACAGAGAAGACTTCAAAAACTCTTTTTCCTGTCTATGTCGAACATAAGCTTTTGGCGACAAAAGATTGGGACGAGACAAAACCATGATACCGGGTGTGTCGTCAAACGTCATCATGTGTTTGCTTTTGCTCCCCACTCGTTAGACTGTTTTCTAATAAGGGATCCAGGCATGAAGTAAATTGTTGTTAGGGATTGGAGAGGGATCTTGTGGGTAAAAGTGACCCTTTAAAGACTTGACATGCCCCAAATATCAGTAAGATGATCCCACGCAATGCTCCGCCCTTGCTTCCATTGAATTTTCCTTCTAAGTGGTGCTTTGAGGCCTCCAGAAGTTGCTGTTGCTGACTGTTTCTACGTGGGATAATTTTTTTAAAAAACTTTGTCTCTGTTGTATCTTGATCAGGAGCAGCGTGTCAAGTCCGTAATGATTGGCAGACTGTCTCCTGGAGACTCGTTTGGTGAGATAACAGTCCTGAAGGGCTTGCCAATGCCATGTTCAGTCATCACAGACACTCATGTACAAATAGGCACCATATCTACACTCGATGTCCATGGTAGGTATTTTGACACCTCATCTCCCCCTTCCCAACCCTCACCCGATCAACTTTCTCCCCTCCCTTCCTCCCTGCCCCTAATTCGACGGCTGAGTTTAAGATTTACAGTCTTTCTTGATCTTTTCCACACACGACGCTTTTGACACTGCTGATTTTGGCACTGTGCAGGATGCGTGTCACCTTTGAACCGAGTACTAGCCTGGTTCACCATAGAGTCTCTTTGGCTCTGTAGTACAGTATCTGTGCGTGAAATTCGAAGATCTGGAGCTCAATTCCTTGTGGGATACTCAGACCTGTTTTCTTTTTTTGTACCACGCCTGTTACAGTCGAATTACATCTTCCCTCATTCGAAGACTGAGCTCAAAATTTACGATCTTTCTTATTCTATTTACAAATTGAATAATTTTTAATACCAACCACTACTGAATCGCTTTTTTTTAGACTTGGATGAGGTCACAAGGTCTCTTCTCTCGCAGTCCTATTCAGTGATGGATGCCAATTTAACAGAGGTAGCGTACACTTCAATGAGATACGTTTTGTTGATGGATTCTGTGTGCTTCTAACGACAACTTGTATTTATGTAAATTAATGACTCAACATAAATGAATCATTACATTTCAGGACGAGATACAAAAAGAGTATATCGAACAGGAGAAAGAGAAGGAATGGGTCAGGTTTAAGGTGGGTAGAATTGTTTCGAATTAGTTTAGTACCTCTTTAGCGCTTATTGTGAAATTATATTATTCTTCTTGTTCGTCTTTTTTTATGAACTGTCACACGTATTCCTCTTGATCTCATCTGCGCAGCCACAATCCACGTTTCTGTTTCTAATACGCTGCAGCCAAAAACGATTTTTGTTGACATCTGATTGTTCCTTGACTAAAGTGAATAGAAAATGGTTGAAAAGGAGTTTGCGGCAAGGCATTGGTTAGTTGCGCTTACGACCGTGCACATATTGTCGTCATCGGCTTGCGTCTTGTTATCAAAGCAAAATCGCTGTTGGAAATTGCAGTCAAATGCAGTTCAAATTTTTGCATTTAATTTAACTAAAATATCCAGGGTTGCAACCTAGTAAAAAAGACTCTGGCATGGAACAGTATACTTTGCAAGAACGCAGGCTTTATACATATTGCAAGGCCGGCTAGCTCATCTTGGCTCCTGAGATTGTCTCTGCAGTTGTTTTGCATGTTTGTTTTTCTTTGCCATCCCAAGAGTGAATATTTTTTGGAAAGGAATGAAAATTTGACAGTCTCTTTTGTCTGTGTGTGTGCAGAACAAAGTCGTCGGCAATGTGTTACACCACAGAGGCATTCTTCCTGGTTACAGCAAGTGGAGCAGAAATCCGTCACTTTTGGAGGTGTCAGAGAAATGAACCAAATTAGCGATCACGTGTCCGATTGACTTCACTGCCTTAGTTCTCTTTAAGCATCAGAACGAGGACGTCATTTTCAGACGGAAGGTCACGCGGAGTAGTCTGGGCGAGACCTTACACCGGCTTTCGGTATTTGGATTCCCCCTTCTCGAGTGGGTGGGGGGAGGGGAGGGGAGGGGAGGGGAGAAGGATGGAGAAGGTTATTTGGTGTGCTTTCTCACCACGGTACATCAGATCAAAAGAAATGAGTGTTATTTCTTATCTTATATCAGACCTGAAAACAATGAAACCCGAAAGAATAAATAACATATCCGTTGGCTGTCGGCATACCTTTATCCTTCACACAGGACCAACCATCCCTATCCCCTTCTCTCCCCCCCACCCACGATTCTTACCCATGGCATCATTAAGACTCCATACAAAAATTCTTTAAGTCATTGCAAGAGATTATCAAGTCTTGATCACTATTCACTAGAGATACCATTTTGCTTAGTTCCTAGCTACCACTCAATTTTTGGAGGGTACAAATCTCAGCTAATGCACAACTGCCTCTGATGCACCAGTACAGATCTGAATTGTATTTACTGTATCTAGAAAAAAGAAGGATTATTTTCTTTTTCGATTTAAATTTACAAATATCATTTGAAAAATTTGGTTTGTATTTTGTACAGAGTTGTTAAAAAAGTGTAGTCGCACCATTGTAAATATGTGAAATATTACATGCAGCAACAAAATATGCGTAAACTTAAAGAAAAATGAACTCCAGTGTAAAGTGAAAAATTGCGATCAGGTGGCCATTCTCTTCGAAAACCCCGGCTTGCGAGCAGACCCTCATTATCGCTGCAGGACTCGCGTGTTTCTCCGCCCGCGGGAAGATGTGAGACGAGTCGGGAAGAGGTATACCGCGGGTCTGGCACCTCGCGAACGAAAACTGGAAGAAGGATAAAACTAACTCTTGCGCACCTTAACGCTAATGTATCGACCGTAGAGTCTTCGTTTTAGCACTTTTAACCAAACTGTATTGACCAAAAGGGTGTTTACAGAGCACCAGGAATAAGAACTTTTAACTTCCGGTTGCTGTGCGCGTCTCTAAAATGTTGGTGCTTATTATTAATAGACCTCTCGCTGGCTCACGTTGCACAAGGTTTCACGATTTCCCGCGGGTGGAGGAGCGCTCGTTCCCAGGCTCTTATAATGAGGGCCTGCTTGCTAGTAGGCTGCTAAAACGTAGATTCATCAACAAATTCTCGGACTTGTTGATCAAAGTATCTCTGAATTACTTACTTGTGGAGAACATATGTGTGATTAGCAAAATACAATACGCCATGAACATAAAATATATATTAACCTCACTTTATTTCATCGATTTTCCTTAGCAAAATAAATTATCCTTGATTTAAAAATTTAGCCCCATCAACAAAATGTTCAAATCTAGCCAAATCGCATGTCCGTTAAATTTTTGTTAAGAGGTATTCACGTGCACTTACCGAAAAATTGAATTCGTATCAATTTATTGAAGAATGTTTAGAAAGAGAAGCTTCCCGAACTTCAAGATTAAGGAAATGGTCCCCTGAAATATCGCGATCCAAAAAAGCTGAGAAAATTTCAAAAATGGATGAGCAAGAAACTAGGGCGACGCAACGGAATCTTGATACATAGCGGTGGCACCTAAATTACCCTGAAGCTCGCTATAGCGTGCTGTGGCGTGGGGCGGAGACCCATACTCCACCACTGATTAAGACTGCGCACGAGAAAGATAAAAACAGAGCTAAGCCATGATTACCAAACATTGTCAAAGATAGTGATTTCAAATGGTCGTTAGATAACCTTTCAAGGATCTTTGTCAACCTGAATACAGTGCACGCATGTACTCGAAAAATTCCGTCAGTTTCGGTACCTCAATAGATTGGGTGATCTAACACACGGTTGTAGATCTTCGTGAATTCTTTCAGCTTGTTTAACACAGAAATTAAAGTGTAGTCAGTGCCTCATAAATTTTACTTTTTTACTTTTCCTTTTTCATTTACGATTTCGTCGATGTGTGTCAATCGTTTAGTTTAATCGCTTAGTTTTTTTGTGCTTTCCCAAAATGTTAGACAAAGAAAGGGGCGTGGTTGACAAAGATTTGTCAGCTCGTAGCCAATTTTCCTCCAATAATCGAATGAAACTAAATTTATAACGCAGTCGTCAGTCGCTGTCTTGTGGTAACGTTCCATATTTTGCACTAGCCGCAGATTTATCCTTGTCCTTTTCGTCCTCCGTGATTGTGGCCCATTTGCAAACGATGATTGAGTCGAGGACAAGAAGCGTCAAATATGAGATTATACAAACGATTGACATCAGTCTCCTTGAGCCAACATCGGTCGACAGGAACCTGAGCACCTTAAGAGCAAACGACAATGCCTTGTGGCTTCCAAGGATCACAACTGTCTTCTTAACCGGCAGAGCAAGGCCAAGAAATCCTCCCGCGATCCAGTTGAGCAACAGAAACATGATATGCATGATAGAGGAGTATCCAACGATAATGAGAATATTCATAGACACAATGTTATTAAACTTCTCCCCTACTTGCGCTCTGCTCACTTCAGGCCACGTAGAGAGAAGGAATAGCGTTATTACAGTGTAGTAGATTCCTCTGTTATACGAGTCGATTTTTTCAGCAACAGCATTGAAACTTCTCAGCAACTTGCCGATCTGAAAGGTAACAAGCAGTCAATGAATGCAAAGAACCGATAGATTTTCCTAACTGTCTACCATACAATTGTTATGAGGTTAGTTCGGAGAATTTGGTATTGGATCAATTAATAATTCCTAATTGATCTTCTTCTTTATTCTCATCACTTGTCCGCTTGATTTTGAGGAAAAGATCTGTCTTGGTCACTCATGGGAGTCCAAATAAACGCGTAAAAATGAACAACATATGCAGCACTCTCTAACGATCCTTCTATTTGGCCCTGACTCAAGCATATGCATATTAACAAAAAAAATCGTTGGCCCGCAACGCAACTCTTCAAGCGACAACATTTTTTTTGGACGCTCGGTCACTAAGTGAAGTAAGTGAAATGGTTTCGCATCACTCACAGACGGATGATTTTTTAGAATATTTATGAACTAATTGGCTGAACCGAATATTGAGTATTTGCACTCAATTTATATGTTTGATGGTTGATTCGGGTTTCGCCCTTAGCAGCATTGTCCTACGAAAGAAATCTCGCGCTTATTATCGAACATTTATGCATACATGAAATGCCTAAAACGTTGATTGCAATTTTGCATCTGATTGGTTTAAAGAGTGGCATGAGTTTCCTTGAACAATGACAAGACATTATAGGGCAAAAACAATAAATCAAAGACTGACAATCTACAAAAAAATTATGTTTGCTGGCAAAAAAAAAAATAACTCTAAGATTCTTTCGGCAGGGGCTTTGTTTTTGTCAAAGTTGCTAGCTGGGAAAAAATGCTTTGACACGTACTGAATGGCACTGAGAAACGGCTATTTTCTCATGAATATTCATCATTAACTGTTTGGGGAGGAAATAAAAATCTTTTTGAAAAAAAAAACAGTGTTCGCTAAGCCCGCCTGAAGGTATGCTCTCGTTACTCAACCCAACGTTTTCTCTATAGCCCTCCTACTAATACTTACAATGGTCGGTAGTACAGTTACTAGAGCAAATACAATCATGATATTTCCAAATCTGTTCACATTTACGCCACTGCTGAGATCAGTCATCCAGATTAGCATAGGCGCCACACTAAACACTCCAGCAAAGTTTGTTATAGCCATAAGTAAGATCGCAAGGGAAAAGTTACCTCCGGCCAGCAAGGACTGAAAAAAAAAAGGAAAAACAAGGTACTCTGAAAGAGAGAAATATTTTGCCTGTTCATATGAGCCGGAAAACGAGTCAAGATGAGTTTTTCTTTCTGTTCATCTAAGAACTTCTTTCCGTTTGTATGCCAGAGTAAGAAATCAAACAGCCTAGCCGTCGATTTTTATTTTCAGGGGAATTTTAGTATGGGTACTGAGAGAACAAGCCTCAGTCTTTCAAGTTTCACTCCCTTATCGGGGCTGTTAAATAAGAAAATTTATATCGTGGTTACAAAGCTCACAATTCAGCTAGCCATCTCACAAAAACACATCGAAATTTTCTCAGAGGTAAAAGTCATGTGGTGCGATTTCAAGAAATGAGAAAGATAGTTACATAGACACTGGGCTGTTTTGACGAAGTCCTAACCTATGGAATCTCTTAAGAGCCCCTCACGTTAAAGGGAGAATTCATTTAATCGCCTCATCGCTCACCAGCGTAGGCATGAAAGAGCAGCTGATCGTTTTTTAGCCTTCTAACTTACCAGAATGGCACCTCCAGACATGCTTGCTGGCACGGTGAAAAACACTTGAAGCGCAAAAGCAAATTCCGTGGGACCAATTGCAGTGACATTTCCAACAACTGTAGATTGAGAAGTGGTCACATTATCCTCTCTCATCGTCGCAAACTGTATAGTCTTTGTAATTTGCGTTCCTGTGATGGGAACCACCAAGAGTATTGTAAGAATTCCCCAGACGACTGCTTTGTACGACTTGACGGCTGTAAGAAGCTCTCCCGTTGTCGTGCACAATCCACAGAGAAGAAAACACACCCCAAGACAAATTTGAGAAAAATATATTTTGGAGAGAAAGTTGCCTGATGCCGGCCACTGAGTACCAACGGCCATCATCAGTATCATTCCGATCGCGAGGTAGTAAGTATCAAATAATTCCCACAGAGTACGGAGTTGACGCCATAAGCAATGCGAGGGCCTCGGAATATTAGATTTAATCTTATCTTCGTCATGACTGTTTCGTGGTGTTTTCTTCTCTTTAGACATGTCGTGACCTGAGTTGTTAACGTGGGATTGTCATGCAGAAAAAAGAAAGAGGTAAAATGATCAGAAATGTTGACGGGAAGAATCTTGTCGGGTTAACTAGAGTCTTAAAGGGTACTTACGCGCCAAATAACACCTACAGCAAAGAGTGCGAAGCAAATGTGACCGATTTTATGATGTAGTTTGGTTTTATCAGTGAAGTTGGTAATGTGAATTGGCCACCGTCGAAAGAATCTAAAACTAACCTTTCGATCGTCAAAGCGAATTTATAATGACTTATGCTAGTGATAATGCTAGTTGGCTTGACGAGCGAAAGCCGTCTAATTAATGCAATGTCTATCGTTCATGGCCCTTTGCAAGAAAGACAAAAAACTCAAAACCAAAGTAATGCGATGCAAGTGCTTAGGTCTTGTATCTGATTGGTTGAAAAAGTGGTGCGTTGCACTTTACCCAATCGCATAGTAAAGTAAAATCAAAAGCTATGCAAACCAGGCTAACTCTCAACCCTCGATTCACAATTGCTCCATAAACAGGTACTGTACTCGCCGTAAAAAATATATAAAAAGCACTGAACAGCAATTATGACCTTCTCGGGTGCAAGGGGTTAGATTTTATGTTACATCGACCTTTTAGATTCAGATGATACCCTCTATGAAATTATAGTATTCACTTTTTCGAGGATTATCCTTGATCACAGTTGATTGCCAAAAGTGTCCGACTGAGCCAGCAATAGGCCGGAAAACCACTGAATAATGACAAAGTTTTCTATCCTTGAACATCTCTGTTAAAGTAGACCTAAAATTCCTAAATTTGCCATTCTCTCGCATAATTGATATTCAGCGAATAAGATTTGTAAATCCTATTCCTTGCGTTCACAGAAATTGTGATGATCGTCACATGATAGCACCTACCCGAAGAGCGTTCGACATTTTGCGAAAATCCAAACGACATAATTTTCTTAAAATTGCCAACTTGAAGTTTCTCTTCCTATAGTTCGGTTATTTAGGTTGTGTATCAACTATCCAGTCTTCAAAAGTTGATGCTCCGTTAAAGCAGTTTTCCCTTTCACAAGCGGATTTCAATCGGATTTATATTAATTATGTGCAAACATACTGGTGGGCCATTTGTTTTCTCCTGTTTACCAGAAAACAAAGGTAACCTGATTGTTGGTACCGTAACCAACCAACTGTTTCTTTTTATTCATTAAGAGCAACGATTTGTTTTTATTCCTGGCTGGGTTTCATTCGTTCAACCAAATCTGCATCAAAGAAACCCGGTTTGCTGCGGACTCCGTCCGGAGTTAGTTAGCCTCGCGTCAAGTTTAAATCGAACCGACAACTTTACACTGAGAAACCCTACCAGCGCTCATTCAAGTCACCAGTTTTGATATGAACTTCCTGTAACTGAAATCTCACCACTACCGGGGGAGAATGGGGAAGGGGGACCGGAGCACTCCGCAGAGTTTGATACGACAGTAGTTCGAGGCTCAAATCTAAAAACTCGCAATCCTTTGCGCTTTAAAACTGCAACTTAACAAATGGCAATGTTTACCAACAATGATTGCCTGTTTCATGTGAGGGTGCCAGATTCAAGGCTTAAGTCTTGAGTAGTTATTAATACCAAAGCGGTTGGATCGTTTTGTTAACTGATACCCTCCAAACTACTGCTGGAGACATCCTCCTTCTTTGAGCCGACAAATTCTAGCCCGTAGCCTCACAGCTATACTTCGGTCAAGAACACTCGAAAGTCGAACCGACGAGAGTAGTTATCACGATAAATTAAAACTTTCTAACTTCCGTCCATCCTCTCGTAAGCAGAAAACCACCAAACTAGATATATATTCCATAATTGGTCAAGTACAGTAGAGAATGTATAGCATTTATCAATATTTATTCCAGTTTCACGACATCGCGATATCCCTCGACTTTGACCCGAGCACATAATGAGCCTTTTTCACTTTTATATATCGAAAGATGCCGGTCGCACAATGCCCCACAGTGTAAAAAATGGAATAGGATTCTACGATTTTATGAATTAAGTTCGTCTACGGCCAAAATTCAAAATACGTTTATCAAGTTATCTTTTCCGCATATTCTCTCTTATCTAAGCTTATCAAAAACACATGAAATTACATTAAATACGTCAGAAATATTCAGTCGATCCTGGATTGCCTAAAAATCCACGGAAGATAAAATCTTTATCGAAAGGTAAATCACTGCAACAATCAAGTGCATCAAATAAAAGCAGACATTGATTTGACAAAAATTATTCAAGAAATCGAACGGTAGTAAATTTTGCAAAGTGAAAACGCGATGATTAGGCGCACCAGAATCAGCTGTTTAGCGAAAGCAGATATTCAGTGGCATCATGACAACCAAAAAAAAAGTTGAAGAATAACCCCAAAATTCCCCGCTAATCGCTAAATTTAATTTGGATGGTCACAACTCACCTTGCTCCTGATTCTATGAAACTATTAAGATGTCCTGAGCTCTACGATCAATTAAACTTTCCGCGTGAAAGAGGCAAACCATAATTGATGCGTTGTCTTTTTTCTCGCTGATTTACATTCATATTCAACGTCTTAAAAGATGTGAGGTTACGGGGCAACAGCGCAGCTGTGTAAAACATCCATATTTTCTATAGCGTGAATGATTTTTTCTCATTAATAGGCTGCACTATTTACCTTCAGATAAAAGAAATGAAAATTTAGTGACTGTCAGATTCCTGACTCTAAAAAAAATTGGGTCAAGTTATTTATATGGACTTGAGAAAATTTCGGGTTTTAATCGTCATCTCTGAGACTTCTTCATCCGCAGTTTAATGTTGTTTACTGGGTAATTGCACTTTTATATTGGATCTATTAAGATTCAAATAAACATATCTCTACACTGTAACCTCGACCTCTCTCGTTCTAATAACATGTACGGAGTAAAATGAAAAACGTGCACGTAAAGCAAACAAAGAGTATTTTCGAATTCCTTACGCTGTCAATATCTGATCAGTATATGTCAGTATTTGCAAAACTGGCTTCCTTAGTTTAAATATGTCAATGAGCGCCGGGAAGATTCATTGATGTTCCTGTGATGTTTTACAAACCTAACACAGTGGTTGTCATTCTATTGTCGATTTATGTGAGAGAAAAAACAAGCTTTGGAAGTGTGAATGTTTCCACAGCTGCATAGAGCGTTCACAGTCGATCGCAGCTTATGTTTTTTACTGGTGTTATTATTTTTTAAAATTTACCCAGATATAAATTCAATGGTATCTCTGAATGATGAGCGGCGAGGCAGATTTTTTAGTGACGCCCCTCCGTTCCAAGTCCAAATATATAAAGGGGGTGGTGCTGACGTTTCGAGCGTTAGCCCTTCGCCAGAGCGATTGGAGGAATTGTGGGTTGTGCGTGGGTTTATTGGTGGGAACATGGTGACGAGAAAACAGGAATAAATTAGTTGAATGAAAAGCGCTCGTTGATACCGTGGGGATTAAGGGTGCCGATTTGGAATATAAATTTTTGTTCTAGTGTTTTACGGCTTCCGAACTGCCTAGATGTAAGGAAAGGCCGCAAACTGCCATATGCTGTTTAGAATGAATAGGGAGATTAAAGTGTCTAGCGACTGGTTTGGATGCGTCCTTGTCATTTCTTTCCACGTCGCGAAGGTGTTCTCGGAATCGGTCACCTAGTCGTCTTCCTGTTTCGCCAATGTACAACTTATTGCAATAAGTGCAAGTTATGCAGTAGATAACATTGGCATTAAAGCCTTTTTTCATGACAAAAAGGATGATTCTAACATCTCGAACAAAAATACTTTCGAAACACTCCAGATTCGAAAGTCTAAATGGACTCCCCCAGAGGGCCAGTTCGCATCTTTAGCTTTTTTACCCTTTAATTTACGGTGGCCAATTTACGTTTACAGTGATACAGTTTGGGATAATCTAACATGGTAAATGCAATTTACTGTGGTTTGCGTATTTCCCAATCAGCAAAGCTGGACATGGCCCCAAGTTATCACGGGGGAAGGAAGGGGCGGTGATTGACAGAGTTAAGAGTCACTAAAGTAAACATTTTGCAGGTTAGGGACGGACTATTATTTTTCTGGAGGAGGGTTATGAGAAATATTGAAAAAAATTGTTTGCAGGGTCTGAAAATACAAATAAATTGTTTGCAAACGTGATAGGGTAGGAAAAAAATGTTTGCAAGGAAGTCAGGTAAGATATTAAAAAATATTATTACCAAAACTGAAATAAAAAAATAAAGTAACAAATTGAAGCATTAGTATAAAGATTAACGCAATTTAGGCTAAAAAGGTGGTCACTCTGTATTTCGCAAACAACAATTCTGAAAATAGCTGAGTATTTCTTGAAAAAAAGGGAATTTGTCGTGGCAATAAAATTTCAACATTTTGTCCTATTACAAAACTTCATATATCAGGTATTTCTCTCAAAACTGTATTAAACAAATAACATTCTACAATCTTGTCTATATTTATCATTGCTGCATAATACATATTTCAGAAGTCAATGAATTCCATGAAGGGCATAAACGAATGAATTCCAAAAAACGATAGACAAAATGGTTCAAGCAGCTGAAGTTCTTGACGTACATTACACATTCGTTGACAACTGAAAAACGTATGCCCTTTACTTGCGTAAGCAGTTGCCAAAAAATTTTAAAAGGTGAGTGGAGCACATACTGACAATATAAGAGGCTATAGCACTATTGATTACCTTCTTCGTGAAATAGTTCAATAAGGCAATGGTAATATTAAGCACAAATAAAAAGAACACCGAAAAAAAAAATGAAAAAAAAATTGTTTGCGCGAAGATGATGTTGGAAAAATATGTTTGCGCCTGGTCCGTATTATCATCTTTTTAAGCGGTTTGTGATTATTTTGTTGAGAAAAATGCGGATCGAGACCAAAACTGTTCCTTCGACTTGATGTATTTTCAACGTTAGTAGATCACATCATATTGACTTACCTGGGTAAATCATTCATTCCAGAAAACAGAATCAACGATGCTAACGATGATATTTGAATTCGTCCTTAGCCAAACCTAAACGACTCCACAAGATCACTTCTCCAGGCATCGAAAACATATCCATTCGTTCCGTGTTCTCAAAATTATCCTCGAAACAGCCAAACAATTTCCTTCAACAGCCAATAATGACACAAAATCCACCTTGCAACACACTTGCAACTGTTCAAACTTCTAACATCGAAAGACCCGATCCAAGCGTAACTCACCACGATGTTTACCCCGAGATTGACTGCAACCAAACTACCAAAGAGAAAACTCAGCCATCTTTCGTAGAAAAATCGGAGAAAAATAGGAGCCACACAAAATCGTCCATAGTCAAGATTAATCAGACATTCATCTAGAGATAGCACCAAGCAAACCAATCCAGAAAAGTATAATCGGCGCACTCAACAAATCATGAATCTTGCAACACAGCTTGCCGTTAAAGAACTGCTCAAATCAAAATGTTTGGTGCAAGTCATCAAGCAATATTTGATTCAAAATTTTTCCACTCACTCTCGTCGTTAAGGAACAATAACCGTGATCGTGCTACAGTGCACAGAACTCCATTTTTTAAGTAAGTAAGTCAGTAAAGACTTTATTTAAAGAGGGTAGCACTAAAATAGTATAGAAATACTTACAAACCAGTGGCCCTCTAAAATTATGTACAATACAGATGTTAAAAACTATGGCATAACTATGAGATTATAACAAATAAAAATACAAGAGATAAAAGATGAAATCAATTAAAAGTACAAAAGTATAACTAAATCACAGAATAAAATGATTTAAAAGCTGCTGTTCTTCAAAAATTTTTTTCCAAAGAGAGTTCCTAAAAGAATTAAGCGACACTATTTTCTGCATAGATAGCGGTGAGCCGGTTCCAGGCTTGACAGGCAGTCACAGTAAATGTTCTTCCTCCTTCAGTTTTACGTTTGATAACAGGGCGAGCAATATTGAAGTTGACATACCTAGTCTGCCGTGAATGAGTGTCAAGCTACCAAGCTTAAGTAAACTTTTAAGATAGGTTGGTACATGCCTTTAAACGCTTGTATATAATACAGCATTTAGTTAGTTTAGCTCTCGTCGTTAAGGAACAATAAGTTTAGTTATTGAACAGTTTGACGGAGGAGGCTTGACAATCGGCGTCTAGAATAATTCTAGCAGCCCTCTTCTGCAACTTTAGAACACGGTTAAGGCAATGTTTATCTCAGCTCGTCCAAACCACATTTACATAATCAATTACCAGTCTTATCATGGAAAATAAGTCGATGTTTTAGAGGTAGACAATATTTAATTCTCTTTAAAATGCCTATCCGCTGCGAGAGCTTTTTACTCAATTTCTCCACATGAGGGATAAATGATAGTTCGTGGTTGATTTCTAGTCCCAAAAGCTTTGCACAACGAACATTCTCAAGTTGTTTTCCATTAACAACTACAGCAAGGTCATGGTTAATCCTGGTAGAAAGTCGCTTGCCAGTAATGATAAGCACTTTTGTCTTGCCCTCATTGAGAGGAAGTTTATTAACTGTTGCCCATTGGTCGACCTCAGAAATTGTTGTAGTCAGTGAACTTTGTAGAACACCAACGGAATCAAAGTTAGCAGCGGAGGTTAACGTCGTGTCGTCTGCGTATAGGTCAATTTGAGCCGAGCTCACACGTAGCGGAAGATCGTTAATAAAGGCGATGAAAAGCAAGGGACCCAGAATCGAACCCTGAGGTACGCCATGACGAACACAAGCAGTAGGGGATTCTATGTTACCCATAGATACCAACTGGCGCCTTTCATTCAGATATGATCGAAACCAGATTAACGATTTGTTGTCAAGCCCATATGCTTGAATTTTTTACAATAGAATCGAGTGATCAACCATGTCGACATTGTTTCTCTCCAACAACTATCCACCATTTTCACAACATGAGTAACACGTTTACTAAAGATAATCTGATGTCTTTCATCTGTCCAGTAGTATCGCATTTCTCATAAGGCGTGGTAAGACACGTTAAAAACACAGAAGAGCTAACATTTCTCATTCTAAATGATAATTCCATTTTACGAACCGCTCGTTGAACCGCGTTGATTCGTTGAAATATGAACACCTCATCATCATTCATGATATGGCTTAAGTTTGTATTGACTTCTTGGACTTGTTGAATATAGGTACAGTTGAATTCGATTTATGTCAACTTTCAAGTCTTGTGGAATAAATTTTATTTTATTTTTGGGCAGTTGTGTGATGAGAAAACTTGTGCATTTGTCGTGATGGGAATTGGAAAAAAGGTTGTGTGGGTTGGAGGTGGGATGGGCAGCGGTCATTAGGGTGTCTCCAAACCGAAGACCGAAGACCGAAAACCGAAGACTTGGAAATCAATTAAATGAAATGTGCTGAAACGCTTTTTTCGACGCCAAAACAATGAAATCGATTAGTTTGAGGCGGGTAAAACTACAAAACGAAGACCTTCGCCAAAACGCTCTATTTGACGCTAAAACATTGAAATCGATGGGGTCTTCATGTCGTAGTTTGCCCACCTCAAACTACAAAATGA